CAGGGGACAGGGGATAGGGACAGGGGACAGGGGACAGGGACAGGGGACAGGGACAGGGACAGGGACAGGGGACAGGGACAGGGGACAGGGACAGGGGACAAGGACAGGGGACAGGGGACAAGGACAGGGACAGGGACAGGGGACAGGGACAGGGACAGGGGACAGGGGACAAGGACAGGGACAGGGACAGGGGACAGGGGACAGGGACAGGGGACAGGGACAGGGGACAGGGACAGGGGATAGGGACAGGGGACAAGGGACAGGGACAGGGGACAGGGGATAGGGGATAGGGGACAGGGGACAGGGACAGGGGACAGGGGACAGGGACAGGGGATAGGGGACAGGGACAGGGGATAGGGGACAGGGACAGGGGACAGGGGACAGGGGGCAGGGGACAGGGACAGGGGATAGGGGACAGGGACAGGGGATAGGGGACAGGGACAGGGGACAGGGGACAGGGGCAGGGGACAGGGACAGGGGATAGGGGACAAGGGACAGGGGACAGGGACAGGGGATAGGGGATAGGGGACAGGGACGGGATAGGGGACAGGGGACAGGGGACAGGGACAGGGACAGGGGACAGGGACAGGGGACAGGGGACAGGGACAGGGACAGGGGACAGGGACAGGGGACAGGGGACAAGGACAGGGGACAGGGGACAGGGGACAAGGACAGGGGACAGGGACAGGGGGACAGGGATAGGGGACAGGGGACAGGGGACAGGGGACAGGGGACAGGGGACAGGGACAGGGGGACAGGGACAGGGACAGGGACAGGGGACAGGGGGACAGGGATAGGGGACAGGGGACAGGGACAAGGGACAAGGACAGGGGACAGGGACAGGGGATAGGGACAGGGGACAGGGACAGGGGACAGGGACAGGGGATAGGGGACAGGGACAGGGGACAGGGGGACAGGGGATAGGGGACAGGGGGACAGGGACAGGGGACAGGGGACAGGGGACAGGGATAGGGGACAGGGGACAGGGACAGGCAGGGCTTCAACACCCCCCCCCCCCCCAAAAAAAGGGCTCAGATCTCAGGGGTTCAGATCCAAATGCAAAAGGGTTGCGAATCCCCCCCACCCCCCAAAAAAAAAGTGTCCGGCGAGCGAGAAAACACCGTTAAATCTGTCGCCGCCCTCCCTCGTGATGACCCTCGCGTCCGACTTAGCAGCCACCCCCCCCCCCCCCGTGGCGTCTTCAAGACGTCCCGCAGCGCTCCGCGGGTTACGCCGGCAAAGCGGAAGTCCGGCTGCTGCCCTCGTTCCTGCAGAAATTCCGATCGGTCGCAGGTTGGTGGTGGGGGCAGAAGTCGGAATAGTCCCGGCTTTGGGGTGGGGGGGGGGGGGGGGGGGGCTCGCGCAAGAGCGACGGCAGGACGGCACTTGCGTAGTGCCTTTTTCACGTCTGAAAGGCATCTCGAAGCTCTTCACGGGATACACCGTCAAGTGAGGGCACTGTTTTGTCGGTGAACGCGGCAGCCGGAACTGAACGTGTACAGCCACGTCCCAACAAACGGACAGAAATAGAAGTGAATGGTCAATTTTACCTGGGGTGGGGGGGGGGGGGGAAGGGTGTGGGTCAGGACAGAGGGAGAAATGGCCTCATATAGCGGAAGAAATTCATATCAGAACCGAAAGGACTCATAGAGTGGTCCATAAAGGGTTTTGAAGGTAGGTAGGAAGAGGCTACTGGATAATATCCAGTAGGTCATCGTTGAACAGAACAGGAGAAATTATTTTTAGAAGGAGAAGTGTTACTGTCAGAAAAATGTAAGACGGTCAATGACTGCACGAGGTTTGAAGTATCCCCTTCCTGTACGTTAAGCCATTTAATTCATCATTTCAACACGTCAATAACAGTATTGTGGACCATCAAAGTGCTTGTTTAAGTGTTTGTTTTATTTGGTGAAAAAAAAAACTTTTTTTTTTAACCTTCCTTGCCTTGGTTGAGGTAGAAAACCAAAGTTTTTCTGCTTCAACCGATGCAAACTTGAGTGAACTTGAAGTTGAAGCTTGTGAAGGACAAGCAGAAGACCAGGGTCGAAAGAATGGCGGGCATGGGTTTCTTGGCAATATAGCTTGAGGTCCTTTGGAGAAATACTATAGAATACTATAGAAAACAGCAATCCCCAAAACGAAATGGGTCACTCTCTGATTATTTGTGAGACATTGCTGTGCACAAAATTGGCTATGGCATTTGCCCACAATATACACACTGCTATATCCTGCAAAGTGCTTTCAGATGTCTCAATTACCTGATAAGGTTCTATATTAAATGCAAAGATTATCATTAGAAGTTGTAATATACTAAACAGGCACTTTAAAATAATGTCCATTAAAGACTTGCTAAAAAAAAATTTTTGGTCATCATTATTTCTTTCTTGATTGTTGTTAAAGGTTGATTTGCTCAGAACATTTGTATTCTCTATCTCACAACACAGCCCACAGTGATACAACTCGAAGGGTCTCAGTGTCCGAGATAGTAAGGCTAATTCAACCTCTGAGCAATACAGTGAAGAAAATACTGTAACATCTTATATTATTACATAAATCTAAGTTGTTGTTTAATGTTTACACTGTTTCCATGTTTAAAGGAATGGAAACTATTTTGTTCAGAATGTAGCCTTCCTACTTTACTTTCATTACAGCAATGTTGCACCCAAGTGTTTTAACAACTCATCACAAGGAAAAGGAAATAACAATTTCTCTATAAGGGCTGTCTGAAAATTGATGTCCGCTGGACAAAACAAATTCAGTACAGTAACATCTTTTCCAATTTTCATATAGATATATAATTTTATACAGGATGGAGCCACATGTGTTTGTGTCGATGCAGGGCTGCTGCAAATATCACATTTTAAACCACACTGTGGAGTGCTGTAGCTTAGTGGTTAGAGCACTCGCTTCGCAAGCGAGAGGATCTGGGTTTGATTTCTGGGCAGGATGAAATGTTAGGCAAATTTCCTTACTCCATACATCTCTGTTTACCGAGCAGTAAGTAAGAACCCTGTTATCAGTTGATTGGCGGATCGCTTTCCAAGGGTAACAAAGACTTCAAAAAAGTAAATAAATAAAAATAATAAAATGTGGTCACTCAATCCCTGACTGTTTGGGGAACACTAATGTGGATAATTGGCTGCTGCGTTTTGCCCACAAAATACACAGCCAATTCACTTTACAGTATATTCTGTGAAGTGCTTTTAGACATCTCAATAAGGCGCTATATCAGATGCAAGGAATATTATTATTAACTGAGTTATTCCCCTAATTTACACATTTAGCATGGAAGGGATATCTGATAGGTTTTTTCTGTTTCTTGATTAGAGTTGATGAGTTAACCAGGTTCAGGAACAACACCATATTTTGCAATATGGAGGACCAGTGGTGGCAAAGAGGCCAGTGGAGTTGGCTTTCCTCCAGAGAGGTTTAAAGATGTGCGGAGAATGGCCAGCCCACTTGGAGCAGATACATTTCTGAGGTTACGCTAGAGGAGGCAAATTGGGGCACGGCACAGTCTCAATGCGAGTCACTCCTGAAAAGATAACCACCGTTTACTATTGTTTGTTTCAATTAGATGTGTATACAATGGATGGATACATCTAAAAGCTGTCTCTCCTCTTAATTACCTGTCATATAATTCCTGCTTTGTTTCGCACTGCACTGCAGCACAGTTAACCATTGGAATGTGCTTCTCGGGATTCACAGCATTTCAGACTGCGTTATCAACACGGGTGGAAAACAACCACCGTCACTGCTCAGCACTTGTGGGTTTGTAGCCAGCGCTGTCACTAGGCTGGCCACGTGTGTGTAAAGGGTAGCCAAAGGCACGGTCGAAGAGGAGGGTCTTGAGACATGCCTTGAAGGAGGCAAGGGAGGGAGCGAGGTGGAGGGAATGTGGGACGGAGCTCAAGCGGGTGGAGGCAGAAAGGCGGAATGGTCAGGATCCATTACCTACCCTCCTTATAAGTGATGCAGCACTTGATTGCAGAGCAACAAGATTTGTACAGCAGTAAGGTTTGCATATTCTAGACATTCTGATGTGTCAGAAATTTGGGTATTGACCTGGATGAGAATGTTTCATTCACAAAAGTTTGTTTATATCACAGTTTAGAGAGTCTACATGGTTGCATTTAATGACCCATGGTCACTGAACTGTGACATAAACGAACAGTTCACTGACCCTGCATTCTCTGAAAGTCTCTGTGGCTGATTTCGGCCACCTTTAAAGTTCTCCCATTTCTCATTTCCACAATTACATGTTTTTCAGAAGTTCTCCTTTTGCATTACTGGGGGTATGTAATGTTCGCTTCTGTTATTAAAGTTGTCAAAAACATTGAAATAATGTATCTCCACATCCGCTAGCTACATTCTATTACATTCCAACATTTACACTTCAATGTAGCTTCCCGTTGCATGTTTGTAATCTTAGATCCAGTGGATACATTTCTAAGGCTGACACTGCAACATGGGTGACAGGAGACATGCTATTCAGCTTTCCGCCGTTGCTTCTAATCTTAACCAGTCTACCAGGACTATGCTGATATGCTAGTATGAGAGAGGATGGCTACAGCATTCACCTCCAAATACACAGTCACTGCAATCTGAAGAAACTTTGTAAATTGCTTTGAGATGTTCAATGTTATAAATAACACATCTAGTGCAACAATTAATATTATTATTAGAACAGGACTTAATTTGCATGTCGTTTTATTTCTAAGCACAAGTGGACAAATGTCCACCATTAGCTGTTAGGCCAGGAGACTGACAGTCTTCCAGCCCTGATTTTAAAATCTATGTACTGAATTTATCGCAGCAAATGTCTACAAATCCATTTCTCAATTCCAACAACATCCATCCAAAGTCACACAAAGCTGCATCTTCACAACCCTGGCATAGGCTTGTCTGCTGGACAGGAAACCTATATGGCTGGGTTTACACCCTGATAAATTGACGTTCGGGTTCACCTGATAATTTGCCCCTAGAATTGCACACTCTTCTTTTTTTTCAAAACCTCTAATATAGAAGAAATTTTATTGGGAGAAAATGTACAGCACACCACAAGAATTAAGTTCAATTAAGAATTAAGTTCCCCCAACTTAGTTCCTTACAGGTCGTTTCGTGGGTCAGGCACATCTGCTTCTTGTGTCAGTGAGGCATACACAGCTTTGTAAGTCTGAAGAACAGTTTGAGCAGAAGGCCTGTGCTGTGGGGTTTCCCTTTGCAGTCCCGATGTAATTCAAACAAGTGAAACCTCACTACATCACTGCCTTCCACTTGCCCCAGCAAAAAGTCCACTACATTGGGGATTTTCCACACATCTGTTTTTTCATCATACGAAGGCATGAGGTGGTCAGAAAACGGAAGTTCATGGGCATAGGGCCAGAGCTGCTCTGGAGCCACAAAGTGTCCACTCAGCTCCCGGTGACCACACTTCACTAATACCCCAGAGCTCCGGTTCACAACTGGAAGAGCATCCAGATCATTAACTATCAGGTGCAGCTCTGACGTCAGCAAATATTGGGACAAAACTTTATCCAGGTCATTGGAATCGCACATGACTCGGGTGCCCAAGGGGCTGTTGTGCAGATAGTTCAGTACAGACACGTATTCAATCACGAGGTGAAATCGAGTCCTCCAAGTATTCAATCCCAGGTATCTCTCTTGTTCCATCACAGCATTGAGATTGTTCAGAGACCCCAGAGGGTGGTACTTGGTGAGAATACTGTGATTTTCTTCACAGAATCCTAACAATTTGACTACATTCACGCTTTGTAAACCTTTCAGCATCTCCAGTCCATGAATGAAGTCAGCCTTGAATTTAGGGACAGCAAGTCTGGAAAGAGCAACTTTGTTTCCTCTCCAAAGAGCCAGGAAAACCTGCAGTAAAAACACAGACAGATGTATTCACACACAGGCAACAATGACTAATTACACATACTGTATATGTTACACAGTAAAGTTGTGAAACCAGGGATTTCATGAAATCCCTGAAATTTTCAATAAAATTGTGAAAACATGAAATCACTGAAATTAAGTCAGGGATTTCATGAAAAAATGGTTATTTCATCATATTGATAACTTTGTCTTGACACTTGTTAGCCTCATCAACAAATACATAACATATTATGAAAATTAATATTTTATTCACCATAAACTTAATGTGACATTTCATTCACTGATGAGTTAAATGTTCATTTGTTAACACAAGTGAGGCTTCCATGACACCGGGAGTTACATTTCAACTTTGCTTTGAAGCATTTACAATGGTTAGTCTGACATTTCTTCTGACCACAGTCACACTTCATAAAGTCTTGTCCACCACAAATAGAGTGTGCAATGACAGCTTCACAATGTTAGCAAGTGTATAAAATAGTATATAAATTATATAAGTTGTATAAAATCCAATTCAATTCAGCCCATCATCACATGTGCACTTAACCGCAAGAGTTGGAATCACATGAGCAGCAACAGTTTGTGATGTTGGTGGCAACCTGATGATCCAGATGTCAGACATTTTAGTTCCGTCCTTGCTAAAAATGACCAACTTCCAGGTCATCAAGTGGCACCAACGTCACTTCCTGCTTTGCACACATGCAAGACACAGGCTGTGATATCAATAGCAACCCGATGACCTGGAAGTTGGCCATTTTTTTTAAAGCACAGAAATTGGTCTTGTTATAATGCTTGGCATTTGATGGCATCTTTATGAATCCAATAGTACCATCCAGTGGCCAGAGAGAACAATGCACCACTTTTATCGTATGACAAGCACGTACTTCCAGGCCCAAAACATGCTCTTTGTGAGGCTGCACAGTAACTGGGAGACAGTGAAAATGCCAAGAGCAGCCAGGAAGTGGAGGTACAGGCGCGCTGGAGCTCGAGCCGTGGAGGAGTTTGGCAGTGACATGGAGGAAAACACGGAGGGGAAATTCAGGCAGATGTCAATGTGACGACCATCAAGTAAGAGTTGTACAGTCAACTTGCAGCTTGTTAACTTCCTTGATCACGGCTTTTTAACTGGAACAAAAACTTCAGTAGCAAAACCCGCCATCGCACTAACCGGCAGTCAGGAGTCAAGTATACACTTGAAAGAAATGGAGTGAGAGAGATGGCAGACCGATACAGTACAGAATAGATAAATAGATGAATCAACACTTTCCAGTTACCTGATTCAAAGAGGAAAGAAGTATAGACTAGAAAGAAGTGGAGCTTCTCCTCATGGGACAATACATCATAAGCAAATAAATAAGAAGAAAAATGTGGTTTAACAATAAAAAGGTTCTGGGGAATATTTTGAAGGAACACTCACCTGCTTGACGGCACCTTGCCCGATCAGCTCCCTTACAATAATGTCTCTTTTTATCACCTCACAGGACAGCCAGGGCAAGCAGTCACTCATTTCTCCCAGTTTAAAGTAGCCTTGTGGACATTGGCCTACATTAGCTTCTTCAGGTCCCTTCACATTGTTCGGCAGCTCCATTCTGATGTAGGTTGCAACCATAGCAAAGACAGCAACGAGAGGCACAAATCCCAGACACACCCACAGTGTGGTCAATGAGCCATCATTACCACCATCGTCTCTCCTGGACATTTTCCAATCCAAACTGTATACAAAGGTTTCAATATATATATATAATCAATACGAAATGGCTGTAATGTTGATGACTTGAGCTCAATTTGTGCACAGGTTACGGATTGGATAAAACAGTTGCTCATTCATGTTACACTCAATCTGAAAGTGTGTTCATCTAGAAATACAGTCACTACACTTTACAGAAATGTTGTGAAATCCTTTGAGACGTTCTTGATGTGACAAGCACTGTATCAAATACAGAGATTATTCTTATTAAAACTTTGATTTAGCATCAGCTAACAGGGGGGGGGTGTTGCATTGTCAAAGATGCCGTCCTTCGGATGAAATGTTACAAACTAATGTCCCATCTGCCAGTTCAGGTGGATGTTAATGATCCCATGGCACTATTCGAAAAGAGAAGTTTCTCCCTGGTGACCTGGCGAACAAAACAAAGTTGTTTGTGGGACATAGCTGTACACAATTGTCCTGTCATGTTTTCCCACAAATACACAGTCACTTCAATTCACAGTGAATCCTGTAAAGTGGTTTGAGTTGTCCTTAAATATGATAAGATATACTAAATGCAAGGATTATTATTGTCATTATAATTTAGTGTACACTTCATTTCCAACATGATAGAAAACACAAGACTGGCTGACATTATGCACAGTACTAAGAATCACCTACAAACATTCACTGCACTTTCCAGACACTTTTGTGAAGCACTTCAAGATCTATTATGACAACAGGATTTAAAACTTGATATTTGGAAGCAAATAACAATTTTGATTTGCAAATAAGTTTGCACTCTTGCTATGAAATCTCCCGTGGGGATACATGGATGTGAGCTCTCTCTAAATGATAGCTGATATTAATTAGTAAATGCTCCTGAGCAGCGCGGACAGCAACACAAGTCCTCGTTTGCCCACAAAACCGTCCCTCCGCTTTACTGTATAGCCTGCGGACCATTTTTTGGGACTTTGTCCTGATGTGAAAGGCGCCCAACCAAATGTAAGGATTATTATTATTATTATTATTATTATTATAAAAAAGCATGTGAGTGCATTATTGCCTTCCTCCAGACCTAGCCAGGACACATACACACTGTAAACTATCACTGACTCCAGCAGTAAAGAACCAACAAACCTCAAACATATAGAAAATCACTGACACTTGGCTTAATGTTAAATGTTTTTTTTAAAAAAATCACATGAATCATATTTTTTTAAAAAACAGTCCATCCATCAATAACACTTAACTCCAAAGAATACCAAATCAGAACGTTAGGAAAAAAAAACGCTCAAAACGCCCTTCAAATAAAATGCGTTAAAATCGCATTAAAACTGTTAAAACCTCAACCAAAAAAAGCATTTTTTTAAAAAAAAAAATTTTTTTTTTGTTTTGTTTTCTTTTTTTTAAAAAAAGAGTCAAACTACAATTGCAATGACATTTGAATGTCGTTTTTTTCTGCGGTCGAATGGGAAGCCTCTGAAAGCGGCCGTGGACGAGCACTCTCACCGACCTGGTGTCACTTTGTCAGCCGGCGGAGGGAGCTCTGTGAGCGGCCGGCGGCTCAGCCTGGGGTCGGTGGGAGGCTGAGAGGCTCGGCCTCTGTCACGCACCTTGGAGATTGCACCTCCACAACAAGCAGCCTGTGCACATGCATGCTCCTATGCACATGCATGCACAACCAGCCTTGTGCATGCACACACACACACACACACACACTGGATCTTCACACCCCTCAAACACACACACACACACACACACACACCAGCACCTCCTCCACTGCACAGCAATCCCGACTGCCAGCTCCACAGCGACGCCTGGTCCCCCTACATCGCCTCCCACGTTGCCACACATTGCAATCATAAAACCTACCCACAGGATCAATATTTCATGCTCAAAGCAAAGCGTAAAAATACTTTGTATATTACCTGGATGCTGTGTCCACACACGGTGTGCATATTTGCACATGCAAGATACATACCTGCGCCTGTGTAATTAGAATTATTGATGCATGCGATGAGCTTTTGCAATATTTTTTATTTGCACACAGAAAGTGCATACGCTGTACATCTTTACACAGATGTGTGGGGAGTATGAGTGGTGAATAGGCGAAGGAGAATTCAAGAGGGCTAAGCGAAATAATCCACAAAGAGATCATTTTTTTTAAAAAAGGGTTTCAGCAAAAGGATTTTGGGAGACAAGATCAGGCAAGATATTTCAGTACTGGGCTTCACTTTGAGGGTAATAGATGATATTCACTTACCTCTAAACAATCTGAGTTTTAGCAGTCACATTGCGGGAGACCAGCACCTAACCAGTAACTACTTACTATAAAATATTCAAATCAAAAATGATTTAAAACTCTGCAAGAGCTGATCTGCAAATTACACAGATCTAGACGCAAATTTGAAAAAATTGTATGGGAACTTGGATGGGTTGGCTAGATGGATCAATATTTTCCTGCCTGAAATTGTTACTGTGTTGTGGTGTGGTGGTTGAGGCGAAATCCATATTAGCTTTTAAGAGGGAATTAGATAGAGCTCTAAACAAGAGTAATTTGCAGGCATTTGGGGAAATGACAGGTAAATGGGACTGAATGGATTGCTCTTTTAACAAGCCAGCAAAGGCATGGTGGGCTTCTTCTGTGCTGTAAATATCAATGTACGATCAATCTGTTCAGCACACTGTCTGCCTTGTGTCTTCTTGGAATCCTCTCTGGTTGCGCGCAATCGTTCAGGTGACTCAGAGATGGAGATGGACTTTTCAGCAGGATCAGAACCAAAATAATCTAGGCCCAAAAGAATCACACTTGCACACCCCAAAACAACACTCTACTAACGAAGGTTATCACTTGAAGCCCCATTTTGGAGAAGTCTTTGTACATCAGAAGACAAAAGGTGTAAGTTTGGCTCTAGAAGGGCTTCATGAAGTTCAACATGAGTTTTAAACCCATTAACCAGAGACCGAGGAGGAGTCAGCCAAGAGTGGTCTTATTTACATGGGAATCCTCAGGTATCAAACAACGTACTTCACGTAATCAGCAAAGTACACAGCAGTGTCTTCATATGGGGACTAAAAACATCATGTGGGACAGTAAAAACCCAGAGAGAATATCCCTTCCTGTGAGTTAATCATGGATCAATGAAATAGTCCTCAGCAGACATTGTCGATCTGTTATCGGTTGATGGCGGAAGTGGCAAAGAGTAGCCATTTGAATCATTTTATTTTATGTGTTCTCCCATTTTAACACTCTCCCCCATCATTCACAGCTGGGAGAGCAGGCAGACAATACGGTCTAGGTCTCCAACCAGTGTCATTTAGACTCTGTATTCATAAAATGCCTCATCACCTGAAGCCCATAGTCTTAAAGTTCAAGGTCATCCAGAATGCTAGAATTTTTTCCAAGTCTTAATTTGAAAGCCGTTTTTCTGCAGTTTTTTTTACTGAATTTAAGAATCTTCCAGTCGTCTTACAGCAACAAGCATAAGCCATTTCCAGCTTCTGATATCCATTTGCCACTTCCCCAGACTGCATCCTACAATCTGAAGTAAGCACGTGAAAATGGAAAGTGTAAATCAATGTATGAATACAAAAAGATCAAAAACATCTTACACATATATAGCGCCCCTCATGCAGGGTAGCGTCTCGGAGCGCTTGACAGTGGCTGAGCACGATACTGAGCCGGGGGGGGGGATAGGGAGGTGACTTGTAGGCACAATTGAACAGGAAGGTCTTCAGGTGCAATCTAAAGATGGGGAAAGAAGGGGCCAGGCAGAGGGATAGAGGATGAGTGTTCCAGTTTCAGGGCATAGTGGCTGAAAGCACGGCCCCCAACGGTGGAACAGAGAGCACGAGGGACATGCAGGAGGCCAGAGCCAATCGAGCAGAGGCAGCGGGTAGTGGATTGGGGAGTGAGCAAGGAGAGGTAGGGAGCTACCAAGCAATGAAGGAATTTGAAAACGAGTGTGAGGATCTTGAAATCGATTATTTAGTACTTAATACTATTAAAGGGAATCGATAAATATTTGACAATAATAATCCTTACATTTGACACAGTGACTTTCATGTCAGGACATCTCAAAGTACTTCCCATGATTTACTGTAAAATGCAGGGACTGTTTGCAAATACCTTTTTCCCAGTTAAAATTTGGGGAAAACGCAGGTAAGTGGAACTAATTGGATAGCTCTTTCAGAGAGTCAACACAGACACAAAAGTCCTCCTTGTTTGGGGGAATTTCTATGATTCTAAGATAACCAGGAGCAGTTACCAAATGACCAAAACAATTGGGTCAGTATAAATGTCTCTTTAATTATATTACAAGAATGCACAATTTATTCACGCACTTTCACAAAAGCTGGCGTCAGCAATCGCCCGTTAAAAACTGTACAGTACTTTTATTTCAGTCTTCTTATGTGAATGTTTTAATTGGAATTATGACAGCTATAAAATCCAAGTGGCAAGCATATCATTACAGCTTAAATATATTTCAATCTCTCTCCCCTTACCATCAAGTCAATAAAGCAAACAGAACTCATTCAGCTTCCTCTCCGTTTATTTTGTATGTATACATTCAGAAGCAAACAAAGTGACCAAATGTGGTTTTACAGTTGTTACTTAGTCCAGTCTTCGTGCTACAAAAATAATAATATTTACAAAAAGGTAACAGAATGTTTAGCAAATTGCACATACAGGATTGGTAAGTAGCTGATGTTGAGAGAAGCTTAAATATGAATGTTAACAACTCCATCAAAAAACATATTGATCACAATTTTGTTCGCTCTCCATACCGGGTAATGCAGACTACAGCAATGGTCTTTAGTTATTATAGCTATGTTCAAGAGGTAGGTCCTTTTCAGTTGACTCACTGTCTGCTTTTTCAGTAGACTCAATGTCCTCCTTTTCAATTGGCTCAATATCCTCCTTTTCAATTGGTTCAATATCCTCTTTATTAGCGCCATACTTGATTTTCAGGCTTCGACCAAAGTATTTCCAGTATTCCTGGCGGATGGTATCTTTTGATGTAGCCAACAAGTCACACAGCTGCGAGGGATGGAAAAACAAATTGGTTAAAAGCAAAATGCATTTGTTTCCACTGGTCAACGAGTATGTAACCGGAAGGCATGAATTTAAGATTATTACTACACCCCCCCTCAAAAAAAAACAAGGGTAAGGTTAGGAGAAAAGAGATCTTTAATTTTATACAGAGTTATAAGGACATGAAATATTTCTTCCTGTATTTGGTCTAGTGCATTACAGGAGAATCCCTCCACTCCTCTGCACCCCTCCTACCTCTCTGACCTCCTCTCTCCTCAAAACAGTGCCCGTTGCCTTCGCTCCACCAGGCCTGGTTTCCTCCTTGTCCCCACTCCAACCTCGGCGGCCGTGCTTTCAGCCACTATGCCCCAAGGCTCTGGAATTCCCTTCCTCACTCCCTTCGTCTCGCTCCCTCTCTTCCTATTTTTAGGTCTCGGCTGAAGACCTTTCTTTTCGACCGCGCCTTTGGTCACCTTCCCCCCCCTCCCCGTGGCTCGGCCCCGGGATCCGTTACTATGAAGCGTTCTGAGACGCCGTCTGGCGTGGATGGCACTATATAAATCCAAGTTGTTGTTGAATGTCTCAAAGCGCTTCACAGAATTTATTGTACTGCAGTAACTGTATTTTGTAGGTAAACATAGCAGCCAATTTTGCACACAGCAGCAGCAGCCATGAAGTGAATGAACAATTTTATCTTGCTAGGACACCAGGAGAAATTCCTTCTTTTTTCAAACAGTGCCATGGGATTTGTAAGGTCCACATGAAACGCAGTCAAAACCTCAGTTTAACATTTCACCCAAAACATGGCTTCTCGAGCAATGCAGCATTCACCCAGCATGGCATTGGAGCAGCAGCCTAAACAATGTCAGTTGGAAGTCCGAACATGGGGTTTGAACTCAAAACTTTGATTCAGAAGCGAGAGTCTACCAATTGAGCTGGACTGATGTCTGTGACCAATCACAAAGTAATATTATTGGATTCAAAGAGTAAACTGTCAGTGATGTACCTCCAGTGCTTTGGCTAGAATCTCCTCCTTGTTCTCACAGTTGTTCTCTAAAAAGTCTTCGTACATGTCCACCAGGAAAGCGAATAAGTAAGGGGAACTAGTCATCTGCTGCAGTTCCAGGATTTGATTCAACAGTTGAGGGTACGTGGATAGACAGAGATCATGCAGAATTCTGGGGGAGGGAGAAAGAAGGTCAATCAGGGTTGATTTCTCAAATTATAAAGTGAATTCCAAAATAAAATTCAGAATAACAGTTAAACAATAATCCTTGCATCTGACACAGCACCTTATCACATCATCGTGATGTCTCAAAGCGCTTCACAGAGAATATTGTAAAGTGAATTGACTGTAAATTTTTTGGACGAAATGTGGCAGCCAATTGCGTACAGCAGTGTCCCACAAACAGTCATGGAGTAAATGACCAATTTGTTTTTTGGAGGGGCAGGGGTTATTACCCTTGAAAAGCGATCTGCCAATTGTTGATTGACAAACAACTGGGTTCCTACTTCCTGCTACGTAAACTGAGGCGTGTGGAGTAAGGAAACTTTGCCTAATGTTTCGCCTCAGCCGGGAATCACACTCGGGTCCTCTCGCTTGTGAGGCGAGAGTGCTATGCTACGGGACTTCTCAATAAAAATCCCAAGAAGCATTGCTGTCAGCATTTTGTCCAACTCCAAAAAGAAAGCCTGTCTCATCAGAAGTGTGGACTGATGGCCCGTGGAACTGACCGGCCAGATGTACTCTAATGTTATTTTACAGTCCTTTACATTCCTATGTTCTCACGGTGGCAAGATTAAAACTAACCTCTTTCCTACATATAAACTAAGATTGATTACTGAACAATATTCTCCACTTATCACTAGACTCTATGAAGATCATTGCTGATTATTAAAAACGCTCACCAAGTTCAGAAATAAATTCAAAGTGGTAAATTCAATTCCCCCTTATGCACGTTTCATGCAGGATACTTTTATGACCCGAAAAGCACCACAATGTTAACAGGTATATCAGCTTATAATTCTAAAAAGAAAATAAACTTACCCTCTCAAGTAACTCCAAGCACTTTCATTATGAGGAGCTTTTTTTATTAACTTCAAGGTGTACCTGCAAAGTAAGATATATCTATAAGAGGCAAAGTAATTAATAATACGTTCATTTGATAGAGTGCTCTATTGCGTTGGTCAGACATCTCATAGCACTTCACAGGACTTTCATCCTGAATTGTATTTCGTAGGCAAACATAAACAACCAATTTGCACACTGTAAAGTCCCACAAGGAGCCTTAAAGTGAATGACCAATTTTATCTGGTGGATTGTTGGCCAGGACACTGGAATAAACACCTTTCTCCATTCAAGTTGTGCCATGGGACCTTTAATGTCCACGTGAACAGGCAGTTGAAATGTCATATAGCAGCAGGAAGGAAATTCAATGGGAAAAAATAATTGAACACTCTATATTTTAAACAGAAAAAGGTCCTCCGGGCTTATTTGATCTCAGTCTTCCAGAATACAGACCCTACTGTCTTCCCATCAGCAAGGTTCCTAAATGAATCCCGAGTTCTGGGCTCAGCCACCTTTCCTGGTAACCCATTTCAGCCGCTGATTTACAATTACAATCGGAGATGATGGGGCAGTTAGTAAAAACAGGAAATATTATGCAACTTGGCCCACAATCTCCTGTGCGAAAGGCTGAAATTGAGTCTATTCAGCAATGTGGTGGCAAAGCACACTGAATCATTTTAGCCTGAGCTGAGTTCATAGCTGAGCAGCTACGTGCCTATGACAGGACATGGGGAAGGAGGGAGCAAGGAGGTGGGAAGCGGGTGGGCGGAAAAGAGAGAGAAAACTGGAGGGGAAAAAAATTGGGAGCCTCTATTAAACAACACTCCTTACACTTGTCAAAGAATAGCAGGTTTCGAGCTGGCCAGCCAGCCCAATGAGTGGGATTCCAGCAAGTTTAGGACATACACCAGGAAGAAAATGGAATCAAGCGCTCCGGGATGCTAGCCAATGTGAAGCCACTATGTAAATGCAAATTGTTGTTGTAATCAGCACCTGGAATGGGTTAACAGGAAAGGTGGCCCAACCCAGGACATTAGACTCATTTAGGAACGGTCTAATGGGAAGGCGATAGGGTTAGTATTCTGGAAGACTGAGATCAAATAAGGTCAGAGTCTTTTTCTGTGTCTTTTTTCTTAAAAATTGGAGTGTGCACAGTTTGTTTTGTCTAACTTTCTTCCCACTGCCATATGCCCGGGTAAAGAAAAAAGAAATGCCAGGCATGCAATACAAAGCAAGGAAAACGTGACACACTTAATGCAGTGGTGCACCACAATAATGCAACGTTTTCAATGAGGCAATTGATCATCGATTGTCCCAATTAAACACTGCTAGACATTGGTTAGATAACTGACAGGGAACTGGAGTGGTAGATGCTTTCAGTGGAAATGTTAAACTACCTCTTGTTTCAAATATCCATTAGATGCCACTGACATATGTCTGACTTTTTTGTCTTTTTAAAACAAGTCTGCTCGTTCCACTTAAATTAAACGAGTCTCTAGGGCTCCATGGAGAAGCTCTTCAGCTGAAAGGCTATTTTTCCCAAAGGTGACCTTTCAATATGAAAGGATGAAGTAATACAACTTTACATTCTAAATGTACTCTGCCTACCTTGCCTTCCTATCCCCACATTTGTTTTCTATGTATTTGAGTTGAAGGGTATATCCCGCATAGTGACACATTAACAGATTGCTCTCAATGAAGTACAATCACCAGTAGATTCAGTGAGAGGGCTGCGGAGTCTAGCTTGAAGTAATGAACAGCAGGAATGGTTACCGAGTAGGAATAGTTGAGGCCAGGGCATTGTACTTGTTTAAGAAACAACATTAGAAGATCGGTTTGGATGAAGAAGACCCTTCGGCTCACTTGCTCATATCCTTCCAGAATAGCTATCCAACGGTCTTCCCAGTTTAATAATAATCCTTGAATTTGATATAGCGCCTTATCACATGTTCGAGAAATCTCAAAGCGCTTCACGGAATATACTGTAAAGTGAATTGATTGTATATTTTGTGGGCGAAATGCAGCAGCCAATTGCGCACAGCAGTTTCTCACAAACAGACATGGATTGAGTGACCAATTTATTATTATTATTTGTGAAGAAATTATTACCCCGGAAAAGCGATTCATCAATCGACTAAGAACCGGGTCCCTACTTACTGTTAGGTAAACGGACGCGTATGGAGTAACAAAACTTGCCCAACGTTTCGCCCTGAGGTCTTCCCAGTTTGATAATGAAAAGGGATGTGGTAGGGATAGGTGTTCTGGAAGGATCTGATTAATTGGTCCGAATGCTTGAATCTCCCTTGTGAGGGAGAAGCAGTCCCTTACACCTCAACGCTGCTCCTCTCAACAGTGAACCACTATTGGTACAGACTATGAACTCCGCCACCTCACCCTGAGAAAATACAGGCGTCTTGAGTAGCCAGAAGGCTGGGATGCAACAAGACCCTTTAATTACTAATAAAATGTAAAAGCAGCGGAAGACTAACTGGACTTCTTGGTCAAGGACTTCGGGGTCTCTGTAGCCCGTGGTGTTTGAGATGACGAAGTAACGCTGGTTCCATGCTGAATTGTTCCGCACATCTTTCTCCAGGAGCTGATCCACATAGTCCAGCTCATTGTCCCACAGCTTGTATTCCTGTACAATACAAGAGGCAGGAACAGTCAGCATTTTGCACAATATTGCACTGGCATACTAATATCTGCGTTTGATCCAGCTTTTTTCATGTTGAGAATATGTACATAGACCTTTACAGGACAAACAATAAAGTAGATTGACTGTGTGTAGCAGTCAAGCTGCGTCCATTGATATCCCACAAACAGACATGAAATGGGTGATCAATTTTTTACTTGTAATGACCCTTGCACTTGATATAGCACCTTATCACATCGAGACATCTCCAAGCGCTTAACAGAATATTCTGTAAAGTGGAGTGACAATGTATTTTGTGGGTGAAACATGGCAGCCAATTGCACACAGCAGTGTCCCACAAACAGTCGTGGATTGAGTGACCAAATTATTATTCATTTATTTAAAGAGATTATTACCCCGGAAAAGTGATCCACCAATCAACTAACAACCGGATTCCTACTTACTGCTAGGTAAACAGAGACATATGGAAAGAGTAAGGAAACTTGGCTAAGTTTTCGCCCTGCCCGGGAATAGAACCCGGCTCCTCTCGCTTGCAGGGCGAATGCTCTAACTAGTACACTACAATACAATCCTGTGAAGCTCTTTGAGATGAAGACAGCATGGCCGGTGCTATATCAAATGCACGTATGATTATTATTATTGAACCACTATCAATTCTGAAATCCTGAACTGCCCATCAATTCTTTTACAGCTCTCAAGAATTTGCAACCAAAACTTCAGGTATCTAATTTGATTACCTGGAGCTAAAATATTTGTATGGTTTAGGTATGCTCAGTAAATGAGAAAGATAGCCCAGATCTTAAGTGATCGGTTATCTCCAATGCAATGGGTTCAAAGAAGAAAGAAGCGCTTACTGTACCTTAATTACCCATTGCCTGTGTTGCCAGGCATGGTAGTTCTTTGCATCTTGTTTGAGGATCCCAGAAGTAAAGTCAAGTTCCTGTGAAGGGTCTTTCAACCATTCTACAATCTTCTGTCTGTGATACCTGGCAACCAACACGTAAGTTAGAAAGTGTTCTTTTTTTCTCCCATTTAATAAGCTGGTATCATTAACATGGCAAAGCAACTTTTTTTTTAATATACCAGACTTGATAGTTTTTGGGCTGCTCCTCAATAATATCCGAGATGTAAATCAATTCTGTTTCCAGATCCTTGTTCAAAGATTGCAAGAGAACTCGACGGTAATGCCTGAGGGGAGAATTATATATTAATGTATAAAATTCACACACACCTGCACGCTGAAGCAGCCAGTATTTTAACCTTCTGCAACAGGTTGCTATTGAAAGACCCAAAGCTTTTATAATAATAATCCTTGCATTTGATAGAGCATCTTATCAAGTCGTTGAGACATCTCAAAGTGCTTCACAGAATATACTATAAAGTGAATTGACTGTATATTTTGTGGGTGAAACGAGGCAGCCAAATGCACACAGCAGTGTCCCACAAACAGTCATGAATTGAGTAACCACATTTTTTTGAGGGCTTACCCCTGGAAAGCGATCTGCCAATTGACTAACATCGGTTCCCTCTGACTGCCAGGTAAACAGAGGCATGTGAAGTAAGGAAACTTGGCTAAGGTTCCCCCCCGGGAATTGAACACGGGTCCTTACACTTGCTACGGGACTCCACGTTTCTTACTTCCATGTGGGTAAGCTCCTGGCTTCTGCTTGGCATCTCCCCGAGATGAAATGGGCAAGATTGGCACAATCCTTACCACCTTGTTATTCACCATTATCACACTGTGCTAGAACCAGAAATTCTGGTGTTGTGCACGATGGTTCTTAGTGACAAGTATTCAAACTTGTCACTAAGATCCATCATGCACAACACCAGAATTTCTACATCATAATCATCTACTTCTCCAGAGCATGTCAGACAGAAAAAAAACTCTTCAGCATTTGATGTACACCAGGTAGTCCTACTTTTTGGCTGCCGCTGGCCAGATTCTCTATTTGAAAAAGGTTTGCTGGTCAAATAAGCAGTATTTTGTATTCCAGAAACATAGCATTTACACAGCATCTTTTTCATGTTGGAAGGACATCTCAAAGCACTTCTCACTGTTGGCTGGGCACCTGAGCTGGGGATGGGAGCCGAAGGTGGTGGTTTGCGGAGGAGAAAAATGACCGAAAGCGTGGCCAGAGTTAGGTTGTGACTTGTCTTGAACAAGGGGAGGGGGGTAGTGAGTCGGAGGAACTCCAGGAATTCAACTACAGAGAGCGTGGACAAAATGGCGACTTGAAGCAAGCTGGAGTTTGCTCTGCTGGGTCGGGAGGTTGCAGAGGTAGTGAGGAGGGTTTGAATGCAGGACATAGAGAAGTTTTTCACTGGGGAACGAGGGAGCTTTCTGGGAGCCGAGCTCGCCCGGGGGAGCGCCGAGTGGGCCTGGGGGAGCGACACAGAACCTGTGTGAGCCGCTAGTTGGTCCACGCTGGTCTACTTAAACGCTTACCGTCCGCAACCAAAACTCTTCAAATTATTAGGATTTTCTTTAGCTTCACTGACAAAATTCAACAGTAGCAGCATGGAACAGGATAAGTAAATTGCAAAATTCTCTTCTCTGCGCCTTTTCTAAAGCAATTCCGGTCTGTTTCTTTTTAAAAATGTTAAAAATGAAGAGCCATCTCACCAAACTGTGTAATTCGCAGCATTCAGCTCAATTGCATCCGTCGTCAGATTAAATGCTCGATTACTCCGTTCATCAAGCTTCAAGACAGCTCTGAAGTAATCATATACATCTTGAACTAGTGGAAAAGTGAGAGGTAAAAAAGCACCTTTAGAAAAACTGATGATTTTCAACCCAATTAAACTCACTGAAAATAAGAAATGAAATGAGTAAAGAAATGAATTTCGAAAAGACTTTTTTTAAAAAAAACTCAATGCCACATCAAGCTTCTGATCCCAATGGTATATCTGCTAATGGCGTCATGACGTGGACCTCTGAATTTGCTGTGTTCTTCACAGCGTCTTCAGCCACTACTGCTCTCAGTCCACCTTCCCTTCTTCTAAATTTGCTCATATTCAAACCTGTCACTAAAAAAGCTGATCTGCTTACTTATCAGACTGCTGCTCTACTGTCCCTCTTGCTGTACTTCATATTCATGGAATTTACCATCAACTCGAATTATCCATCACTTTGAAAGCTCTAGCCTAATCCCAGATTTCTAGCATGGACAATTTGGGCCAAATGGCCTGTTTCCGTGTCATATCATTCTATGTATTTCCAGTATGGTTTACATTCTGTAGGCTTCTCAAGGGATCTTCTCAACTATTCTACATATCTGCGGGCTTTGCCCTTGAACAACTTAGGGACTCGTTGATCAATATAACAACAACAATAATCCTTGCAATTGATACTTGTGCTTGATCACCTTGGTGAGATGTTTCAAAGCAGAATATACTGTAAAGTGAATTGACTGTATACTTTGCGGATGAAACACAGCGGCCAATTGCGCACAGTAGTATCACACAAACAGTCATGGATTGAATGATCAAATTATTATTGTAGAGGCAGGGAAACATTTAGTAAACTATAACACAGTTAGATTTGATATAAAATTGAAAAAAGGGGTGCTGTGTGAGAGATAAAGCTCACACTGGAATGGAAAAAAAAATTAAGGAGATAAAGGAACTAGCAGATACCTTGGGTAGAAAAACTGGCAGATAAATCAATGGATGAATAGTCGGAAACTTTCAAATATGGAATGGATAGATTGAAAACTGGACATATTTCCACAAGAAGGTGGTGTAACAAAAAAACTAGGGTTCCATGGATTAATTTTAAAAACTTAAAAAAGAAACACATGGTAAATCTAGAAGTAATGCAAAAGAAAATCAATACACAGACAAACTTGTTCAAGCAACTAACTCCATTCAGAAACAACCCCATTAACAACCACCCTAGAACAGCCTAACTCAGAGGTCACTCGTTGTTGAAGACAGGTTTGATTTCAATACAACTTAAACTTATATAGTGCCTTCCATATCGAGTGGATGTCTCAAAGAGCTTGATAACAAACGGAATATCGAAATTATAGAGGAGAAGTAAAAGAGAAAGGTTGCAAAGTCTAAGAAGGATTGTGATAAAAGACTGGCAGGCAACAAAGAAAAATACTAAAATAAAATTATAAATACATACCAAGCAAAAGAATTGTTAAAGAAACGGTAGACCCAATTAGAGATGAAAGAGAAATCTTGGAATGGGGTTGAAGGAAAAGCAGAGACATTAAATGTGTTATTTCACCTTTTTCTAAACAAAAGAGGGCGATAGTGGGTTTGCGAGGATAGAAGAGGTGGAGGTGGAACAATTTGTAGAGAGAGAAATGAAATCCACCCAAAAAAAATTTTGATCGAAATTCAAAGTAGACAAGTCACCAGGGCTCAGGGACCTGGAACACTGAGGGAAGTCAGAGAGGCTGATAGGAAGTGTGTTTGAGGTTTGATAAAAATAGACTGGGGAAGTTATTTCCATCGGTCAGTAATTTGAAAGCATATATTTAAGATATAACACAGAGAGTTGTTAGGGCACATAATGCCCTGTGGTCGAGGCAGACTCCGTATTTGTTTTTAAAAGAGGGAATTATATATATATGTGAAAAGGAGAAATGTAAAAGGGAATGTGGAAAAGGAAGAAACATGGGACTAAATGGATAGATCTTTGAGACAGTCAGGACAAGCAAAATGACATATACAAATTTGCACAAATATTTCAAATTTAAAAATTATCTCCTTCTGTGCTGAAAATTTCTATGGTACTATAACAAGCCTCACAACCTCTTCTGATCTCAAGTGGGATCTCACATCTCCTCAGTAGCTAAAGCTGATCCAAGAAACTTGGTATCTTCTTTTTGTGACAGATATTTTTCTTATTGCCCCTCTTTCTTCCCCCCACCCCACTTCTCCCCTTCAACAAGTTTTAACTTATCTTTTAAAAAAAAATCTGAAATCTTTTGGGGAAGACATTAGGAAAAGGAACTTCCATGTTATAATTCTATCTTCATGTAATATTGGCTGTGAATAAAACAAATGTCTGTTCAATTAACAATCGAGCCTGCCTGTGACATGCTGTTCTCTTTGATGGGGACCTAGCGATGTTAAGAGAGTATGCACACTTCTGACAAAACAAGAAGACTGATTATTTGTTTGCAACACAGACCCGATGATGATGGCAGAGGGTAGCTGTCTAACAGTGGTTCAGATAGTAGATGAGAAAGACAGCTTACAGGATCACCAGAGACTGTTGGAAGAAAAATAATACTCTAACCCTTCCCCCACCCCACCGGCTGCCAAAACTCAAGATAGAATTTAAAAAAAGTCTTCTTAGACCTCAAGGACCCTCTCCACTGCTATCTACATCTGGAACCCTTCGTTCAATACTCACAGATCTCAGAATAAGCAATCTGAACAACTGGATTTGGTCCATCATCCTGTGGAACGGGATCGATATCAGCCCATTCTTTTCTGTCTCTGTTGATAAAGGATGAACCTCAATTAATATTTCTTGCCCAAAATTGGAGCTGAAATAATTTTTTTCTGCCTTGGTAATGATGGAGTCAGTGCAATGTTAGCAGGTCTTTACAATACTCTCTCTGCGTTGCATAGAGATCTTATGTGTAAAGTTCAAAGAAACCTAAATAATAAGGCACACTATATGACCTACATCAGTAACTCAAAGACTCCCATTTACTGCAGCTAAACAGGATTTTTGTGAAAATCTAACTTTGCACTTGAGATCATAAGAGATAAGGAGAGCTGTACTCAACCGCAGGTACATAAATGACTACAAATCCTTAAGAGGAAACAAAAAGTACCAGGCATATGTACCAGCACTGCTTTCCCTCTCCAGCCCCACGATGCTGGGTCTCACTGAAACCCTAATTGAAATGCTGTAACTCAAACACAGGTCAGAGATCAAACCTCAGGCCTTACCAATATAACTGAATCAGCAACATTTACAGAGTGCATTTGCCCACTTATCATCATAATTGCATTTCATATAGTGCAGATAATGTTAAAACGTCTCAAAGTGCATCACAGGTAATGGTCGTGCAGGGATTGTGTGTTTGTGGGCTAACTTAACAGCCAATTTGTGCACGTGTAAGTTCCACAAGCAGCCATGAAGTGAATGACAAATTTAGCTGGAGGATTGCTGTCCAGGCCGCCAGGAGAAACACCCTGCTCTTTCCAAATAGATTCATCGGAACTTTAATGTCCGTGTGAACAGGCAGACACAATTAAATATCTCATCTGAAGGACAGCACCTCTGACACCCCAGCATTTCCCCCGCTACTGAAATGTTTAACAACAGTAACGACAAAATTACATTTATAGAGCGCCTTTCAGATCGGGAGGACATTCCAAAGCGCTGAACAGTCAGGTGTCGAGGCCCGAGCATGGGGGAGGGGTGGTGTAGGGGTGAGGGAAGGCAGAGAGGTGGGAGGGTGACCAAAGGCATGGTCAAAGAGAAGGGACCTTGAAGGAGGCAAGGGAGGAAGCGAGGCGAAGGGACTGTGGGATGGAGTTCCAGAGTGTGGGGGCAGAGAGGCTGAAAGCCCGGCCATCAATGGTGGGGTGGGTCGGGCGGGAGACAGGAGTCCGCTGAACGGAGGGAGCGGGCAGATTGGTAGGGAGTCAGCAGATCAGAGAGGTAGGAGGGGGCAAGGCCATGGTTGGCCTTGAAAGTGAGGACGAGGATCTTGAATTCGATCCTCTGAGGGATGGGGAGTGAGTGTAGTCGGGCGAGGGTTGGAGTGATGGGGTCACGGAGCCTGGTTTAAATACTGATAAAGGGCTTCAACTCACAGGCAAAAGTGCTATTAACTGAGCTAAGCTGATGCCAGAGCCAAGTTGGTAACACTTTTTCATTCATGGAGTCACGGACTAGGAGTCCAACTACGTTTTTATATTGCTTTCAGCACAGTTTTTACAATGCACATGGCCATAAAGCAGCCTGTGGAAATGGACCATTAAAGACCTTTTAAAATACAGTTTGAGTGATGCAAGGTGGAGTATGAACATGGTGAGTGGATGGTAATTAGCGCCTTAGATTAATATTCTTTCCATGCTGAGTTGACTCCGTTAGTTATCCTGTGAAGCATTTTGGGAGGTCGTACTGAAACACGTCAAAGAATATAATGAAGTGCAATGACTGTGTGTGTGGGTGAACACAGTAGCCAACTCGCGCACAGCAATGTCCAGCAATGCTCACAAAAGTTTGAGTTGCCGCAGACTGACTCAGGATGAAAAGGCTGTCTTAGAGCCACTGGCAGCAGGACTGGTTCTGACGGCAAATGCCCCTTTGCCTCTCCCAGTGGTGTAAACAGTGCATAGATCGTATGACATCATCACCTCCCACACGTGATAATAATAATCCTTACATTTGGTACAGCGTCTTTCACACCGGGAGGGCATCCCAAAGCGCTTCGCAGAACATACTGAACTGCACTGACTGTGTGTGTTTTGTGGGCAAACAGAGCAGCCAATTTGTGTAGAGTGATGTCCCACAAACAGCCATGGAGTGACCAATTTTATTTGGGGGATTATTGGCCAGGACACCAGGAGAAACTCAGATAGCATCCAAACACGCAATGCTTTTGTGTACGTGATACAATGTTGTCACTCTTTCTGTGAGTGCATGGGAGGTGGTGAGCAAACCGAAAGCTGCACTTGCACATCAAGAGACTTTGTCCCAGCATATTCCCCCATATTCTCCTCTTGCTTGACGCACCATCAGTCAATCAGTGAGAGATAAGTAACAAAAATATAATAATCCTTGCATTTGATATAACGCTTTTCACGTCTTCAAGACATCTCAAAGCTCTTCACATAATATACTGTAAGGTGAATCGATTGCATATTTGTGGGCGAAACACGAGAGCCAATTGCGCAGTTTCATTTTCTTGAATCTTAAGCCTTTAAATTTGCAAAGCAGTCTCCACAAGAAGCACACTACACTTTGCAGTAAATCCTGTGAAGTGCCTCGAGATATCCTCATAATGTGAATAATAATCCTCGCATTTGATGTAGTGCATCATCATGTCATTGAGACACCTCAAAGAATATATTGTAAAGTGAATTGACTGTATTTTGTGGGCCAAACGCAGTAGCCAATTGCCCATGTCAATGTCCCACAAACAGTCGTGGATTGAGTGACCAATTATTTTTGGGATGATTATCTGCTAATTGACTAACAACCAGACTAACAATTGACTATTTACTGCTGGAGAAACCGAGGCATATAGAGTAAGGAAACAACAACAACAACAAGATTCCATTTATAAAGCGCCTTTCACGTCGGGAGGACGTCCCAAGGCGTAGCACAGTTGGGTCATGACCCGAGCAGGGGGAAATGGTCATGGTAGAGAGTCGAGAGGGGAGCTGAAGGCTCGGTCAAAGAGAAACTTGCCTAAGGTTTTGCCCTACCCAGGAATCGAACCCGGATTTTCTTACTTGAGATGCGAGCGATCCAACCACTATGCTACGGGACTCCACAAGAAAAGTGCTGTATCAAATGGAAGGTTTTTCCCCGCTTCGGATAAGATATGAAAACGAGGTCCCGTCTATCTGTTCAGGTGGACATTAATGATCCCATGGCACTATTTCGAAAGAAAACCGAGTCACTCACGGGGTCCTGGCCAACAATCCCCCAAATAAAATTGGTCACTCCCTCCATGGCTGTTTGCAGAGTGTTGCTGTTCCCAATTGTGCTGCTGTGTTTGCCTACAAATACACAATCACTCCATTTCACAATAAATCCTATGAAGCTCTTCGAGATGTCCTTCCGATGCTATATCAAATGCAAGGATTGTTATTATTTGTTTTTACTACGCCTAGCTCTAATCTGCCTGTTCTATCATCGTGGTTTTAGTCTTATAGCTCCAGTCTAGTTATCCGGGTGCATATAAAAAACACGCAACATAATAATCCTTGCATTTAATATTGCGTCTAATCACGTCGTCGAGACGTCTGAATGGGCTTCACGGCGTATATTTTGAAGTGGCTTTGACTGTATTTTGCGGGTGAACACGGCAACCCGTTTGCGCGCAACAACCTTCCGCCGCAAACAGCCATGGAGCGAAGTGGGCAATTTTCATTTGGGGGATTGTTGGCCAAAGCACCGGAAGTCCTGTGGCTCAGTGGTTAGAGCACTCGCTTTGCAAGCGAGAGACCTGAGTTCAATTCCAGGCAGAGGGCGAAACCTTGGGCAAGTTTCCTTACTCCACACAGAGCCTAATAATAATCCCTCCAAAACCCAAAACAATAATAAATTGGTCATTTTCAATCTACGACAGTTTGTGGGACATTGCTGTGTGCAATTGGCTGCCGCGTTCGCCCACAAATATACAGTCAATTCACTTTACAGTGTGTTCTGTGAAGCGCTTTGGGACGTCCTCCCGACGTGAAGAGCGCTATATCAAATGCAAGGATTATTATTATTATTATTATTAAGAGGGAAACTCGCGTCTCTTTTCGAATAGCGCCCCCGGGACCTTCACTGTCCCTCTGAACAGGCGGACGGGATCTTGGCTTTAACGTCTCATCCGAAAGCCGAGACCTCAGACAATGTAACACCCTCCAACATTGTATAATATATATATACACACACACACACACACCAGGGAGGGCTTCTGAGGACCGGGCGCCATATTGGAGAGACATCCTGGGCCGTAATAACAATATTTTTTGTTTTCTTTCCAGAAACATAAACGTAACATAATCTATGGGTTATGGAGGGAGAGGGGAAGGGGAGAGGGAGGGGAGAGGGAGGGGGAGGGGAGGGGAGAGGGAGGAGGGGAGAGGGAGGGGGGGGAGAGGGAGGAAGAGAGGGAGAGGGAGGGGGGAGAGGGGGGGAGAGTGAGGCGGGAGGGGGGGGGAGAGGGAGGAGAGGGAGGGGGTAGAGTGGGCGAGAGAAGGGAGGGAGAGGGAGGGGGAGAGGGAGGGGAGAGGGAGGGGGGAGAGGGAGGAGGGGAGAGGGAGAGGGGGAGAGGGAGGGGGGAGAGGGAGGGGGGGGGAGAGGGAGGGGAGAGGGAGGGGGAGGGGAGGGAGAGGGAGGAGGGAGAGGGAGGGGGAGGGGGGGGAGAGGGAGAGGGGGGGAGAGGGAGGGGAGAGGGAGGAGGGGAGAGGGAGGGAGAGGGAGGGGGGAGGGGGGAGAGGGAGGGGGGAGGGGGGAGGGAGAGGGAGGGGGGAGAGGGGGGGAGAGGAGGGGGAGGGGAGGGAGAGGGAGGAGGGGAGAGGGAGGGGAGGGGGGGGAGAGGGAGAGGGGGGAGAGGGAGTGGGGGGGAGAGGGAGGGAGAGGGAGGAGGGGAGAGGGGGGGAGAGGGAGGGGGGGAGGGGGAGAGGGAGGGGGGAGGGGGGAGGGGAGAGGGGGAGAGGGGAGAGGGAGGGGGGAGAGGGAGGAGGGGGGAGGGGGGGAGAGGGAGGGGGGAGGGGGGGAGAGGGGAGAGGGGGGGGGAGAGGGGGGGGGAGAGGGAGAGGGGAGAGGGGGGGAGAGGGGGAGAGGGGAGAGGGGGGGGGAGAGGGGGTGAGAGGGAGGGGGGGGAGAGGGACGGGGGAAGGGGGGAGAGGGAGGGAGGAGGTGGGGAGAGATGGGGAGAGGGAGAGGGAGAGCGAGTCAGACAGACAGTGATGGAGAGGCCTTCGGTACCTGTAGAATACATAATCCTCGGCCCCGGGTGAGCTCCTGCAGTCCGCCTGGGCCTCAGGCGGGGCCCCGGGGCAGCGCTGCTCCTCCCGACCCGACACCACCTCCTGCTCTGACATCCCACCAGCTCACTAACCACCAGCTCACTAACCCCCCCCACCAGCTCACTAACCAGCTCACTAACCCCCCACACCAGCTCACTAACCACCAGCTCACTAACCACCAGCTCACTAACCCCCCCCACCAGCTCACTAACCACCAGCTCACTAACCAGCTCACTAACCCCCCCACCAGCTCACTAACCACCAGCTCACTAACCAGCTCACTAACCCCCCCACCAGCTCACTAACCACCAGCTCACTAACCAGCTCACTAACCCCCCCCACCAGCTCACTAACCACCAGCTCACTAACCAGCTCACTAACCCCCCCCACCAGCTCACTAACCACCAGCTCACTAACCAGCTCACTAACCCCCCCCACCAGCTCACTAACCACCAGCTCACTAACCAGCTCACTAACCAGCTCACTAACCCCCCACACCAGCTCACTAACCCCCCACACCAGCTCACTAACCCCCCACACCAGCTCACTAACCCCCCACACCAGCTCACTAACCAGCTCACTAACCCCCCCACCAGCTCACTAACCCCCCACACCAGCTCACTAACCCCCCCCACCAGCTCACTAACCCCCCCCCACCAGCTCACTAACCCCCCCACACCAGCTCACTAACCAGCTCACTAACCCCCCACCAGCTCACTAACCCCCCCACCAGCTCTCTAACCAGCCCCCCACCAGCTCACTAACCAGCTCACTAACCCCCCACACCAGCTCACTAACCAGCTCACTAACCCCCCACACCAGCTCACTAACCAGCTCACTAACCCCCCACACCAGCTCACTAACCCCCCACACCAGCTCACTAACCAGCTCACTAACCCCCCACACCAGCTCACTAACCAGCTCACTAACCCCCCACACCAGCTCACTAACCCCCCACACCAGCTCACTAACCACCAGCTCACTAACCCCCCACACCAGCTCACTAACCACCAGCTCACTAACCCCCCACACCAGCTCACTAACCCCCCACACCAGCTCACTAACCACCAGCTCACTAACCAGCGCCCACTGTCTGACTGATTAACTCTCTCCCTGACCCCACTGTCCAGATCCCACACTAATATACCCACCGACCCGCTCAGCTCAGCTGCCCTCCCTGCCCTCCCTGCCCCCCCTCCCTGCCCTTCCCTCCCCTCCCTGCCCTGCCCCGCCTGCCCTCCCTGCCCCCCCTCCCTGCCCTGAGTAACTCACTGGTCAACCCCCACTGTCCAGCACAGTCATTGACCGAGTCAGGAGGATGCCCAGAGCCGGCGCCTCCCTCTCTCTCAGCGTCACTTCCCCCTCCTCGTCCCTCCCCACTCACAACAAGTCACCAGCAGCACAGACAGCAACAGCGCAGTGAAGCTTCCCTCAGCTCTCACTGCTTAGTAATGTTACCTTTTATTATTAACTCGCCGACCACCACCACCAACCCCTCCCCCCCTCCTCCTCTCCTACTGAAATACCACTCTGTGCTGCCACAACAAAGAGTCCCCCCCCCCAAAAAAAAAACAGATGATTTACGATTATAACCTAATAATAATTATAATGATAATAATCCCGGCCTTTGACTTCTTCGCTCGTTGTTGGATCGTGGAGCCCGTCTCAAAGCGTTTCGGAGGATTTTACTGTGAAGCGCAGTGACCGTACCTTTAGGCCAACCTGGCACCCAATTTGTGCGCGGTCATGAAGTGAGGGAGCGATTTTACTTGGGGGGGGTTGGTTGTTGGCCAGGACATAGGAAGAAATTCCATCTCTTTTTGAATAGTGGGATGGGATCTTTAACGTCCACTTGAAGGACAGAATTTCCAACAAAGTGGCCCTCCCCAGCACTGCACTTGTGTGTCAGGCTGGATTGTGAGCTTAAAGTCCCAATGTGATCTCCTCCAGCCCCCGCACCATCCATCACATGTGGTGTTCCTCTGAGCTCTGTCTTGGTCCCCTCCTTTTCAATATCTATATGTTGTCCCTCGGTAACATTGTCTGCAGACATGGAGTCAACTTCCATATGTATGTGGATGACACTCAACTCTATCTCTCTGCCTCCACCCTCAATTCCAGGACAACTGCTGTCCTCACAGACTGCCTGTTGGATATCAAGTCCTGGATGACAGCTATACCCCACATCCTTGCCATGACCCGCTCTGCCTTTTCCCACGTCCTCAACATCGCTTAGCTCCGCCACAATCTCACACAGCAAGTGGCCAAGACCCTCGTAGATACATTCATAACATCCAGGCTCGATTACGCAAACTCCCTGCTTGTTGGCCGTCCCAACTCCTCCCTCCATAGGCTGCAGATCCTCCAGAACTCCGCAGCCCGTGTTCTCTCCTGCATCAGGCTCTGCGACCCTATCGCCCCCATCCTTACCCAACTCCACTGGCTTCCCATTACACAGGATACAGTTCAAGATCCTGGTCCTCACTTTCAAAGCCATCCATGGTCTTGCTCCCCCCTACCTCTGTGACCTCCTAACCTCCTACCAACCTGCCTGCTCCCTCCACTCAGCGGGTTCAGGCCCTGCTTCACGTCCCCCGTCTCACCCGCCCCACTATTCTCTCCCAAGGCCATTCAGCCTGTCAAGCCTGTTCTACCATTTAGTTAGAATATCAAGGCTGATCTGTAACTCAGGACCATTTGTTAATGTTTTCTCCATACTCTCTGCAGCTCATGAACTGCAACTCATTATTCTCTCACACACAAGCGACTGCTTGATAATAATCTCTAAAGTTTTGGAGCACGAAAATGATGAATGGTTTTGGTGGGTAAATGGAAAATTACTACTTCCACTGATAAGTGAGTTGGTAACAAGAAAACATAAGTTAAGTGTAAAGCAGAATAAAGACCAATGGAGGTTAGATTTTATTTTAAAAAGCTTTATTTTTCATTTTTCCAAACACAGGATAAAAACATGAAAACAACATCCAAAGTTGGGGAAAAATCTCAGTTCTGAGGTTAGAATCCTACATATGGACAGCAGCTAAAAGCCACTAACACTATACCAAAACAACATGTAAGACATCTATATCAATAACAAACAGCAGGCAACACCATTATATAAATATACTGTATATACATAATTTCTTGAATAAGAGAGATGGCCAAACATGGGAACAGGCTAGAGGGTTCAAAGTCAAACAGAGCTTCCCCATATTATGTGATGGGACCAAAGAAAACTTATCCTAGGATGCTCAACAGACTGGAAGATGTGATGGCAAGAGATCAAATGCTGCAGGTCAGACAGCAGCCACTGTCCAAGAGTCTAAACGGAGAAGACTACTTTTATGCAGAGGTCAGTCAATACAGAATACGTTACCACAAAAGAAATGCAGAATGAGAAGCAGAAATCTTGCAGCTTAAACCCCCAAACTATACAGTCAATTCACTTTACAATATATTCTGTGAAGCACTTTGAGACGTCTCAACAATGTGATAAGGTGATATATAGCAAATGCAAGGATTATTATTATAACACAGTAGACAGTTTCATGGGAAAGGTTCTTTTATTGAAATATGAGTGCCCTCTAGAGGATAATGTGGGATATTTCTTCTCATTTCCTATTAAGATCAACCATTTTTGCCGCTCACTACCTTTCCATATATGCCCATTCTTATCACTTAAAAATTTCTAGTTGCTGTTTTCTCTCCCCTAATGTTTGTGCAAATTACATTACATTTCATGATTATTTCCCAGAGCAAGTACTTGCTACTTAGGTAAATTCCCTTGAGACCTGCTTAGACGTAAGTCTGTTAGCAATTTTTTATGAATCATGCCGTGGCATTTCTCTACTCTCCGACATACTTATACTCCACTCCTCTACCTGCTCCTTACCTTCATCAGGCTCGTAGCTTCCTGCACGTCCCTCATCACTTCCACTAAGCGACCATGGATTCAAACACTATGCTCCAAGATTCTGGAACTCTCTACCTCAATCCCCTCAGGCTTGCTCCCTCCTTGTTTGTCTTCAGATAATACTTAAAGACCTTCCTCTTCAACCGTGCCTACAGCTTGGTGTCAAGCTCCACCCACTCAGCCTGGCTTGGCATCAAGCTCAGCTACTGTTCAGCTCTTGTGGAGTCCTGTAGCTTAGTTATTAGATCACTTGCCTTGCAAGGACTGGGTTCGATTCCCAGGCAGGGCGAAACGTTAGGCATGTTCCCTTACTCCACACGCCTCTGTTTACCTAGCAGTAAGTAGGAACCCGGTTGTTAGTCGATTGGCGGATCGCTTTTGAAGGTTAATAATCTCTTCAAGTAAAAGAAAAAAAAGCATAATTTGGTCACTCAACCTAATACTGTTTGTGGGACACTGCTGTGAGCAATTGGCTGCCGCATTATGCCCACAACATATACAGTCAATTCATTTTATAGTATGTTCTGTGAAGTGCTTTGAGATGTCTCGAAGACTTGATAAGGTGCTATATCAAATGCAAGGAGTATTATTATTACCCTGCATGAAGGGTGCTATATATGACTACAAGTTGGTGTTTTTGAATTGTGAATTCTAAACACGTTCTTTTGCTTAACAGCTTCCAGTGTTTTACAGTATTTTGCCATATTATCCATAATTGTTGCAAACATTTTCATTCATGAAAAAAGCAAGTTTAAGCCTAGGTATTTCAATTTCTGTTTGCTTTTAAACCCATCTAGAGGATTCAGAATAATTTTCCAATATATCAATTTACTGCTTAGGGAACAGTAGAAAACATGCTAACAGAAATATGACTTGTCATACAATGCGTTTGGCAAGCTACATAACAGAATGTCAAATTACAAATACTCAGGAATATTCTCCCTGTCTCACCCTTTTCACTGCTCAGTAGCAAGGGGAAGAGAAGCTAAGTGAATGTGTGTCTTTTGTCATCAATCTCCCTTAGATGGTTAAATGGTTATAGAATGACACTGAGCTTGGAATGATGTTTGCCATGGGGAAGGGGAGAAGGGTTAACGGTATGTGGAATGTTAATGGAATTTGGCATTCTGGAGAGGGAGGTGTTAATGGACTTTGATATTGCAGAAAGGTAAGAGTTAATGGAATTTGGACTCCGCAGGAGAAAAAAAGTTTGTTAAATTTGTTTTTGTTGGAAATACAAAGAGAGAAAATTCTCATTTAAATTATGCACAACTTTGCTCCAGGATGGCCTGGCAACAACATTTGTTATATAATGGCCTGGCTCAGATTCTTGTTAAAATGTGGTCGAACGTTAGTTAATGAGACTGTTATGTCAATCAGTCCAAAGTGATCTGTGATATGGACCGGCCATGAAGTAAGTTAGCAATCACCGACTGTGGTCCTCAGATTGACCATTGAGAAACACTGGTCTAGATGAACAATGTCAACTCCTACATTATTACACAGTTGAAAAACACATATTCACCAACTAACCTGTCCGATATTATCATTATGATCTTAACCCCTCCCCCCCCACTGCCCCAAGCTTTGGAACTCGCTCCCTCAATTCCTTTGCCTTGCCCTCTTTCCCCATTTTCAGGTTGTGCCTGAAGACCTTCCTCTTTGACTGTGCCTATGGTCACCTGCGCCCTCCCCCGGCTCGGCATTGGGCTTGTTAAGCGCTCTGGGATGCTGCCCGGTGTCAAAGGTGCTATAGAAATGCAAGTTGTTGTTGTTGTTCCAAAAGAACTCAAGTAATTGGCATCACATTTTAAAATTGGCTGCTGTGAGCAGGAGGTAGCATAACTCTATATCCTTGCCTCAATTATCCAATTCTACCCAAATGAGTGATAAAGCACGAACAACACTGGAATCATCAAATCATACAATCACTACACTTTATATGCATCCTGCGAAGCATCTTGAGATGTCTTCCCGATGTGAAAGGCGCTATATCAAACTTAGATTATTATAATAACAGCAATACTGACACTTAGTAGAGCCCCATAACATCTCAACACACTTCTTATTTATATTTGTAAGTGATTGTATATTTGTAAGTGAACACAGCAGCCAATTTGCACATAGGAATGTCTCACAAGCAAGCACTCACTTGGTGAGTGACCAAGTTTATCTGGAGGATTGTTGGTCAGGACACTGGGAGAAATTCCCTTTTCTTTTGAATAGTGCCATCTTTAATGTCAAGTAGCATTACAATAACTTTCACACCCACCTGAACAGACAAACAAGATTGTGGTTTAACATTTCTACCGACAGGACAGAATCCCTCACATTGCAGCACTTCGCTGGCTCCTGTTCTGTGGAATGTCAGATTCAAAGTCCTAAGATGGGGCTTGAACCCACCACTTCCTGATCCAGAGGCAAAAGTGCTACCAACTAAGGCAAGCTGACATCCAAATCTGCCTTTGCAATATTGGGAGTAACAACACTACTCACAAAAAACTCCCAGGGGTAGATTTATTATTTTTAAAATACGGTATTTTCCATTCTCTAGGTTGCGCTCAATCACCATAATGAACACACTGTTCAGGTGCATTTGATTTTATCAAAGAAACACAGGACACATGTTACAGAATTTTCAGTGAGGTCGCAATAAAATGTGCATTTCATGAAGATTATATTACAATTTCTGTTTGGAAGAAATCAATAAACTGATACTTGAGAAGTCTTAGTATAAGTGAATGACAATAAAATCTTACAAAGACTTTCACTTCACTGGAATAATAAACAACACACTTAATTGCATAAGGATCAATAAAGAACACACACAAAGAGATTGTGACATGGAAGACAAAGTAACTCAAATGAAAGTCTCATAAAGACTTTGATTTGAATTACTTTGTAGGTATTAGGTATTACTGATAATCTCGCATTTTGATTACATTTGTTCCTTTTTTCACAAAAAAAGGGCTGTTCTTTCACTATGTCCCTTCTTAGTCCTAGGTTTCTCAATAAAAATATATAAAGTTCCTTCAATGGCACAGCCTAGACTATACAAGACTGGTTGGATGGCTGCAGGTTTGAAACATGGTCTATACTGAGTTAGTTGATCTCAGCCCAGGCAACAATAGGAGCCTTATAATTGGCCTCGGTTCCACTGGGGTTAGGGAGGGGAAAATCAGTTGGGGTTCTCATCTGTGCTCACCATGCAGAAGTCCCTTTGGAAGGAGCTTCAAACAAAGAAGGACTGTGCTCGTCTGTGCTGTGCTGCCCATATGTCTGAATAGCCTGGCAAAACTCACCATCTAGGCTCACAAGTAAAAAATAACCACTTGGATAAACTACTGGGAGACAACCAGTGTCTGTGGAACTGTATCTCAATAAAAGAAAACAAAGGGAAGGCGAAGGGCTTCAGGAGAGGAGATGAGGGACAAAAATTAAGAGGTAGTAGAAACGTACCAGGTTACATGTGGTTGCTCCATAATTCACTAATGCCGTACCCTGTGCTCACGTGCACTTTCAGTTACTGTGCTTGTCTGGATGATGTGTCTACAAGCTGCAGTTACTCCTCTGTCTTGGTTCAGTTTCGTTGACAAGCTGGAGCCTTTGCATCTTGAATGACGTAGAATGCATAAGAGAATCCAGGAAGGCGGATGATGCTCCCTGGTGCAAGCTGCTTTCCCCTTATAACTGGAAGCGTCTCTCTGTCCACCATACTGAGAACCTCATCATTGAGCCGAACCGACCTGAGAATAAGCAAAGGAAATTCATTTTGGCCAAGCAGTATGCCTTAAGTTGATCAGAATTATACTGAATCCAATGTTAAAATGCATGCAATATTGCATTTCCCCTAAAGCTCCAGATTTGTAATCTTTTCATCCCTTTGTAATTTTTTCATCCCGCTGCTCATGTTCGAATTCAAGATCCTCATCCTCACCTATAAGGCCATTCACTGCCGTGCTCCCTCCTACCTCTCCGACCTACTATCCCCCTACCTACCTGCCCGTACCCTCCGTTCCTCTGGCTCCGGTCTGCTCCACAACCCCCGCCCCAACCGCCCTACCATCGGTGGCCGGGCCTTCAGCCTCTCAGCCCCGAGGCTCTGGAACTCTATCCCCCAGTGCCTTCGCCGCCTCCTCCCTTTCCTCCTTCAAGGCCGGTCTCAAGACCTTTCTCTTTGACCGTGCCTTCAGCTCCCCTCTCGACTCTCTACCCCCTCCTCGCTCCCTCCCTTCCCTCCCCCTGACCATTTCCCCCTTGCTCGGGTCCTGACCCAACTGTACAGCGTCTTGGGACGTCCTCCCGACGTGAAAGGCGCTCAATAAATGGAATCTTGTTGTTGTTTTCTCTTCGACTGTACCTTCAGCTCCCCTCTTGACTCTTCCCCTCCTCGCTCCCTCCCTTCCCTCCCCTCACCCTGACCATTTCCCCCCTGCTCGGGTCCCGACCCAACTGTCCAGCGCTTTGGGACGTCCTCCCGATGTGAAAGGCGCTCTATAAATGAAATCTTGTTGTTGTTGTTCCATCTTACAATGCTCCCAAAAGTACAAACATCTGCATCCCTGTGTGCAAACAAGTTGCTTCTGACTCATTCAATGCAGGGAATGATTGATATATAGGCGCTGGACAGTCAGTGTTTTGGACCCGAGCTGGTGGGAATGATTGATATAATGGTCAGTGATGAAACAATGGTGTAAGACAGAGATGCTTCTCATATAGATGAGGATACAGTGCCAAAACTTACAAAACATCTATGAGGAAAGCACAATTGCAACACAAACACAAGATATATTAAGATAACAATGATTGTTGAGCATCTGTCTCCCAGGCTACTGAACAGATCAATTTATAATTATGGAATGCTTTGTGCCTAATGTTTTAATTGCGTGGGTCTGTCGGAGGGAAGGATTCAACAACAACATCATATTTGTATAGCACTTTTCACATCAGGAAGATGTCCCAAGGCGCTGGACAGTCAGTGTTTTGGACCCGAGCTGGTGGTCGGGATTGGGGAAAGGTGGAGGGCAGGGGGTGAAGGAGGGTGATCGAAAGCACGGTTGAAGAGGAGGGTATTGAGATGGGTCTTGAAGGAGGCAAGGGAGGGGGTGAGGCAGAGAAACTGCAGGATGGAGTTCTAGAGGATAGGGGCAGAGTGGCAGATGGCAGGGGACATGAAGTAGGCCGGGTCCCGCTGAGCAGAGACAGCAGGCAGGTTAGTAGGGTTTCAGGAAGTCGTAGAGGTTGGGGGGAGCAAGGCCATGGAGGGCTTTGAAGGTGAAGACTAGGATCTTGAACTGCATCCTCTGCGTGATGAGAATCCAGTGGAGTCGGGGGAGGATGGGGGTGATAGGGTCACAGAGGATGGTGCGGGAGAAGACACGGGCTGCAGAGTTCTGGATGATCTGCAGCCTATGGAGGGAGAAGTTGTGGAGGCCGACAAGCAGGGAATTTGCATTGTCAAGTCTAGATGTTATGAATGCATGCATGAGTGTTCCGGCAACCTGCGGTGTGAGACAGAGGGCGGAGCCGGGCGATGTTGCGGAGGTGGGGGAAGGCAGAGCGGGTCATGGCACAGATGTGGAGTAGAAAGGATAGTTGAGGGTCAAACAAGATGCCAAGGTTACAGACTGGCTGAGTAAGGTGGAGTGTGCATCCGTGAATGGTGATGCTATCAGCGCCTGAGATGTGGAGGCGCTGACGAGATCCAATCAGGAGGCCCACGGGATTGTTGACGTTCAACTGAAGAAACTTAGCTCTCGTCCAGGACTTGATGTCTGACAGACATTCTGTCAGGACAACAGTGGTCCTGGGGTCAAGGGTGGAGGCAGAGAGGTACAGTTGGGTTTCATCCGCATACATGTGGAAATTGACCCCGTGTCTGCGGATGATGTCATTAAGAGGATATAGAGCATATAGATATTGAAGAGGAGGGGACCAAGGACAGAGCCCTGAGGAATGCCGCACAAGACGGTGCAGGGGCTAGAGGAGAAACCATTTGTGGAGATGAAGTGGAGGCAGTGTGAAAGGTACAATCTGAACCATTCAAGGACAGAACCATGAAGGTTGAGGTGAGAGAAGAGGCAGTAAAGCAAATTATGTGAGATCTGACATACAAGTTCCTATTCTGCACCATGCAAGTGCATCACCTTTTACAGACCAGAGAATCAATGTTGACAAAGGTACATGTTGGTGTGGAGGCACCAGGAAAAATGGAAGCAAAAACAATTTATGAATCCTAATGTGGCTTTACCAATCCCAGCAGTGCTGGATTTAAAATATTTTGGGAGAAAAATTCCACCTGGGCCTATTTATGTAGCATTTCTGAGGGTCCAGAATTGTTGAAATCAGTCTTAACTTGGAAGTCGATTTTCAGTAGTCCTTAAAAGCGTTTATAGAAAGCCAACTTGAAAATAAAAACTATATTAAGAATTTGCGAAACTCTACATGCTCTGAAACACTACATAAATTGAGTGAATCTAGACTCAGGTGGAATATCTTCCAGTTATGGGAAAACATATGAATTGGAGCTGTCTACATTTATTTTGGAGAACTTAGTTACTTTTTGAAGAAAACTATATGCTTACTGGGAATACAATCCAGCTTTTCTGTCTCCAGGCTCTAGCAAGAACTGTTGAATGGTTTTGTTGCACAAACTCTCGCACAGGCAGAGGTATTTGTCTTTGTCACTCAGGTTAATAGCAAACATAGTCACCGATCCGTTTCCATAGGCTTCGCTGAAAACAAAATCAAGGTCATTGTTACATCATTGATCATTCACATAGTTTGTGCTACTATCCCTCCCAACATAACACATACATCCTCCTGTGCTCTTCTCATTCTAGCCTCCATAATGCTTGCTTTTGATGTAATACCTTTACACATTGTCAAGACATCTCAAAGTGCTTAGCAGGACTTTTTTTCCAACTGCAAAGTTTAGGTGACTGTGTAAGAAAATGTGGCAGCCAATTTGCACACAGTAATGTCCCACGAACAACCATGAATTGAGAGACAAATCTTATTTGGGGGATTGTTAGCCATGACACTGGGAGGAACCCCCTTTTCTTTTTAAGTGGATCATTAACATCCACTTGAACAGGCACAGACAGGAACTCAATTTAACCTCTTATCCGAAGGATAGCACCTCCAACAATGTAGCTCTCCCCACAACACAGTACTGGAGTGCCAATCTGAACTGTGAGCTCAAAGTCCTGAGGTGAGACTTGAACCGACAACCTTCTGACTCAGGCAAGAATGCTACCAACTGAGCCAGGTTAACAACCAAGACCATTGCTTACTCCTCGCTCCCTCCCTTACTCCAATGGTGGCTGCATTTTCACATATTAAGCTACTTCCCTCTGGAGCTTGTCCAAAAGCTTTCCACTGTGCACCTTCTCACCTTCTCCACCTACCTTCAAAACCCTTTTAAAAATATATTTTTTGACCATGCTTTTGGTCAACATCCTTAATTCTCACTTCCTCCTCCTTCTTGCTTAGTTCCCTTGCCCCCGCCCATTAAGCATTTCGAGATGTTCAATTTGTATTAAAGCAATAAGTTGAAAGCAATTATATGAGTGAAAATATAAGAAAAAATATGAAAAGTCATGAAAGCAGTTATATAAGTGCACTTTAGTTGTTAATACTATATTTTTAAATAGTTTGTAAAATCCACCTTTAGTGTTTTGATTGTGCTTTCCCCTTCCTCACTGACTCCACTCCTGCCCTCCCCACACACACACACATGCAAACTTACACACTTGGAGTAGAGACTTTGCTGGTTATATACAGAGCCATCATGGGCTCAACAAGTATTAATCTCAGAGCTACATACTTTCTTTTAAGAGTTGTGTGCGCACTTTTTCTTGAAAAGTTGCTCGCCTTTCATCCGTTCTCAGATCCAGTAAATTGGGTCAGAGGCCAATGATACTCTCACTTTGAAAAAATGATATTGAATGAGATTGTTCTGGCATCAGAATTACTGGGTTTGTTTCCACTTCAGGTCCAAGAACACTAATATTATCAATACTGTCTGCACATTTATCACTCAAAAATAATTACAGCAGCTGCTGGATCAACATGAAATATGGTCTCTGGCACATCAGCAGTGTGCTCGAACACCAGAAATGACCTATCTTCACAAGTGGACCTGTCAGAGAATGAATCATTTGTCCAAGGTATGAGACAAGTATTGACTGCCTGACTGTAGGCTCACTTGACAACTTTTAAAGATCTGCCAGTTGTGCGTGAATTGGATAAATGAAGTCTCTCTCGCAAAATAATTAATCCCATTAACAGACCGGTTAATAGTTTTAGATTCCCATAACACTGGAGCTGTGCTGGAGACCTAAAGGATATATTATCCACTTATTCAAAAATAGTCCAATGAACCTGGAAACACATTTCTGCCAAATTTTCTCCTTTCCTTGCCCTTGAAAGTGTCCGATTTCTTCTTCCTAATCTACCATTCTAGTTATTCTCTGGTCCTTTTAACATATGGCACTTATTCACATGTGACCCATAGTGGTGAGCATTGGCAGACTATTTGACCATGGGGTGGTATTACAGCCAAGCTTGACGTTCTCCTAACTAATGTTTGCACATTTCAGCAAGAACACATATTGTGGATATATTGTGAAACTTCGATTGTGATGAGGAACAAGAATCCTGTCTGATATTCTGCTTCCAAACCCAGTGTCAATGAAGCCAATTGTAGCACCCAAACCACGTCTAGCCAGGTTAAGATCAACTGACTTAGCACAGACCAAACTTTGAGCCTTTGATTTTCTGGCCTGATACTGTGGGTAAAGTGACTGCCTTTACTCACCAGGTGTCTCCAAACCTGGAAACATAAATTCATCTAGAAATGTACCCATGACAAAAACAAATGCAATGTACCTCATTATGCCTAATCTTGTGGAAAGCATTTAACAATAATTCTTGTATTTAATATAGCGCCTTATCACATTATCAACATGCCTCAAAGCTCTTCACAGGATTTTATGCAAAGTGAAGTTACTATGCATTTTGTATGGGAATGCGGTAGCCAATTTGCACACAGAAATGTCCCACAAAGAGCCATTAAGTGAACTTTAGCTGGGAGATATTGGCCAGGACACCGGGAGTAACTTCCTTTTCTTTTCAAATAGGCTCATGGGACCTTTAACATCCACCTGAACAAGCAGACAGGACCTCAGTTTTTATACGTCTCATCCAAAGGATGGCTCTCCTTTTGGGATTGCACTTTACCTGTTTTTTTTGGTGCAATGCATATAGACGCGCAGCTTTCCATCGTCTGCTTCATCGCTTTGCACAATATTTACATCCAGCACCTCGGTGCCCACAATCTTCTTGTATATGAGAGAAAGCCAATAATCCTGCATATAAACAGAAATCAAGATTAAATAAAACACAAAGGTATTCAAACTATGAATTACAACCTTTCACTCCATCAACTGCAGGAAATGATACGTACTGGCAATGGATTGAGATGTTTATCCAACAACTGGTAATATCCTGCACCAAACAGAGCCTGTCTGACAACAACATCGATGCCCAGTTTAGCCGACAGTCCAAGTTTGTCCAGCCACCTGCAAGTGAATGAACAATAAAAGATGACTTGCACTAATCTGGCATCGAGTACACATGCTCATAATAAGAGAAAAGATAATTAAATATTCTGATTTGAGTTTATTATAATTGTTCCCAAAATATTCTGCTTGTTTTTCTTATCTTTTCAAGTGCTCTGAGACGCTACCCTGCGTGGTGGGCGCTATATAAGTGCAAGTTGTTGCTATTGTTATCTCATGTGCAGATATACACACAACACAGGATCACAAGGTAGGTTCAGATGAAGAAGGAACAGCCCCTTTGATCTCATACTTCCAGAAAACCCGCCTTCCTTCTATCTCAGCATCTAACCGTGCCTTAACTGGGAGCCAGGGGCTGCTATAGTTATAGGCAAACTGGCCTTTCTCATCCCTTTAGAACTCCCACTCTACCATCTCATCAATTCAGCCTTCAAGTATTTTTTTAAATGAATCCAGTGTCCTTACCTCTATCACCCTTCCTGGCAACCTGTTCCAGTCATTAATTACCCTCTGAGCAGAAAAAAACTTCCTGTTGTCTGTCCTAAAATTGCCCTTTACAATTCTAAGCTATGTCCTCGTGTTCTACTATCGAGATGCATCCTAGAGTAACAATCTGGGTTTACATTTTCAATTCTATTTAAAATGTTATACACCTCTATGAAATCCCTTCTGAGTCATCTTCTCTCAAGAATGAAGAGGCCCCACCTAGCTTGTCTCATGCCATGAGGACACCTCAAAGAGCTTCAAAGGATTTACTGTCAAATGCAGTGACTGTGTTTTGTTGACAAATGTATATACACCAGCTACTCACATAAAGCCTGCTACATATTTGTTAGAGAGATCAGGAGCTCCACCTCCAAAAGCTGAGCTGGTCTCTCCTAACCACACTTTCTTACCAGCAACGGTTTTAGCCACAACCTACAGAAAGAGAAAGAAAAACAATTCATGTACAACCAAACTCAGACTTTAATAACTGAACCAGAGAGAAAAAAATCTGCACAGATCTGAGGTGGCTTATAACTTACCTCAAAGAACAAAAACTAGACCTTACACAATGCTTCTATATGTAATAAATGCTGTTTGATCTAAGATAATTTCTTGCCTTAGGAAGAAAGGAAATAGAAAGAAAAGGAGTAGTCTCTTCGTGAGAGGGGCCAGTTGGGCTAACAGGGCAAAACTCATCTCTGAGTCAGAAGATTGTGGGTTCACACCACTCAATAGGGCTTTGAACTCACAGCCTAGGCTGACACTCCACTGCTGGGGCAGGGATGCATTATTGGACATGTGACCTTTCAAGATGAGGAATCAAACTAACTAAATTCCTGTCTGCATGTTTAGGTGGACGGTAAAGATCCCGTTGCACGATTCGTAAAAAAGAATGGGGTTTCCCCCAGTGTCCTTGCCAACAATCCCCCGGATAAAACTGGTCAATCGTTGCATGGCTGTTTATGGGACAATGCTGTGTGCAAAGTTGGTTGCTTGGTTTGGCTACAAAATATACAGTAAATCCTGTGAAGACATTCTCCCAACATGAAAGGAGCTATCTATATCAAATGCAAGGATTATTAATATTTTTATCAGTAACTTTTTCCTTCAGTGATTGATAGTGAGTCAAAGCAAGCCCGTGGCAGTGTCTGGTGAAGCTCATTTTATATGTAAAGTCACAAAGCAGTACTTACCTGAAAAACTTCTTTTACTTTAGGTCTAAGGCTGTCCAATATTGCTGGGCTCAGAAAATCTTTTAATGATGTATTTCTTCCATTCACATAATAACTGGGGAAGAACAAAAATGTAGTCGCTTACCAATGTCATAATGAGCATCCATTTAATTTGCCACAGTCGGTCTCTCATGTGGCATCACCAACAACAATAAATAGAGAAAAATGCCTACTTACTGGTGCCAGGTAATGGCATTAAGCACGTTCCCTCCAGTTTCAAGAAATCTACGCATGAACCAAATAACACCATTAGATATCATTACTGGATATACTGAATATAACATTTGGAAGGAAATCAAAAGTAGAGATCTAATCAGGCCATCGCCTGGACTTTGTGGATTGCAGAAATGGAAGAATGGAGAATTAGCAGCTCGATGCCATTACAGAACAAACAACTTACAGTGTCAAGAGGGAAATGTAAATTACAAAAAAAATCCTAGTCAAAGAGGAACTAAGCTATAAACCCAGCTTAGTCATTTCACAAAGTCAAAGTAAACAGAATCATATTATAAAGAGAATCCACATGAGCTGGAGGTGATTGGTGGAGGTGTGGGGAGGAGGCTATAATAGCTCAACAAGCACTAGTTTATCAATTAGTCATTGAATCTTTAATTCAGCCGCTCCCTTTCTAATTCCATGGCCTGTTCAAAAAGGGAAAACTGCAGTAACAAGCCTTCAGCTTAAACTGTCATTCACCTCACGCCTGTTTTGTGAGACCTTGCTGGCACAAACAGTCACTGCATTTGCCCTCAAAAAACAGTCACTACGTTTTACAGTAATTACTTGCAAAGTGTTTTGAGAAATTCGGAAGTGGTAAGTTGCTATAAATATGCAAGTTGTTTTTCTTTTAAAAGTTTGGATGCTACCAACCCCTTCAGCAGGTTAACAATCTTGTTTCTCCGAGGTTGCCCAATATCTGGGCCATAAATGCCTGTGTTGCTGAAGGCACTGTAGGTCTTCAGCAGCTTGTATAAGTGCTGAAAGTCCTTTCCAAGCTGAGAGCCTTGAATTTTAATGTGAGCCTTCTTTCTGAAACTGTTGGGTTCTGAAAGCACAGAACAAAAATAGATACACCACAGTCCAGACTTGTTTGCCAAAAGCCCTTATTAGGAGACTCAAAGCCATCACTATTCTTAAGCAACATGTAATTGTCGACAACCCATAAAGTTGTGAATGCCTTATTGAATTGTACTGTTTAAAGCTTACTTCAAAGATTAAACACACCATTGCAAAATGTTATTTACAACAAATATTGATAGCAATAGCACTGCCAAATGAAATGCAGGTTTCCATGCCTACAGTGGGGATGAGGAGTTACTCTAATACAAACAGCAGGATTGGATGCCTACAATCTACTGCTTAAATAAGTGAAAGGTTGACTTGAATAGTTTGATAGAAGTACAGGGTTCATATTGTACTTTTACTAAAAACAATACAACACATTGCATTTATATAGCACTTTCATGTCCGGAGGAAGTCCCAAAGTGCTGGACAGTTGAGGGTTTGCATACAAGCTGAGAGTTGGATTCGGGAGGGGTGGGGGCCAAGAGCAGTGGGTGGGTAGGGGGAAAGACGACCGAAGGCGTGATCAAAGAGAAAAGTCTTGCGATGGACTTTGTAGGAGATGAGGGAAAGGGCAAAGTGAAGGAACTCCAAAATGGAGTTCTAGAGAGTGTGACATAAAGTCTGAAGGCCCAACAACAACAATAATCACGTCAGAAGGTCATCTCAAGGCGCTGGACAGTCAAGGATTTGCACCTGAGCTGGGGTTTGGGATGTGGAGGGCAGGGAGAGTGGGAGTAGGAGGTTGACCAAAGACATGATCGAAGAGGAAGGTCTTGAAGTGGGCACTGAAGGAGGCAAGGGAGGAGGCAAGGTTAAGAGACTGTGGGATGAAATTCCAAAAGGTGGGGACAGAAAGACTGAAGGCTCGATCGCCGATAGTGGGATGGGACGGGCGGGGGACGTGGAGCAGGCCAGAGTCTATCAAGCGGAGGGAGTAGGTAGGTCCCAGATGGAGAAGATGTCATTTGTGACTTTTACCAGGGTAACTTGGTACTGTGGGCAGCCCGGAATCCAGATTGGAAGGGTTCATGCCAGAGAGTGCAGTTAAAGGAAAAAGTGAATCTGGGAAGCAATGACTTGTTCCAATATTTTGTAGAGGACAGGAAAGTTGGAGTTGGGACAGTGGTTATGGTGTAAGGATGAAAATAAAGAAAATACATTTGCTATAGACATTTTTCCCCTCCCTGGTATGAAACACGCAAGTGGGAAAAAAGAATTAAGGGTATGGGGTACAGCTTTTATGGTGTTAAACCAGCACCAGCATAATGCTGCTGACAGTGATGTATGAGCTTCCCACACAATCATTTCCAACAGCGCCCTGGACCTAAACTGACCAGTTAGTGTCAAGCTGAATGATTGTGTAGTCTTACGCTGTGGGGCTGTATTAACTGGAGTAGCAGTGGCCAAATTGGCCCGTGGGCCAGAAATGGCCCGCAGGACCATCAAGAAGTGGCCCACCAAATATTCGCACTAATCTAGGTAAGTCCATGTTCAATCAATGGTGTGTTTCTAGTTTTTTCTAGATTGAATATTTCTTGATTTGCATCATATATGGCCACCACTGGACTGGAGACTAGATGGTGACTGTTTATTTTAAGAATACTAACAGCTGCTCCAGATAGCAGCCCTTAGCCATCTGCCTGAGCTGAGTTCACCGCAGGATCCAGAGGTCAAAGGCAGTTTATTTTATTTATTGGAGCACTGAGTTCAGCAAAACATTGCAGTTTCCACAACATTGCAATAACACAGAGCATTGTAATAACCATGTATATTCTCCGACTAAGAAAGCTTAAAAAACACCTACCATTGCCAAGTTCCCAGGACACATTATATTGCTTTGACGCACAGTACTTCAAGAGCTCTTGAGCATTTGAACTATCCCAGGCATGTTTTTTCCGTAGTAAGGCATTGAGACCAAAGATTAAATGCAGACCAGAGCAGTTTGCAAAACTATGCAAGATGTCAATGGACCTTCCTGTTTAAAGAAAATATATTTATACACACAAGTGTCAATCAGAGGCCATGCAAGAAAAAGCGCACATTTATTCTTCACTTACACTGGGAAGCAGTTTATGCAGTTAGTGAAATTGACTGGTCATCTGAACCAGCTGGTCTGAAAGTACAATGATTTCATTGTTCTGCACACCGGTTTCTGTGTTGAATTAACACAGCATCATTCAATATTGTGCACATGAGAATTGGATTGCGGTAACTGCATTTGAATTATTAATTCATCCAAACTGTTCAGATAAGTGCTATCTCTCTGCGCATAAAATGTCCTGGTGATCATGGGGTAAACTTGGTGGCATTTCACATTCCTTTGTGTTAATTTACGCAAAGAACGCATTCTATAAACGATTCATTTCTGGCTGTATTTGTAAAGACCTCGGGGTCTAACCCCTTCGCTTCTGCAGGCACTGACACTTGGCGGAAGATGTTTCCAGGAATATTAGTCATGCTCAAGTGACCATTCTTTACATGCAAGCCTAGACAGTAAGGTTGTTCAGTCACAGAAGTATCATAGATAAGCCCCACTCTTCTCTCACACACTTTTCCAGTGGCAATTGGTGGGTGGAGAAGGGGTTCATTTAATGTCAATCAGAAACCAGACCCTTTTTCCCTCAATAACCAAGGGCAATGAGGATAAACCCATCCCTGCTGAGATCAGGTAATTTAGCACACAGTGGGGATCAGACCTGAGGCTTTCTGGAACCAGCAGAGTTTAGTTTCACTCCAGATTGTGATTCTGATCGATTAAGCCATTGGGCGAGTTCTCAGTCACATTCTTGGTCAAATGTTCACTCAGCGGAGGCAGAGTCAATTTCTCTACAAGTCTAGTCCACATAGCCATTACTCTATATGTGTGTATGTGTTTGTATATATGTCTGTGTATGTATTGAGGGAAGAGGAAGAGAAGACATTTCTTCTAATCTTTCTAATCCTAAATCTTGCTTGAAGCTGGAGATTTCATTGCTGTGTGTCTAATACTCCGCTTTCAGTCCCTCGTGGCAAGGAAAAACATTTGAATGGTGCAATTTTAATTTTATAACTGCAAATTCTAGCTTCTAGGATCATTGTGGCTGGTTGAAACTGTAATGTTGACCTTGTGATCTGTATTATGTGTGTTAAGCCATTTGAAGGTGGCAGTGACAAATACGCTTCCAGCTATCTGACAATTTTTATTATAACAATAATAAACCTTACATTTTATATAGCTCTGTTCATGTCAGGAGGACATCTCAAAACGATTCACAGGATATTCTGTAACTGTAGTGACTGTATTTTGTGGGCGAACATATGAAGTGTTGACACAACAATCCAGTTACCTGAAATGGTGATATTTTTAAAATCATTTTGGAATTGCTCTCTCAGAACGAAGGGTTCTTGTGAAGTCAAAACATATTTCAGATATTCTTCGTCTTCAAAAGAAATTGGTTTTGGGCAATTTCCTGCCAGGAAACAAAAATAATAATAATAATAATAACAACTGTTGCATTTTGATATAGAGCCTTATCCTGCCATTCAAACATCTCAAAGCGTTTCACAGGATATACGTAAAGTGTTATGACCCCATTATCTGCAAATGGTCTCTAAAATCTAATTCACAGTAGTTAATACAATACAGGATTCTGTACAGATTTTAGATTGAAAGTAATTTTCACCTATAGGATACTGCAGAAACTGGTTGTCACCAGGTTTTATAGGTGACAAGACTGACTGTAGCAATTTCAGCTCTTTATATCTATTGTAGTTTAAGCACTCTAAAGCGCTACCTGCATGAAGAGTGCTATATAAATGCACGTTGTTCTTGTAGAGTTCACCTGTGGGGTTGCATAGTATTCTGCCTGAGGACGGAAAAATAAAACCCTAAAACTGCTCTTCATCTTCAAACTGTTGTCTTAAAATTTAATATTGTGCAGGATTTTGGAAAATACTTATTTTTGGCACTAATTTGGAATCTCGTTTTCTGTGACAGCTGTTCTTTTCAAAAAAAATTAAAACTGAATTTAAGGGTTTTTCAATATTCTGCAGAAACTTAAAGTTTAAGACAATGAATATTCTTAACAGGACAATGAGGGATTTCATGCTTCAATTGTCAAGGTTAATGGTTTACACAGTTTTTGTAGCTAAGAAAACAGAGAAACCAATGATTGTTAAATTTTAATACAAAATTTAAGACGAGGGAACAATCTCAGGTCATATCAATCTTCTAGATGAAATGTGATCCGAAGGTGGGCTAATGGGGGGAAGGGGAGGGGAATTATAAAAATAATGCAGATACTTTTATAGCTATGGTTTTGTGCCTTAAAAATCCTACAGCTTACTTATATGCTCCATAAACCTTGTTCTACAATATATAATATGGTTTCTGGGAAGAAAAATAAAGTTCAGAAATGATCACCCAGAATGAAAGATGCTACTGAGATAACCCTGCTCCTAAGCATGACTAGCCCAGGAATTGATTAACGTTTCTGCTAAATTAAAGAACATAGGAGTGTTAAATAAAACTACACCTCCAATTTTAAAAGGATATCCTAAGTACGTACGTGTACTGTATTTAGAACAAAATAATCAATAACTGCATTTTCTTTGAAGAAAGCTGGTAACTGATTTGAAATACAATTAGATAAAACACAGCAATGCAAATGTCTATGTTTTAATGGAATTTCTCCTTGCTTAATAGCTGCTTTGGGCATTGATCATCTAGATATGGAATTCCTGTAAAAAATGAAATTCTGTTACCATGGGGAACATGGCGGCAACTTCAGGAGAAGATAAAAGAAAATATATCCATGGCTTTTATCTAATGTCGAATTCAAACATGTCGAGCTCTGTTGGTATCAATACACTCAGCTTCATTTTAGTATTTTATTTCCTCTTGGGCCATTCTGGTTGCCAGATTATGAAACCCACAACATTTATCCTCTTCACATTGCATTAGTGCCTCCAACACATTCCCACACTGGGAAGACTGGAGCTGAAAAGGAGTATTGGTAAGTTTGCAATTATCATGTTATGTTATCAATGTTATCAATGATCATGTGCCACAAGTTTAAGTTCTTGGGCTTCTGGAAAGGCAAGTTCCAGCCTGTTTTTTTTTTAGGTTAAAAGGCAAACTTTCACTTGATGTCTCAACTCTGTCCTGGGTGATAAGGACGTTTCCAAGAAAATGAGAGAGGGCACAATTCAAGTTGGTAGGAGATTAGGGCAGTTTACCAGGCAATCTGGAACCATGTCAACTTAAAATGATGCAAAAAGCCTCTACAAACGATAACAATGGGTAACCGTGAATCAGAGGAGAAAGGAACATTCTCCCTACCACCCTCCCTCCCTCAAAGTGTATTTCACAAGTAGTTTGCAGGTCCTGTAGCAGCTAACAACCATATTGAAGGGAAAATAAATGGTAGGCAAGTTGATGTGGCGCATTTATTTTTCAAGAATAGTTATGAGTATTTATTTATTAGGCAATATTGTCTTTAAAATCTTTGCCTCACTCAAATATTCCCAAATGCTAAAGAAAAAGGAGTTCCAGCATATGATTTCTCAGAAAGTAATAAGCTGAAAGGTCAGCCAGTCTGTGGAATATTGCAAGGAAAAGACACAATATTTTGAGTTTNAAAAAAACTTTCAGGTTACTGAATTAAAACACACAGATCCTTCATGTCTGCCTCGATTTTATTACATCAACCAAGGCATATTTTCCACTCTAAAGAAAATTGCACACTGTAAATTCAGACGAGACGTATTTTATTTGCATTTTGTTTTACCTTGAGCATCTATTGATTCCCCGTCTTCACGTGGTGTAAGTGAACGGTTTGATGGTTCGAATAAAACAAAGTCAGCTCTGGTTCCACCAAACCTCACATAGCCAGGGGATAATCCTCTTGCTAATGTCATCAATTTCTGAGATCTAGAGTTATAGAAAAGGTCTACATTGTAAAATAATACATTCATTGTATGTGTGTTTTACCTCAAACCATGTACAGTATAAGTTTTCCCTATGTGAATTGATCTCAAATTAATGATTCCATTGAAGTTGCCTTAATGTTAAAAAAAATTAAACTTTTGTGTGACGTTCCATTATCCACAGGGCATTTAAATCACAAACATAAAAGAACACAAAAATCCCTGGGAACTCTGCTTAAAATTCACTGCGTAGAAAATACACAGTGACTGCACTTTACAGTATATCATGTGAAGTACATTGCGATGCCCTCCTGATTTGAAAGGCGCTATACCAAATGTAAAGATTACTATTAATAATAAAATGATATGATCAGCAAAGTATAAACTAGCCAAATGTAGAACAAAACATTATTACTTGTTGTTCAGCTTTAAAAAAAATCAGAAAATTATTGTTGTGGAATAGCAGAAGCACTGCATTTTGTATCTGTACCTTTTTGTTTTCAGCCAGGTGTCTGATACATGTGGAAACCCATCTCCCACCATCATGAAGAGTTGATGATGGGTGATGGGGAAACCCATCATTATTAAGAGTTGCCAACCAAACTACTGGGAGTTCCACATTCAGTAAACTCCTGATAACTCGTCACTCCAAGGCAAAAGGGCTGTGACAAGTTATTCAGGGTGGGGAATTAGGCATATGTATAAAAACATAAGTAAATGCAGCCAGGATATTGACAGCATGATGACTTAAGTGGTAGTGACAAGATAAGCTAGGGTTGAGTAATCAGGCGTTTACCGGATGTACAGATTCTGTTTGACTGATATGGAGTACGCGCTCTCTCCCCAGAGGGATGCAGCCTGCTTGCTTAATCCTGAGAGTTTAGGCACAGGCTGGTAAGAGCCACCAGCAAAGTATCCACAATATTGTGGAAGTTTGAAAGACAGAACTGTCTAGAGTATTGCCATATATTAATCCAAAATGACTTCTGATATTGAGAAGGAACATGGAGACAGACATGATGCAAATCTTAACAAAGAACACTTAAAACACATTGTCATCTCTCCTCTATGGAGAGAGGAATAGAGAAGAGCAAATAGGCTAATTACTGTAAATTCATAGATATCGTACATCATGGTTCAAGTAAGTCCTGTGGTTCATATAAGTGACAAAAAAACATAGTGCAAACACAAGCACTAACTTTTTAATATCGTGAATTAGTGACCAAAGATGACGTATACTTGAATCATCAAGATTGAACTACAGTCAATGTCTTTCAGACTGGCCCAACCTTTTGGCTGCTGAGAGCCAGATACCCTATTTGAGAAATGTCCTCAGGGTGTATAAGCAATATTTTTGTATTTCCCTTCCAGAAACATAACATTAACAGGTGATGGAGAGAGCAAGTGGGCCAGGTGAAATGGAGGGATGGCGGCTGGATGAAATTGGTCCATGGGAATTTTACTCTTTGAATGAGCGCATTTTGAGATTATGGTGAGATTAACGTTACAACACATTAAGCGTTCTGGGACACTTCCCTGCGTGACAGATACTACGTAAATGCAAGTTGTTGTTGTTTTGTTGTTATAGTGCTCAGGGGAGGTCGCACATGCAATGGCATCACAATACTGACACATGGCACAGGCTAGAGGTGCTGGAAGGAACAGACTCAGTCACAAGGTTTGGTGATAATGTCAGGTTATAACACATTGCAACATTGCTCAGACACATTCCATATAAATGTGAGAGGCTGGTCACATCTGATGTTTACTTAATGAGTAAAACCTCCCAAGCTTTCTGTTAATACGAAGAGGACAAACAAGAAAAAGGAAAGGCAGATTTTTCTTGTCTGGATGAGCTTCAGTGGATTTAGTAGATACACCCTGGCTGTGAAATGTGAATCTAAGAATAATATTTGTCTGCTTTAAACACTGAAATAATCCTTCCCCAAAAAAATGAGTTCCTCAATCCACAACTGTTTTTGGACACTACTGTGCGCAATTGGCTGCCGCGTTTCGCCCACAAAATACAGTTGATCCACTTTACAATATATTCTGTGAAGCATTTTGAGAAGTCTCAACAATGTGACAAGAAACTATGTCAAATCCAAGGAATATTATTATTAAATTGTGACCTAAAACACACTTCCTAAGGGCGAAACCTTGGGCAATTTTCTTTATAATAAATAATAATAATACTTCCATTTGATTTAGCGCCTTATCACATCTTCGAGACATCTCAAAGCGCTTCACAGAATATATTGTAAAGTGGATTGACTATATATTTTGACAGTATATCCTGTGAAGCGCTTTGAGATGTCTCGAAGATGTGATAAGGCGCTATATCAATTGAAGGGATAATTAAGGATTATTATTATGTAATTATTTAACACATGAAAATGATTATCAAAAGTGATTACGATTGTTCATCAAGGGTGTCATTTCGTAAGATGAATAACACAGCCCACAAATTTTGACTATCACTGTTGGACTTCAACACAGCAAATTCAAATCTTTATCTTTCTGGATTCCAGGATTGGTTCCAAAAGAAATATAATAAAGTGCTGGATTCGCAGATTAATGTGTGGATCATACTTTTCAGCAGCATATTGAAGCGATGGCAATTGACGCCCTGAAATTTCTGAGAACTGAATGAATGGCCTCTAGGTACATTTTTCAAAAATGTATCTTGTGACAACTATATATAGCTTACTTTACCCTCTAGGTTTTGCCTGTGTTTCCAATGATGTCTCAATGCATTACACCCACCATAAACATGCTCTCTCTTTCAGTGATATCTTGAAAATTGTAATCACTTTGATTACGTTTTTAGCCCTTCAAGCACTGCCCCTAAGCACTACTGCAGTTGAATACAGCACCCTAGACTATTATACACAGATTAAATTGGTCATTCACTTTATAGTTTTTTGTAGCGCATTGCTGTGCAAAATGTAGCTGCAATCTTCTACAAAAATAAACTGTCACTACATTTTACAGTACATCCAGTGAAGAACTTTGAGATGCCCTCCTTACATGAAAGTTTATACCAACTGCAAGAATTATTATAATATATGGAACTACATTGTTTTATTTCCATACTAATGTGGCCCAAACTTCCTTCTACTCTTTATCTTCAAATTTAAGATTGTTTAGAACTGCGAAAAATTCTTCAATTCAGCTTCAATTTGGAAAATGTTTTTCCACAGTTTGTGATAAGAAGCAACTTCCAAATTAAGACTGAATATAAGAATTTTCCACAATTCTCAGTCACCTTTTAAGCCAATACAATCTTATAGGCTAACAGCAGGTGGAATTTCCAGCCTGTGTAATGTTACAGGTAATTTGGCCCATGAAATCGGTATTGTTTTTCTCCATGTGAACTATCCAGTCTAATTCCATTCTCCTGCTTTTACCCCACACGCTAAGAATGATAATTATAATCCTTGCAATGGATATAGTACCTTACCACATTGCTTAAATGTCTAATGATTTACTGTAAATTATACTGACTATATTTGTAGGTCCCGTGTATAAAGATTTTTTTCTTTCAATATATACTTAAACCCCGCTAGCTGGATTAATGGGGAGGGGACAGACATCTGGTCTGGCGAGCCGGAATTTCCAGCTAAGTATAATTGCAATGTTGGTATTGGCATTGTAATGTTTGAATCCCACAAGCAAAAGATAGCAAATAGGCTAACAAACAATCTGAGTCAAAGTCGATATCCCGGGCCACTGTAAAGACCAGCAAGGACAGTGAAGATGCTCAGTGCAGCTTTGGAGAGTACTAGGAAAGTTGGGCCGGCGTGAGTCAACATGTGGGACAATGGAAATTTAAAACAAATACCATATTGCGGTTTCAGGGCTGGTCTGGCTACGTTCCAATTCCGATACCTAGAGCCAGCGGTTTAATGTAACTTAGTTTGATATACCCATGTTTTTAATGTTGGCAGTTATTTTAATGCAGAGATGGCTTTACGCTTACCTTACCAAAGGTCCTGTATCTATGCTGCACAATCTAAGTAAATCTATGTAAATGTAGTTGGATATGCAAGCGGAACTGGGTGTTACTTTATTATTAGGATATAATTAAAGTTCTACCCCACTGCGTAAAGACATGCTAGCTTTGGGCAATTAGCACAATAATGGATCATCTCAGAACATAATAATCTACAAAACCAGAAATACTACTACTATCCCACTCGTCAAAAGTAAAACATAAATAACACACTCTTTCAAACCCCTCAATTGTTTTCTTTTGCCATATAACTATCTAATTCCCTTGTGAATTTACTGACGCAATTTGCCTCCTCCACCTCTCTTGGTAATCTATTCCGAATGTTCACAAGTGCCTGAGGTAAGTAGTTAAACAGAACTGGTCTGGTCGCATCCCTCTTCTGAGCTTGAATCCACACTTCCTTGTCTTAGAGTTTATGACCAATAAAAAACTTTATTTCAAAACAACATAATTTACATTTATGCAGCGGGTTTCACATCAGAAGGATTTCTCAAAGTGCTTCTCGGTGCTGAATAGGCACCCAAGCTGCGGGTGGGAATTGCAGTGTGTTGAGGTGGGGAAAAGTGACCAAAAGTGAAGTCAAAGAGGTACGTTTTGAGACGTGTCTTCAAAAGGGGGTGGGGTTGGGGTGGGGGAAGGGGATGGGAGCGAGTCAGAGGATGGAATAAAATTTCTTTTGTGCCTTCTCTTTATTGTGAATATTTGCAGCTTCTGTTGCCCCCAATCCAAACTCGGGTTGCAGATATCCCCATTTATTTGCTCTCTGCTGAACCCTCTCCAATTACAGGTATCTTTACTGTAACAGGTGATCAGGGTTGCACACAACAACAACAACAAAATTACATTTGTATAGCGCCTTTTACCAATGGTGGGGCGAGCAAGGCAGGGGACATGAAGCAGGCCGGAGCTGGCTGAGCAGACAGAGCGGGCAGGATATTGGGGGGTGAGAAGGTCACAGAGGTAGGGGGGAGCAAGGCCATGGAGGGCTTTGAAGGTGAAGACCAGGATCTTGAACTGTATCCTCTGTGTGATGGAAAACCAGTGGAGTCGGGTGAGGATGGGAGTGATGAGGTCGTGGTGCCTCGTGCGGCAGAGGACACGGGCTGCAGAGTTCTGGATGATCTGCAGCCTATGGAGGTAGGAGTTGGGGAGGCCGACAGGCAGGGAGTTTGCGAGGTCAATCCTGGATGCTATGAATGCATGTGTGAGAGTTTCGGAAGCTTGCGGTGTGAGACAGTAGCGGAGCTGGGCCATGTTGCGGAGCTGGGAGAAGACAGAGTGGGACATGACACGGATGTGGGGCAGAAAGGATACTGAGGGTCAAACAAGATGCCAAGGTTCCGGACTGGCTTAGTAAAGTGGAGTGTGCATCCTTGGATGATATTCCAGTTTGGGCTTAACCAGTGTTGTGTACAAGGTACTGTACCATTCTCTTTGCAAAAATAATCCTTTATTTCGCCACAACCTTTATTCCCCTTCCCCACTGCCACAATGAATGATAGTAGTCATTTAATGAGTCCCGTTCCCTCAGCCATCATCTCGCTCAGTGGCGACCAACAAAATAAATGTCTCTTGATTGAATACTTCTTGGCATACGGCGTAAATCCATGCTATTTTGTTATTTCTACGGTCATTTTGAAGGGTTTCCGCATGTGTCAGACACTCGGCTGACCAAACAAAATTATTACATGACACTATTCAAAAAGAGAAGGGAATTTCTGCCAATGTCCTGGCCAATAAATCTCCTAAATAAAATTTTGGTCATTCACTCCATGACCATTTGTGGGACATTGCTGTGTGCAATTGGCGGCCGCGATATATACAGCACATGCTGCGAGGTGCTTTGAGACGTCTCAACGACTTGATAAGCCGCTGTATCAAACGCAAGGACTTTTATTATGATTTTGTTGGCTGGATGTTCTCTATATTCAACCAGCCTTGTGTGTTTGCACCCCCTCCAGATCTAAATGAAACAATTGCGCTGGTAGTCCATTTGCGGTACTTTTTTCGGGTTGCCCTGGTGCCTGACGCGTGCGGAAACCCATCATCAGGCTCGAGAGTATCCACACCGAGCTGAGAATCCCATGCAGCCCACCTCCACGTGGAAATCCCGGAGACAGATCGTCGGAATGGGATGCGCGCTCTCCCCCTGGAGGTACGCATCCTGCTCACCTAATTCCGGAAAATATTAGGCGGCGGGTTGGGCAAGAGCCAAGGCTTGAGGAACCCAGAGCGTGCGTTGGGAGTACTGCCGGAGTCCAACCAGCTAAAACCGCGTAGCCTGCCGTCGATGTCGCTGCCGGGCAAACTTTCCCGCTGCGCGTCCCGCTTGGTCCAAGCACATATACCAATAACAATCCCTGCGTTGATATAACAACAATCCCTCCGAAACCAAGAACAGTAATAAAAATTGGTCATTTTCAACCCACGACCGTGTGTGGGGCACCGCTGTGCGCGGTTAACTGGCTGCCGCGTTTCGCCCCCAAATATCCGGTCAAGTCACTTTACAGTGCGCCCCGCGAAGCGCTTTGGGACGTCCTCCCGCCGTGAAAAGCGCGATATGAAATGCGAGGCTTATTATTATTATTATTCTCGCGATTGTCACAGCAGCGCCTGTATCGGGGTCGTCGAGACGTCTCAAAGGGCTTCAACAGAATATACCGTAAAGTGGAATATATATAATAATAATAATATTATATATATATGTATATACATAGATACACAGTGTATAATAGTGTCACAGCCTCTCCACTCACTGACCTGAGTAAGTCCAGGCTGTCTGTGCGGAGTAGAGCAGCGTCCAGAGCCACGGAGAGGAAGAGAGGGCTGACGGTGGTCAGGGGGCGAGTCGTGTCCGCCCGGAGCCGCGCAGTGACGGGCTGTCCCCCCGATCCCGGACCGGCACCGGCACCGGCAGCCTGGCCACAGGCACAGCCACAGCACAGCAGCAGCGGCAGTAGCAGCAGCAGCAGCAGCAGAGGAGGAGGAGGAGGAGGAGACGTGGGGCCGCTCATTGCTACAACGCGGTCCCCTCCAGTTTTGCCCACACAAGGACTTGACTCTCTTTCTCTTCCCCCCCCTTCAAAGTTGTCAGACGAGTGCAGCAACTGCGGGCGGCTTCCGTGTTGGGAGGGCAGGGCAGGGCAGGGCAGGCAGGGCAGGGCAGGGCAGGGCAGGGCAGGGAGGGCAGGCACAGGGCAAAGGGCAGGGCAGGGAGGGCAGGGCAGGGCACAGGGCAAAGGGCAGGGCAGGGAGGGCAGGGAGGGGAGGGCAGAGCAGGGCAGGGCAGGGAGGGAGGGCAGGCACAGGGCACAGGGCAGGGAGGGAGGGCAGTCACAGGGCAAAGGGCAGGGCAGGGAGGGCAGACAGGGCAGGGCAGGGAGGGAGGGCAGGCACAGGGCACAGGGCAGGGAGGGCAGGCACAGGGCAGGGCAGGGAGGGAGGCACAGGGCAGGGAGGGCTCACCTCACACTAGTGACTGCTCCTCCTGCCGTGCAAAGTCCTCTCAAAAAGCCGTGCAAAGTCCCACACCACCGACTGCCCCCCAACCACTGCCCCCACCGACTGCCCCCCCACCCACACCCACTGCCCCCACCGACTGCCCCCCCACCCACACCCACTGCCCCCCACCCACACCCACACCCCCCACCCACACCCACTGCGCTGGTCCTTTGCGCGTTGTTTCCGTCTTTACGCGATCAGAGACCTTCAGTGATCTCTATCTCTCTGTCTATCTCTCTCTGTGTCTCTCTGTGTATCTCTGCGTCTCTCTCTGTCTCTATCTCTCTCTGTCCATCTATTTCTCTCTCTCTCTATCTCTGTGTGTCTCTGTCTGTCTCTCTCTGTGTCTATGAATCTCTCTGTGTGTCTCTCTCTGTGTCTATGAATCTCTCTGTGTGTCTCTCTCTGTGTCTATGAATCTCTCTCTGTCTCTCTCTGTGTCTATGTATCTCTCTCTGTGTCTCTCTCTGTCTCTCTCTCTGTGTCTATGTATCTCTGTGTCTCTCTCTGTCTCTCTGCCCCTCTCTCTGCGTTTCTCTCTCTGAGTTTATCTCTCTGTGTCTCTCTCTCTTTCTCTCTCTGTCTCTCTCCCCCTCTCTCTCTCTCTCTGTGTGTGTGTCTCTCTCTCTGAGTCTATCTCTCTCTCTGTCTCTCTCTCTTTCTCTCTCTTGTCTCTCTCTCTCTCTCTGTCTATCTGCTGCCTTCCTCCCCTCCCCGGGTTGAAGCTAAACACAGAGGGAAACAGGCGCTAATCACAGTCACACCGTGTCTCCTCCATCCTGTCCTCCACGGCAGCCTCTCAGGTGAAGACTGGCAGCTGAGCACCGAAGTGGTCAAAAATGTATAACATCAGAGCCAAAAAAAAAAAACATTTGAGTCATGTGGCCAAGAATATAAATATGTAAGCGATGCGATCAAAAAAAATAATATATCGAAGCAAAGTGGTCAAAAAAAATATATATATCTAAGCGAAGTGGTCAAAACAAATCTAAGCGAAGTGGTCAAAAAAACATATCGAAGCAAAGTGGTCAAAAACAATTCTGAACAATATGATCCAAAAAACTATATCTTAAGTAATGCGGTCAAAAAATAACTGAGCCATGTGACAAACACTGACTGACTGATTGACTGACTGACTAACTCACTGCCTTCCTCACAGATCAATCCACACAACGCGAGCGATGTCTCTGTCTCGGGTGCCCACTGTGAAGCATCTGCTTCCCGCAAGGTTCATTTCCCTCGATGGCTTCACATTGACCTTGAATCTAATTGCGGGTGAAATGACAGCTTGAAACCTGCCTCTTCTCCCTGTCCCATGGCTCACTGACTCTTTGTGAAAGTGGAAGCAGTTTCAGTCAATATATTTATTCCTTTACAATCACAACATAACTGGAGTGACGGATAAGCACCTAACTCTGAACCCGAAAGATAAAGCTTTCACTTTGAAGGCATCATCTGAGTTTATTTTTGGTCAGTCTGACGCCTGTAAGGATTTTTATTATTATTTTGTTGGCTGGATGTTCTCTATATGGTGTGTGTTGGGGTAACTGCTGGAGTTTAAAACCACATAGCTTGCCATTGATATTGCTGTCCGGCAAACTTTACCGCTGCTTGTCCAGCAAGGACCACCCGATCCATTTAGGGCTTTGACTTGCAAGGTTAACATGAGCTGAGTGGGATGACTCCCTGCCCCCCAGTGACTGGTCTGTCCTTCCAGGTCCTGCGATGAGCCAGGCTGCCTGTGCTGTTATCAGCCGTGCCCCCATCGGCTGAGAGCAGCATTTTTTTTACACAAAGCTAATGTTTGCAAAGTGAAGCACTACGGGTCACTCACCCCTTTGTTTTGTTTTCAAATGAGCTGCCCGGAAACTTCCTCCGTCTGTTGGTTTTTTGTTGTTGTTGTACGCATATCAACAGTTGCTCTTTACTCTCTGCAATTAGGTGAGCAGGGGTGCATCTCTCCAGGCAGTAAGTGCAGTCCTGAAGCTCAGCGGTTAGAGCACTCGCCTTGCAAGCGAGACACCTGGGTTCAATTCCAGGCAGGGCGAAAACTTGGGCAAGTTTCCTTACTCCACACAGAGCCTAATAATAATCCCTCCAAAACAAAAAAAAGAAATTGGTCATTTTCAATCCACGACTGTTTGTGGGACACTGCTGTGCGCAATTGGCTACTGCGTTTCGCCCACAAATATACGGTCATTTCACTTTACAGTATATTCTGCGAAGCGCTTTGAGACGTCTAGAAAATGTGAAAAGCCTTTCTCAAATGCAAGATTATTATTATTATTATTATTCCATTCTAGGCACAGGGAAATTTCTATGTGCAGGTGTCATATTTATAATAATAATCCTTGCATTTGATATAGCGCCTTATCATGTTTTCGAGTGGTCCTCACTTTCAAAGCCCTCCATGGCCTTGCTCCCGCCTACCTCTGAGACCTCCTAATCCCCTACCAACCTGCCCGCTCCCTCCGCTCAGCAGACTCTGGGCTGCTCCACAAACCCGCCTCACCCACCCCAAAATTGCCACTCTTCGGTCATTCTGCCCCCACCCTCTGGAACTCCATCGCACAGTCCCTCCGCTTCGCCCCCTCCCTTGCCTCCTTCAAGACCCATCTCAAGATTTTGAATCAACATCCAACCATCACACAAATGTTTGAGAAGATCATTGTGGCACTTCTTCATGCACTGAGGAATATTCATTTATGACTGTGTTTTGTTCCTCCACCACTGGAGTAAAGGAAAGTGAAATGCACTTAATATATAATTGACAGCCACAACGAAAAGAAAGCAATTGGAGTTTGTAACTCAGTGCTTCAAGTAAATGTGGTCGACATTGTGAATACTGCAGTTCAAAATCTCCATCCAAAAAGCTTATTATGGGATCTAGAATGCACTCATTACAGATAACATAAATCATTGGATAATTAAACATAGAAATGCTTTTATTCTGCTCTACTCAGCTTAGAGGCTGTAAACAAGACTGTTTGCTCAAGGTCTCTACTTCCTCTTTCAGGAGAAGTGCAACTTCAGTGTATCACACCCTGACCTTTGAGTTTTTCATTGGCTAAAAATCTGATCAGTCACCAAAGTTTAGAACCAATGAAAATTACTTTTAATTTTTCTTTGGTCTGTCAGGCAACTGACACATGTACATGGTGGAAGCCCATCACCATGCTTAAGCGTATTGAACCATGGGGGAGTGGGGTGGTAAGCGGAGTCTATCCAGGATGACATTCTTGACAGCGGAATGTCAGAATTGAGCCGGTCTTCTGTGCTGGTCTCAGATCCTGAGCCATTTGGATCCACAGGACTCCAAGGCACTGCTGATGACAGGCCAACCAGCCTTGCTCATCGGCAATAGTTAGAAATTCAGGACAATCATTGGGAGCAGGAATTCTTCTCAGTTAGCTCCTGTTAGCGGCAGCCAAAGTCCTAACGGATAGGATGGTCCTAACTGGACAAGGAAGCTGGCCAGACAGTGCTATCAGTGGCAAGTTATTCAGTTTTAGCTGGTTAAACTCCAGCGTACCTCAATGTACACTCTGGGGTCCCCAAGCCTTGGCTCTTCCCAATCTGCTCATGATATTTTCTGTATTTAGGTAAGCAGGGAGCATTGCTCCAGCAAAAGAGTGTGCATTCCATTCCAGACATGGACATTTCCATGTATAGGCGGCTCACATATATGGAACTTTTAATCTGGTTTGGATACTCTTAAGAATGGTTCTGTGTATCCAATTGTGTCAGACATCCTGGCTGACCAAAAAATAGATCCAAACCAGAATGAGAGTTCCATGAGTGTGCTTTGGGGTACTGTCGGAATTTAACCAGTTAACGCCACATAATTTGCAATTTGGAGCACTTTTTGGCAAGCTTCCTTACTCATTAGGCTTGCACAGTTGCAAGGAGGAATTCTTATCCCTCAGGTCATGTTAATCCAGTAAACCCACTCAGCTCCAAATAACTTATCTTGCCTGGATTCCCATCTCACTTATTCAGAGAAGATAATGGATCTAATAAAGGTTGCTCCCTACCTTCCAATACAGGTGGTGAAAGAAAGGCAATTAACAGCTGTTAAAAGTAGTTTGTAGAAAAAGTTACAATTAACAGAAAATAGTAAGATATAAATTAAACTAAGGGGTGTCAATAAAGAAAGATGTTACAAGCGCATCTTATTTTTATTTAAAATTGTGCTTTTTTATATTTATTTGAGTAGGTTGAAGATTAATATTATAGTAATCTGATATTTTGCAGTCTACCCATGTGTTTCATCAGAGTCAGAGTGAAAAGAGAAAAAAAAGTATACAACTGGTACCAGAGGAGTCTATATATGCTTAATAACAGTGAAAAGGTAGAATCTTTCAGAGATTAACTATTGAAGCCAGGCTTTTTGTAATAGTTATTGACCGTAACATGAGGAAACTGTAAGTGGAACACTATATTTAATCACCGTACTAAATTCTATGGGAAGACAAAGCATATTGAGGAACAATATAATGTATCATTTACATGGTATTATTTATGAATTTAAAAGAAACAATCTTTTCAGATGAGAATACAAAATGAATAAATGTAAAACAATGAATAGCACCCCTGAAATACAAAATAAGATTTCAGTAAGGATATATAAAACTTTGCAAAGGTGGAACACATTAGTTACTGTGGCTGATGTATGCCAAGTAAGTTTGTGGCGCAGCAGTATCACAAATGTGGGTCATTTAGACTTACTGTGTTTAACAGAGTTAACAAGAGGCCCTCAACCATAGCCAGTCTTTTTTGTGTATAAGCTACCTTCGAAGAGATTGGAGTGCATTTCCACATAAATGTGAACAAAAGTCTGGGAGGTATGAATCTCACCATCCAGCACGAAATCCAGCCTGTGGCCCTATCTAAAGTTCGCCAGCACAAACAAGTCATCTGGAGACTGAACAAAAACTACTATCTACACACAATGTGCCTTTGATATCTCCTTGCTCAGTTCAAAGATGGGATTCAGTGTATATATAAGTGGTCAGATTTCACCACTCTTTAGTCAGCTTGAAGCTATTGCTTGGAAAATACACTAACTGGATCCCCTGAGGTACTTGAGATATGGCCACCATTCCTACGGCTATTACAGAACAAACTGTGTGATCGGTTTTATATCTATGTGGAGTCCTGTAGCTCAGTGGTTAGAGCACTCGCTTTGTGAGACACCTGAGTTCAATTCCAGGCAGGGAGAAACCTTGGGCAAGTTTCCTTACTCCACACGCCTAATGATAATCCCTCCAAAACAAAACAATAATAAATTGATCATTTTCAATCTACGACTGTTTGTGGGACATTGCTGTTCGCAATTGGCTGCCGCGTTCGCCCACAGATATACAGTCAATTCACTTTACAGTGTGAAGCGCTTTGGGACGTCCTCCGAACGTGAAAAGTGCTATATCAAATGCAAGGATTATTATTATTATTATTATTACAAGACTTCTACAATTCGAAGAAATCAAAATCTTTCAGACTTAAAGTTACTGAGCCTAAAAGTTACCAAGCCTAACTGATCCATCTTCTTGGATCACTTTTTTTTGTGTGCTCCAGATGTTATCCCCATCTATGTTTACTTAACTGCCTTTCCTTAAATAAATCTATTTTTAGTGTGTTTGAATAAAGTTTGTATCAGCTAATTTTCCTTAAGAGATTGGGAGCGCATCGGGGTTTATAGTCTAATATCTATAGAGGGGTTGCTGTTGGTCTTGAGATATTACCAAAAAAGTAAGTGATAGTAAGGTGCACCAACAGTGCCACTAATTCCATTCTCCTTTTGGTACTAACTACTTATCCCATAAACATATTTCAAAGTCTTATCTGCAGAAAAATTACCTGTGGAACTAAAGGTCCACCATCGAACATAAATACTTCAGCCTCAGTAAAATATTAACCAACAACTTGGATTTATATTGTGCCCCTCACACAGGGGAGCATCCCAGAGCGCTTGTCAATAGATGACTGATTTCTCCCACCTCTATCAGGAGATAAATAAGCTTTGCTACCTTGCTAGACCTCTTTCAATCTTCTGCAGGGCAGGCAGGCAGTGTAACAATACAGAAGATTGATTTAAATTTGTGGTAAACTAAATTGCTAGTAAATTTTCCCACATCTTCACTGCCCTCCTCTCCTTCCTAAACCTCACCCTTCATATAAACTCACCCACCCACAACCGTGGTCATGCCTTTGACCTTGTTATCACCCACGGCCTTGACATTTCCGACCTCAGCATAGTGGACAAGGCCATCTCGGACCACTTCCTTATCTCCTTCTCCTCCCACATCCCTCTCTCCTCCAACAAGCCCTCAACCATCCTCTGCCGCCCTTGGTAAAGGCTACCCCTCCAAGACCATCACAAAGGCCCTCACATCATCAAACATCCTATCCCTCTGGCCTTCCACCTGCGGAGATCCTGAAGCAGCCATCCAGCTGCTCCACGATTGTCTCTCTTCCACCTTCAACTCCCTCGTTCCCCTGAAATCCAGGACCATCTCCAAACCCATCTGATCCCCCTGGTACAACAACCATCTCTGCTGCCTAAAAACCCAAACCTGGCTGCTCGAGCGCAGATGGCGGAAAACTGGCCTGACAGCCCACCGCCAACTGTGGCTCGAGCATCTCCACAGCTACCGCCGTTCCTTGACACGCGCAAAAACGACCTTTTACTCCAACATCATCTTGGAGGCTAAACACAACTCTAAGATCCTTTTTTCCCCACCACCCACTACCTTCTCCGTGCCCCCCTTCAGGCCTCCTCAATCTTCATATCAATTGCCAAGTGCGAGGAGGTCATGGACTTCTTTTCATCTAAAATTCACAACATCCGCCATGCAGCCTCATCCACCTGCCCCTTGTCACCCACCACCACACCCTTTCTGTCCCCTCACCCTCCCCATCATCTGTTCCTACCACCATCTCCGTCCTACATTCCTTCCTCCCCATTTCTTCCTCCTCCCTCTCACCCACCATCACCTCCATGAAACCCACCACCTGCTGCCTCGAGCCCCTCCCCACCAATTTGCTGGTCACCCAGCTCCCCCTCCTCTGCCCACTACTGGCTGACATCATCAACCAGTCCCTCTCCTCTGGATCAGTCCCTGCCCCCCTCAAAACTGCTGTCATCACCCCCCTCCTGAAAAAACCTTCCCTAGATCCCTCAAACCCCAGCCACTACCGCCCCATTTCTAACCTGCCCTTCCTCGCAAAAGTCCTATAACGCGTTGTTGCCAATCAACTTCGTGCCCACCTCTCCTCCCACTCCCTCTTCAAACCCCTCCAGTCCAGTTTCCGCCCTGCCCACAGCACAGAGACTGCGCTTGTGAAAGTCACAAATGACATCCTCTCTATCCGTGACCAGGGCTCCCTCTGCCTCCTTGTCCTCCTGGACCTCTCCACGGCATTCAACACAGTCGACCACGCCATCCTCCTCCACCGCCTTTCCTCCGTCATCCACCTCAGTGGAACTGCACTCGCCTGGTTCGAGTCCTACCTCACAAACCGCCAGCAGTATATCTGCACAAACTGCTTCTCCTCCCGCTCTCACCCGGTTACCTGTGGGGTACCCCAAGGATCCTCCTTGGCCCCCTCCTCTTTCTAATCTACATGCTCCCTCTTGGGGATATCATCCGCAGATATTAGGTACATTTCCACATGTACGCGGACGACACTTAACTCTATTTTTCCACCTCTTTTTGCGACCCCCAGTCCCCTGATGTTCTGTCAGATCTCGGGGGCTGGATGAGTGCAAATTTCCTTCAGCTGAACATTGACAAGACGGCAGCCATACTCTTTGGCTCTCATCAACTTCTAAAATCTCACGGCTTTCACCTCCTCCACCTACCCGACCTCCCCCTAAAACTCTCCGAATCTGAATGCAACCTCGGTGTCAGGTTCGACCCCCAATTAGCCTCCACCCCCATATCTGGTCCCTCACCAGCACCACTTTCTTCCACCTCCGACGCATCACCCGCCTCCGTAAATACCTCTCTCCGAAAGCTGCTGAAACCCTGGTCCGTGCCTTTGTCACCTCTCGGCAGGACAATTCTAACGCCCTCCTCACCGGTCTCCCATCCACTACCATCCATAAAATCCAGATCATTCAAAACTCTGCCGTCCGCATTCTCACCCGCACCAAACTCCGTTCCCCGATCACCCCAGTCCTTGCCAGACTGCACTGGCTGCCTGTCCCAGAGAGGGTCGACTTCAAGATCCTCACCCTTGTCTTCAAATCCCTGCCCTCCTCTGCACCCCCCTACCTCTCTGACCTCATCTCTCCTCAAAACAGTACCTGTTGCCTTCGTTCCTCTGGGTCTGGCCTCCTCCTCATCCCCCGAGTCCTCCGTTCCACCCTCGGCGGCCGTGCCTTCAGCCACTATGCCCCGAGGCTCTGGATCTCCCTTCCTCACTCCCTTCGTCTCGCTCCCTCTCTTCCTATTTTCAGGTCTCGGCTGAAGACCTTTCTCTTCGACCGTGCCTTTGGTCACCTTCCTCCCCACCCCCCTGGCTCAGAGCCGGGATCCATTACTGTAAAGCGCTCTGAAACACCGTCCGGCATGGAGGGCACTATATAAATCCAAGTTGTTGTTACACTGATTGGCAAAAATAATAAATTGCTCTGTGTTTTTAATATTTTTGGGGTAGCATGACTGAAAAGGAGGATATTGCTTCTAATTTTTCCTGTACCTCCTGTATCCAAAAGGAATCAATTGGAAACCGATCAAATTTATTTGTGGGCAACATCGTTTAAAACTGACAATAGTATAAGGATAGAAACATCCACCACAAGCGTGCCCTGTGATTTCTATCAAGAATTCTAGCATATCCAGAAGATGCTTAAAACTTGCTGCTGGTGGTCGTTACATAAGAACAAGAGGGCCAAACTGAGAAGCAAGCCTTTGGGCCAATATACGAATCCTTACCATGTGTGAAATCGGTTAATCCAAATCCAAAGGGCTTCAACTACAGGGCACCACACTGGCTCAGTTGGTAGCAATGCCTTCTCTGAAGATCGTGGATTTAAGCCCCATTTTAGTACTTGAATGCATAGGCTGGCAATTCGGTGGTCTTGAGAGAGCGCTGCACTGTAGGAGGTGCCACCTTTCACATAAGATGTTCAACCAGGGGTCTTGTTTGTTCTTTAAGTGGACGTTCCCCAGCTCAGTGGCAAACTCTGCCATTATTCAGTACTCTTGAGACAATATCGCAATGTGAAGGCAAGTTGTTGTAGATGTTCAATATCCCTTGACAGTATAATAATTCTTGTATTCTATATACTGCCTATAACATTGAAACATCCCAAAGTGCTTCACAAGAAATTGCTGTTAAGTGTAGTGACTATGTATTTGTCGTCAGACACTGTTTGAGAATAAAGCTTCTACTGATGCCCCAGTCAACAATCCTCCAGTTTAACAACAACTACAACAACAGCAAAATTACATTTATAGAGCTCCTTTCAGTCGGGAGGACGTCCCAAAGAACTGATTTAATTGAACATTGTTTGTGGGAAGTTCCTACATGCAAAATGGTTGTTACATTCTCCTACAAAAAGAGCCACTACACTTGACAGGAATTACCTGTGAAGCACTTTGAATCATTTCAGTGCAATAAAGCATTCTAAAAATGAGCAACTTTTTAAAATTGTATTTCCATTATCAAATGCAAGGATTATTATTCACAGCAGGATTTTCAATGACTTTGGAAACCACTGTTAAGATTCACTGAATTCCTACACTATAACAAGCGGGGACTCTGCAGATTTAACATGTTCCATTTGTTAAAGTTATCAATACTCTTGGCCGCTCCCCCCTAAAAGTACATCTGAACACACAACATTAAAAATATATTTTATTTCAATTGCATTTTATAATTCTATAAAAGGGCTGTTAAACACAATGAAATTGTAGGAGGAACAGAAGCCCAATAAATTAAGACATTTGTATTGAATGATTACTCTTATTCTTAATAGTCTTTTTGGACTGACAACAATGTTTGCTGTAATTTACATGAGTCAAGACCTCATTCATTTGTGGAATAAGGTTGTATTTATGCATTTATTCCTCTGCTCCAGGAAATTCTAGTTGATGAAGTATGATGAAAGTTTAAAAAAGTGCCTATTTACAGTCATTATAATCATGGTTAAGATGGTAGCTGTGCACTCGGCAGGTCATTTGTTCTTTGTTCAGAGATTGTACAACTCTACATAGAAGTGACAGATTGTAGGGTAAATCGCTGGGCATCCTCAGAAGCTCTTCGACTTCTTCTTGTAAAGCTTCAGTTTTTTCGTTCAGGAGCATCTATAAATAGATGAATAATTCAGAATAATTTGTACTGACCATCTGCTTTCACTTCCATATTTGTCAAACACACTGTGCAGCTGCCAGTAATTTAGACATTTCTCAATTCTCTTAAATAACTGGAGAGGATCAGTTATTCATAGCCAACCATAAAGTTGGCTGCCATCCCCAAATTGCAGAATAGGAGCACCGTATAAGATGAAACAAGAAAGAACAGAAGATCTTAAACGTGATTTTGAATGAAGTAAAGAGTAAGGTAGGATTTGAATAGGGAGAAGAATGGTCAAATAAAATAGGAAAGAGAATGCGAAAGGCGAGGTAAATTAAAGGGAAGAAAAAAGAATGATAAGGTTAACAGAATTAGTGTTGAAACATTTCACATTTTAATTAGAGCCATATTTCAAGGATTTATTTTTGTAGTTTCAGATCAATGTGACATGATTAAAGCCACTTCTGACATTAGAGAAGCTTTATTAACTATGGCCTTTTGTTTCAGGATTGTAAGAGATTAACTAGTACAAGGAGGCCAGAGTTTTTCTATTCAGCCTGGCTCAGCTGGTAGCACTCTCAATGCTGAGTCAGAAGGTTTTGAGTTCAGGCCCAAAGTCGAGGCATCGAGCTCATAGTCCAGGCTGACACGACAGAGCAATGCTAGAGGAGCACTGCATTGCCAGAGATGCCTTTCTTTGGATGGGATGTTAAACTGAGGCCATTGGCCTGTTCATTGTGTTTGTGGATGTTAAAGATTCTGTGGCACTATTTGAAAAGAGAAGGGAAATTTCTCCTGGTGTCCTGGCTAACAAATTTCTCTGATAAAATTGATCATTCACTTCAGCTGTTTATGGGACATAGCTGTGCACAAACCAACTGCATCTTTGGCCTACAAATATGATCACTACACTTGTAAACCTGTGAAGCATGTTGAGATGTTTTGACATGAGGCAATACATATCAAATGCAAAGATTATTATTAATAACTGGTTTATTAAACAATTGGTTCATAAAGGCTATGTTTTTTTCCAATCTCCCAAATATTTATAATCTTTGCATTTGATGGAGCTCCTCATCATGCTTTCAAGATATCTCGAAGCGTTTCACAGGATTTTACTGTTAAGTGTAGTGACAGTGTATTTGTGGTCAAATACAGGAGGCAATTTGCACACTGCAATGTCCCACAAGCAGCCATGAAGTGAGTGACCAATTTTATTTGGAGGAGCATTGGCCAGGACACCAGGAAAAACTCCCTTCTTTTCGAATAGTTTTGAATAAGGATCTTTAACGTCCAGCTGAGCAGGCAGATGGGACCTCGGTTTAACATCTCACCTGAAGGACAGCACTCCAACACTGTAGCTCACCTCCACCAGTGCATTGGATTGTCAGCCTAGACTGTGACCTCAAAGTCCTGTTATGGGGCTTAAACCCATGATCTTCTGACCTAGTGACGAGACTGCTCAAGCTCTTTACTTAGTAAAGAAATAGCAGTACAGTACATGGCGAAATGCGTTACTATTACCCCAAAACAGACTGGGAAACTGGCCTTAATTCACAAACATGGTACTTACTTTAGCAGAGAAGACAATTTGTTTAGCCTGGCGTCGGGACAAATGTTCAATTGTCTTTACCAAAACCTCAGGGTTTGCATTGGCCAGATGACATAAAGATTTATAACCAGCATTGTACAGCTGACAAGCACGACCCTGCAACCAAATTAGTGAAAATGCTTGAAGGCAGCGGAATACAGATTTCCAATAACAAATCGATGCTTACCCTGTTAGTGTTGAAAGGCCTGGTTAATGGAGATTGATCTTGAAGAGTTGGCAATGGTTAAATAAAATACTTATTGAAAATTGATACTTTACAAAATGCATAAAATCTAAGATATAAATCTTGTTATACTGGTGTAGAAGTTGTGCTTATGTACAATTGCAACGTTCATCAAACAAAATCGAAAACTAGAGCTAAGCAAGGCTTCTGCTCCAAAATCTACATTAGTTCATATCCAAATTGTCAAGAATCAGGATTAATGTGGCCTCATGAATCAGACAGATATCTTACTGTTTCTGAATTGTGCTAAAACATTCTTTTTTTTAGTGTTATGAGTTTAGATAATGTGTTAACTGAACAATCACGTTAGCATTCATAATAAACTAATACTTTTCAATCAAGTTGATCTCTAGCAGCCATGCTATCTTCTTTGGGCACCATGTGAGCATTTCAAGAATTCAGACAATGCTGGTCTCTCATAATAATCTTTGCATTGGTATAGCATCTTACACATTAGGAGAATTTCCCAAACGCTTCACAGGATTGATTTTGAAGTGGAGTGACTGTATATTTATAAGTGAATGCGGCAGCCCAATTGCACATAACAATGTCCCAAAAGGGAAACGGGTTCAAAAAATGTCAGAACGGACTCAGTTGGTAATGTTTTCCTCTCTTGCTTCACTTAAATTATATATTATATAATATAAATATAATTTAAATATATTATATAAAAAAATATTATATTATAGTATATTTTGTGAAGCGCTTTGTGACATCTCAACAACGTGATAAGGCGCTTTATCGCTACATCAAATGCAAGGATTCTTCTTCTTCTTCTTCATATAACCACTTGTCTTAAGCGTTTCAAAATGTGGGGAAACCTAAACTCATGTTTCTAATACGAGAGTTCAGTTCTGGTGCACAGTTATTTTTTCACAACCAAATACATATATTATCACATGTGTCAGATGAATCATTGTTCAGGCAAACAACATCCTAACCTTATACTCCAGCACAAAGCTTATGAAAAGAATAACTCAGATCCACAAACCTCCATGACGCCTGATACCTCCATAAGAGGAACAAGTTCTGTTTTGACGCAGAATGAGAGCTTATGCGTGAGCTCTTTAAAGAGAGACCGATAAGCCCAGAACTCTTCTAATTCCTATTCAACAGCACAAAACAAGAACGATGATCAGTTTAAAATCCATCCCTCACAAAATACAACCCTGTTTAAGATGCTAAAGCCAGGATATGTTATTTGCTTTTTTTATTACCTGCAACCTGCATTTCTATGACAATTTCAAAAATATATTTGGGCTAAATGTTTGTGATTGGAATTTGGAATTCTGTTCTCTTTCAGCAGCTACACATAATGAACTACGTCATTTTAGGGCTCAGACTGTATTTTCCAGGTTTTTGCAAAATTCCCTTTGTGACTGGTCACGAAGCACACTCCAAATCGTATACTAAATAAACGAAAAAATAGTTTTAAAATGAAGCTCCCTTTCACCAGGTGAAAAGACATAATGACTTCTAGTGGGCGTTCTCATAAAGGCTAACAAAAACGAATTGATTCAGATTTAGTATATTGAACAATAAATGCTTCAATCCATTTTATTTCTGAATATACTGTACTCTAACTTCTACTACCCCAATACAGTACTAGAACACAGGGCTTCTAAATTGTGAATTAAAATTTACCAACTTCCAATACTCAAATTCTTTTTTACTGTTAAATTCTTTTTTACTGTTTTTCTTTTCTTTTAGTTGTACGATTTGGATTTTTAACAAATGAATCAATTTAAAAATACTATTTACCATTTCATAACTTTAAAAATATTATTCATTTCCTAAATATACAAAATACCTAGATATTTTAAAATTACACTATTAAAAAGACAGAACTCTACAGATGTTTTGTTTAAAAATATGTTTTGAAATAAAAAAAACAAAGAAACTCATTGGTAGAGAGAGGACAGTTGATTAAGATTTCAATCTTCTGTTAACATTAGGAATTTGTTCATGCAATTAAGTATTCAACGCGAGAAAGCTTACTGTATAAGGTGTTCACAAAGTCCTGTTACCCGCATATTTTTTTCCTACAGATGAGTTGTTGCAGATGAGTCGAATGTTAAATTGTCTGATATCAGTAACTTCCTCGTCATTCCATTCACGTTACGGAAGATGTTGCTAAACATGGCGACGGATCATTATCTGCCATGAAAATGATGGCATTCAGACCGATCCTCTGGACGTCTAAATACAGTAATCACTTGTACTGAATACAATTAAGTAAGTCTAAATACATTTATTATCATTCTTCCAAATGTTTCAGTTGTTGGTCAGTGCACTGTGTAAAAAAAAGGGGCTAACAGCAACTTTGTGAACACCCTGTAAGTCTAAAATCTCATGAATTTTCCGTGTAATTTTTCATTGTTGCTGAGTGCATAGAACTGAAAACTGCAATAAAACTACATCCGAGCAAACAATAAACAATAAACACCAAATTTATAAAGTTGTTTGAAAATTAGAATGAAAGAGCACTCATGAACCACAGGCAAATGTGCTCATTTACTGGAAAGAAAAATCAATTTATATTATAAATATTAAACATCACAGAAAGAAGATACATAAAATTGCTGCCGATACAGGTACCTCACAGAAATGTAGAACAGAAGAGGAGAAAGCTGCTGCTGAATTTAGCAGATTTTGCACAAAGCCTCTGGGCAAGTTGAAGTTCAGTGCTACAGTCCATATATTCACCTCTTTGACCAGGGAATAAAGCACCAGGGAGAGGTAGAACTGGCTTACCACAAAGCCATCTACAGTCTGCAGGAAAAGCATAAATGAATACAATATTTAATACAAATGCACTCAATTTGCGGGGTTGCACTGATGTTAAACACAACTGTCCTGGGTGAGTTATCTCAGTAATTTTAAAACCTAGATAAGATTTTTTTTACTTGGCCTGATGATATCGTTGCTGAGCAGTAAATCACTGCAGCAACGTGAACTGACTGGACTGTTATTTATCATTTAAAACCCTAAGGAATTTCTCCACATTGTGGTGGAGCAACAGGGGTCATTTTACAAACTCCAAAGTCTAAACAGTGACTGAAGCGAGAGTTTATTGAGGTGCTAAAAGGTCTGCGTGTACCACATCACCTCTCGGTTCGGGTTAACTGTTCAGAAGAGAAGGTTGATCAACTTTTAATGCAGTGGTGCAGGACAATGTCTGCTGGTGATTCCAACAAACAACAATGGTGATCCATGATTACTTGAATTACCCATAACAAATCTGTCTGTGTTTACACCATTTCTCAGTATTATTACACCAAAGAGTACATCCTGAAACATGGTAGAAATTCAAAATATCATAATGCTCTCCAGCAGTCTAGAGATATTTATTGGTACCAACAGTGAAATGGGTGATATGCAATACCTATTACAATACAAATTTACATTTACAGTAAACTCCTGGTTTACTGGACTCTGGGTATCTGAAGTTCGGACCTAGCTGGACCGGGCCAGAAATGGAAATTCTTTTAAAATTTTTCCGGTAGACTCCCATTGGCCCCACTCTCCTAACACGCCTCCCCACCTCACTGAGCATGCTGGCCTTCAGATGCCAGCTGGGGATATCGACTTTGACTTGGTTTGAATCCCGCAAGCAGAAGATAGGCTTATTCAAACAATAACAATGCCAGAACAGGCATTTACCAGCACTTTAAGGCACCAAAAAAGCCAGTAAATGCTAATACCGGCATTGTAATTACAACTTAAGACAGAAATCCTGGCTCGCTGGACCGGATTTCTCTCCCATTGGTCCATCCAGCCGGGGTTTTAGTGTATATAATGCCTTTCATGTCAGGAGGATGACCTGAGTTGCACACGATCTGTAGGATACTTAAGCATCCTTCTGTAGCCTATTGCTGAGGATCAAACAGACAGCAGAGCAAATTACCTCAAAATCCTCCTGAATAATGCAGCTCGGGTCAGCATTTCAAGCCAACTGAAGCTCAGCGGGCCCATAAGTAAAAACATTAAAGCTGGAGCTCTCCAGCCCCAAAGGTAACATTAAACTATAAACAACAACAATAATTTAACTCCAACCAAATTAGTGTGAAGGCAATGAACCAGTATAATGAAAGCCTGAGAAACCTAGGATACATGATTTTGGAAAGGGCGAAGTCACCACATTAAAAAATGAATATGATGCTGTAAAGACTACAGATATTGAACTCGATCATCCTCCAGTTTCGTGAAAGGTGTCTAAGGTGTCGTAAACGTGTCACCAAAACCTTGGTATTCAATGGGAGAATATGGTTCTATCAAATTGTTAAGTTGCCGCAGTAATCCAAGTGGTGAGAAAATAATAGCAAAATTACTTTCAATAACTCATGGAACTCACAACTTGCTTGAAAACATACTGTTCAGAGCAATATAGAACTAGAAAATGGAGGCAGTATGGAGATAATATGAGGGCCAGTTTATTGTATGGTTGTCAGGGATGCTTGCTGGGCAGATATAGGTATTTGAGTGTATTCTATGTTATTTATTATGCCACAAAATACTTTTACATGATGATCCAATTCCTTGAAGATGTTATTAAGACCTTTGAATACATTATAATAACTGCAGTAAGATATTAAATTTTGGGGCATGGGCAATCTTGGGCAGTGAGTAATGTGGGCAATCATCCAATAATCCTTACATTTAATAATCTAGCAAAACTTTCCCAAAGGCAGTGAAATGCTCTAGGGAAATTAACTTTTGTAGGGTATGTGGAACAGTGAGTGAAATCAATTGCTCGGGAATGGCTCCCTAATAATTCTTCACAAGGAAGCCTGCACATTTTTCATGCTAATTGGAATAATTTTGTCACAATTTCCTTACCGTTTTCACAGCTTGTCCGGATGCCTTCTTTGTAAGGAAGCTCTCTTGTATGCCCATAAGGGTAAATACTCTCTGCTCAATTACATCTAGCTGATGAAACTGTAATTGAAGTAAAACATTTACTGAATCCCACAGTCAGAAGCACAGGGTAGTTAACTCCTCTGTACTCATTAGATTCATAGTATTATTTCTCAGACTTCTCAAGCCAAACCAATTGTTGGTTCCTAACAAAGCCAAACTAGATTATCCGTTATATAACTGTTTCAACTGTGACTTTTCATACCTTGCATCTCCAAACTCTAATCTTTCAGTATGTGCTTACACAAAAGAAACTAAAGCTAATTAGAGATGCATTAGATATAAGAAGTAACTTTTCTGTTATGAGATTGGGTTATGAGATACCCAAACTGTCTTGGATGCATTATTGCATAATGTACTTTCAATATTCTGTTGAAGGTTAAACCAATGTTTTGTTCACTTTTATCAACACAATATGGATGACTATTATGTAGTGTTTATGTCATTGTCAATGGCATACCAAAGCCCTGTTTAGCTATCTTTTACCTGCCTAAAAAAGATCATCCAGTCTGGGGTGCATTGGGATACTAAATCATATGGAGTCACCAGGTAGATGAGATGAAGGTAGTTACTAAGCACTAGACCCTCCAAACCTTTCTTCAAGTTCTTGTACAAGACATCGCAGTATTCCAAGTCGATTGATCCTGGGAGCAAAACAGCATATTAGTGAAACCAATAAAAAAACTTCTGCTATGGAAAAACTCTCTTGCGTTGATTAATTGATTTATTTCACTGTCACTATTTTTATGGGATTTACAATAAACTGAAAAAAAATTACGTCCTTCAATTTATGTGACTGGTTCGAGGTATTAATTCTTTTCCTTTTCAGCAGTGTGGAGACTTACCATATCTGATACGGTTGCAGACTCAGTCTAAGTTGCCTTTTCCTTGTTGACACACCTCTACATAACTAACCACCACTACTGCGGGAGTTACATAATTGATCTATGCTCTAGTCTTAGTTTGAGGCCTGCTAATGTTACAGTTTGTGTCTTCCATTTATTTCCATGATATTTTAAAATCAATTCCTTTAATAACTCAGTTCACCGCCACACTGCACTGCCCTGTTCAAAACCACATTTCTTTCAGAGCATGAGACACAGTATTTTTTGAGGGATCACTGAACTGTAAATGTTGTAGAATTAATATGTTTGGGTGTTGAAGATGAAAAGGAATTCAGTTGCCAAAGGTGGGAATGCCGAGCTCACCTTTATAAGTAGCGTGACCCAGCGTTGTCACTTCTAAAGTGTGGCGTATTTCCTGTTCACTGCTTTTATGGGATACTTTGTCACTTATTAGACCCTTTTCGATCAACAATTCCAGGGTTTGCTTTGTGACCTCCCAAAGGCTTTTCCCATCAGACAGCTGTTGCTGCTGCACACTAAACAGAGTGCCAGACAAGAACCGAACAATTTCTTCAGGTGTCTGGGTAATCTTTTATAAAAAAAAACAATCTTAATGGTTTTCAAACAGAGGCAAAGAATACCTTTTTAATCTTATTAAAAAAAGTTGAATAAACTACTTTTAAGACAACATTACAGTAAAAATGTCTTAATATAATTTCCATTAAGAAAACAAGCATTTGAAATTAGATTTGAAAGTGCCAATGTCATTTTGTTAAAATCAAATTTTGTCTCTCAAGTAAATCGAAAGTGATGTAGTATGCAGCTTTCACTAAAGCAGTATAAATTGAGGCTCGAGTTAGCACAAATCATTCTGGAGCCTTTTTCCTTACACCACCCGAAGAAGATAATTCAGGAGTACCTTACTACACTGTAAATACAGGGACTGCTTATTAATGTTGTTATATAATTGGTCATGCAACTCGCTCTCACCCAGAACGTTCAGATGTGGTTTCTTTTCTCAGTCCAGGAGTGAAGTGAAGCAGGAAGTGTATAAATCACGCTTCCAACTCCACATTGCTCTACTGCTGAAAGCAAAGTCACTTCCAACAGCGTAAACACAATATATGATTCAACCAAGTAGGATGTTTAAGTAACAAATCAATAACTAAATAAAGTAAATCATTAAAGACAAAATAAGAATTTTGTGAGAATGATATGTCATTGGGACTACAATGTCATCCTAAAGAAGCAGGATTATAAAATATCCTCAATGTGAGACTTACGTTTCAAAACATTCCAGCAGCGATTTTAAACATAAATTTCATTTGTTCCCCCTCCATTCCTTCAGTGTGTGAAAGTACAGCAACGTGTGGGGAGGCTAGAACCTGACCCACATCCTCTCTGGAGCTGCCTAATGTGTGGTCATGTTATAGCACATTTTTGTATGCTTGTTCATTCAAATAAAGTGATAAATAATACCAGCCACTGAATCAATGATGTTCCCATACGTACAGAGAATCAAAAAGTTACAATCTTTTTTTAAATAAGGTGATGCAACATATATTTTTATTTGATTCGACAATCCGTTAGGCAACACTAACATGCAAATCCACTTAAGTGCAAAGATTTCCCGCATACAAGAATACAATCCATGTACCTTTAGCCCAATTAAGGACAGCAGCAAAGCTTTAATTCCTTTTCCATGGTCACACAGAAGGTTGCTGTAACAACCTTCTGATGGTCTGCTTACTAAATCTGTCACCTGGAGAAAGCACATCACAATTTAATAAAACCAAAACCTCATATGAGTAGGAGTGCTATCTTCCATGCTTGCACTCAGCTTTATCACACAATTAAAATAAATGAATTTTCCACCTATTTTATGGAGGCGATTTTCAGATGTGCTTTCGAAGAGAAAGATAATGAGTTTTCTGGAATTCATTGAACACACAGATCATACTCGTTCAAAACTGAAGAAGTTAAATTCCAAGATTAAAATATTTAGAATATGTGAAAAATGATCTGAATAAGGAGTTATGTACTGTACTGTTTATAAATGTAACAAGAATGATCATTGCATTTGATATAGCGGCTTTCATATTAGGAAGACGTCTTCAAATTATTTACTGTATGGTGACTGTATCTTATAGGAGAGTGCATTAGCCAATTGCACACAACAATGTCCCACAAACAGTAATAAACTGAATGTCCAAATTAAAGAAACTATGTTTGGGGAACAGATCTGAACTCAAAATGATTAGCTAAATCTGTGAAGTTGCACTGAAAAGGTACCGAGTTTATTAATGCAAATGGTTCTTAAAACTTCAACTAATTAATCTTTGTACGTATATTAGGAATGTAACCTCCATCCCACCTTAAAATCTTACCTCAATATTGCTAGGCAGGACTGAAAACACACATTTAAATCAAGCTTTAATTTAAGCCTCAGTCAGAATGGTGCAAATGTAAAATATAGAAATAAGCACTTCTAATCTCTCCCAAGTGTACACTTTATATACCATTAATCACTGAACTGCTAATTACCATTTTTCATAAAGAGAAAACTAAGATGAAATGTGATATAATAACAACTAAGCATTTTTTCTTAATTTAAAATGTACCCGCAGTAGGTCTCTTACACCACTATATATTCCTTGATTGAAAAAGTAGATAAAAATAATATTAATAATAAGGGGCAGGCAATTATAGGAAGAAATTGAATTTGTGTCAAAACATCAACTCCTTTCTGTGTGTTTGTTTCAAATCCCTATTTCTGAAGAATAATCCTCATCTAAATACAGCACTTTCCACAGAAGGGGCAGCCACTCCTCTCCACCACTCTGGATTAGTTCTCACTATAGTTTGCACTCTTTCTCAAGTTTTGCTTTTGACAGTACACAGGAAGATTTTTGAAGAGTACACAGCAATATTTTGGCAAACGAATGACTTGGATGTAGGAGCCCTATAAAATGACTCTGACACAGACTACAACTGACCAATATTTCATGCAACTATTTGCAAGGTTTTACTGACTAAGTCTTACGAAACAGCCATTCATTCTTTGTGATACATTTTCACAAAAGGCTGGTCAATCAAGTTCTACAGAGGAACCCTATAGAAGGTTATTCTTGATAGATAGTAGATGTGCTGGAGCACACTTGGAAAACACAGTCCTAAGAATACATTAAGGTAATTAAGGTAATAACTAATTACAACTAAATCTCAAATAAGTTATACTTAAAATGTCACTACCATCTGTTTGTCTTTCTCTTGCACTATCAGGATGCTCTCTCCTTCTGAATCAATGCCAGCCCGACCAGCCCTGCCAACCATCTGTTTGTACTGATTCCTCTTTAGAAAATCTCTGGCAATATAAGGCGATCTCAGAATAACCCTATAAAAACACAAAGAATAAGTAAACTGAGAATGTTACATTTTGAATTTCAAATAGCAGTCATCTCAAAGAACAGCAAAAACAGAGTTTGATAATTCTTTGATTTATTCGGTCAATTTAATTTTCAGGTGAAGAATGTAATTGACTGATTATTTCCTCATTGTTCCACATACATATTGCTAAGTCAGCAAAGACATTTCTCAGTGTCTGGAATGGAATACGTACTCTCTCCTTGGAGGGATGCTCCCTGCTTTCCCAATTCTGGAAAGTATTAGGTGCAAGGCTTGGGTGTGTGTTAGGCAATGCTGAGGTTTAACCAGCTAGTTTGGGCATCAATAATCCTTTATTAAAGTAATATTGACAATTCAAACCGTGATGAGAATAAATTGCATTCTTCCAGCATATCATTAGTATGTAAATGTCTTCAATTGCAAATAATGCATATGACTGATCCAACACTTTGCAATTTTCAAATTATGTTGTTTTAGATGTATCGTAATAAAGTGGCACTAACCTTCGACCAGGGAGATTAACACCAGCAGCTAATGTTGATGTACATGTTAGCACACAGAGTATTCCTGCAGAATAGGCCTCCTCTATAAGCCGTCTTTCATCATTTGTTAGGCCACTGTGGTGGTACGCTATTCCATATGGCACAGTTTTGCATAAAATGGGACAGATACTTCCATTTCCAATGTTTTTTAACTCTGCGATACAATCATGCTTTTCTTTCTTCTTCAGGTTTGCAAATGATCTGGTAAAAAACATTGAATAGATTAATTTTGAAAACAAAACAGAATAATGAACACCAATGGCTTGATATTTCTCATGGTTTTAGCCTTAAGACCATTTTCTTAAGATCATGTAAGATTTTGGAAATTTCTTAAGTATGTTAGTGTAAAACTGAAAACTGGTTTCCACAATCCTTTCTTACGTGGTTCTAAATTGAGACTGAAATTAAGGAACCTGAATTGTTTGGAGGCTGCTTTAGCAGTGCAAGAAGATAAGAGAATTCTATTTACGTTCAGAGGAGATATTGAGGCAAGAATGTCAATAGAAGTAGTAACAAGAAAGTAGTCATTGATTGCAAGTTAATAGTTCTTAAATTAGACTTGCAAGAAAAATTCCAAAAGTGAATCTTTGAAGAATTGAGATAAACATTATGATTGAACCATTAAAGGGTACAGAGAAGATCAACATCTATTATAAATCCAGTACAATGCATAGGATGTGACAACAGCAACTTGCATTTATGTAGCTCCCCACGCAGGGTAGTGTCCCAGAGCACTTGACTTTAGCTGTTGCATTGAGTGTAAATGTTATGTGGTGGGATCATCTGAAAACTAGTAAATGAATGCAGAATGAAATCAACAGCAAATGATTGGATATGACTGGATGATGAGGGGAGGCGATCTTTGATGTAGAGAAGTCACAAAATAGAAGAAAGCACAGAGCTCTATTTGAAGGAAAAATAGTTCAGAGGAAGAACCATCAACTACAGAATGTAAACAGCAATTTGAAAGGAAATTAAATCGACTTGAACATAAATTTGTTGGTAATTTGTTTACACTGCTAGATTGCGTCAAACGCTTTGTGGTCGACCAAGGCAATGATGAATAAATCATTAAAGATTCATATCTGGGTTTATTATTGAGAATTATCCTTACACTTGGTGTAGTGCCTTTCACGTCGGAGGGATGTCCCAAAGCACTTCACATGATATACTGTAAAATAGAGCGACTTACAATAGAGTGTGTGTGTTTTGTGGGTGAATTAGTCTCTAAGGTTCTGTTTCACATGGGCAATGAATGTATCAATTGTGCCATTGAATGTGACTTGAATGAACGATCAGAATGGAGTGCCAATAGGCAGACAGCTGTGTGAACCAGCAGAAAGGAATATAAATGCTTGTGCAGTATATGCTTAGCTTGGTAACGACATCTGAGTGAAAAAAATGTAATCCAAGTTCCAGTTCAAATTCATATGCAATGCATACATACTCGTTTAAATACTTGCAGAGCAGTTTGGCCACATTTTCACAGTTCTTTTTGGTGGGACAGAAGACAAGGCAGGAATACTTCGGAATAACTTCTGTCACCAGTGCAATCAGGTGATCTGGATCCACCTTTTGCATATTACTAGAATACTACGGAAGAGAAAGTAGAAGAAATCAAATGTAAAAAATCTGATTAAAAGGAAGTACGTTTATACTGAAATGCCCATTAAGCTTTTACTTGCAGTCCTCACAAGAGACGAGAGAGCAGAAGGCGATGAACAATAGAAAAAGCTCTCAATGGGAACAGTGACTAATGAAGTTCCATAGAGTTCCATCGTGGGCCCCTGCGGTTCAAATTATTCATCAAAGACAGAGAACACTTCTCATAATATTTCAAAATTTGCTGGTAATATCAGGCTACTATGGATAGATTTACTGACATGAGGAAGATCTGGAACAATTAAGCATATGACCCAAGGAATGGCTTTATGCAGATAGATGGATAAGGTAATGCTTATTGGACCAGTAAAGAGCAAATATGGTCTCTTGATGAAAGTGAGTCCATTAGCAATGATGTGAAGTAAAACGATTTGGGAGTGATTATTGATCATTCGCTGAACGTTTCTTGGCAATGAAAAGTGGCTATCAACAAAGCTAATGAAATACTAGGTTACATCTTGAGCTCATTAGACTATAAATAAGAAGAAGTTACTTTAACCTTTTATAGATCACTTTGGGACCCTCTTCAATTATGAAAACGAAAAGCTGCTGAGAAGGGAATTAAAGCTTCAACATGTTGCAATGCACTGCAATCAAAGGGAGCTAAAAATTTGAACATACCATTCCTTTCGCATAGACCAAAGGAGGAACATTCATGTCATTGATGTTAACTGGCTACAAATAAAGCACCTTTACTGTGGTATTAGAGTCCATGTAAATTGTCATGTAATTTTCCAAAAGGCAGCATAATCTTCAATTTTAAGACAGTGGTCTTAAGGCTAAGACCATGTGAAATTTTAGGTATGTGTAAGTTTTTTTAAAGCAAAATGAAACTATTAATCACGATGCTGTGACGTTGTGAGTGTTTATTTGCATGTGCACCACAATATGTTCCTGATTGCAGGCAATGGTAGGGAGTTGGAGGAAAAAGAGCGTATATTACATAAATTGTCACATTACGCAGTGGAGAAATACATTATTAATTGGTCTGGGATTCATTCCAGTTTACATCCATCCAAGTGCGTAGATACATAACAGCTGATGCCTGGGAACCATTGAAAACAAGAACAATACCTTGCATTTCTATAATGCCCTTCACATAGGGGTCAGGCCAATACAAGTTATAATGAGTTACATAGAGTGATATGACACGGAAAATGGCCATTCGCAGAGAAGATTTGTTTAATGGTACTGCACAATCCTGCAAATTTACCACTACCACCATAGTAACTGAATAATAACTATTCTAATCACTTTTGAAAGGTGAAGTATCTCACAACATTCTGTACCTTATAATTTAAAACACGGGAAAACGTAAACCTGTCTTCAGTTTTGTTGTCCACCTCGTAAATACTATCGTGAATTTTTACATATTCTTTTAACTGGACCTGAAAAGGAACATTTTAAAAATATTTAGCAAAAAATTTAAAAGTTCACAGTGAGAATTATTGTGCATTGATTCAACTTGGATATCAACAGCCTTGCAATAAATGACACAACAAGTTTGATCATTCGGTGATAATTTCACAGGCATCAATTAGAAATAAGCATCAATGCAGTTCATCACACACACTGCAGCAGAACGAAAATCAGAAAATCACATGGCTTTGACAGAGCAGCAATGAGTCAGATTTTTAAAGCAGGGGGCAGCAAGGAGCTATGATGAGCACATTTTATAATTAATGATTATTCCCATGCAACCAGCATTCTCTGAGCAAATTCTAAGTGTTACATTATCCCGCAATGACATCCCTCACATTGATGAAGATGCAGTTCATTGAAACACAGAGTAAGGCACCATTATAATTTAGTAGTTCGGGTCCAGAATATCCTAACCTGCCTTAAAGCACATGAACAGGAAGAGGATATTTAGCTTCTCAAGCCTGCTCCATCATTTTCTTAGATCATGGCTGCTTAGTCATGGAGTCCAATCATCTGACAGTGCTTCCTTGGCATGACACCACCAATTAGTGTTGTGTGAGTTAAGGCGGGGCAACGGGACCAAATGAACACCTTGTTCTGACAGCCAGTACAGACTTGATGGGTCGAAAGGCTTCTTCCTGTAATGTAACTTTCTATGATTCTATGAATGCCAGTCAGCCCCCAGTGCTATAAAATGGTTGACATCCGGGTCATCAGATTGCACCGCCAATACTTCCTGCACACTGTGCAGCAGGTTAGGTTGCACATTGTGATGATGTGCAACCAAAGTTACGAGTGTGCATCGTCACCTCCTGCGCGTGCGTAGCTCTGGAAGCTGTCCACAGGATCCACAGTGTAAGAGGACCATGTGATTCACTATAAAAATAAACCTACTATCTAAAGAAGCGCATTATAATGGAGTTCTACCTTATTCCCCAATTGTAGCAACAGTTAAAGCTAACTTTTAAAAATAATCCTTGCATTTACATTTGATATAGCGCCTTATCACATTGTTGGGACCTTTCAAAGTGCTTCATAGGATTTACTGTAAAGTGGATTGACCGTATTTTGTGGTGAAACGTGGCAGCCAGTTTGTGAAAGGCAATGTCCCACAAACAGCCATGGAGCGAATAACCAATTTTATGTTTGGGGGATTGTTGGCCAGGACACTGGAAGAAACTTTGAATAGTGCCATGGGATCTTTGATGTCCACCTGAACCGGCAGACGGGACCTCTTCTCATCTCTGACAATGAAACATTCCACAAGCACTGCACTGGAGTGTCAGCTTAGACTATGTGATTCAAAGTCCCGACATTAGGCTTGAACTCAGGGCCTTGAACTCACCTTGTAACTCAGAGGCGAGAGTGCTACCACTGAGCAAGGCTGACACCCAATTTGATGCAGTTTCCACATCATGACAATAAACGTGTAATACAGTTCCGGTTTTAGAAACATACATTTTAGGTAAAGTTTCCTTCTCCAAGATGCTATACAGTAGAACCACGTGAACACAGGCTTTGTTATAACACCTATTTTCTTATAATAGGAATGACCTTTGGACCCATGGTAGAAGAGAGGATATATTAGTGTAGGTATGCAACTTGTAAGTTTACTATATACAGCATTAGCCAAAATTGAAGTCATATTACATTTAAATGACTATCATGCAGAGAAGTTTTATTACTTTTCATCTTACTTACAGGTCGAAAGTTATTGGTGTAATGTTCTGCGTCCAGAAAACGCTGCAAATCACCAACATTATTCAGGGTCGCACTCATTCCGATAATCTGTGTAATTTCTAGAAAGTCGAAATATTACAGTGAAATGGAGGGGGATAGTTGATGGGAATAGAATAGATGGGGGCTCAAGTGAAGCATAAACACTGGCACAGACTATATGAACTGAATGGCCTCTTTGCATGAATGAACACTCCATCCAATTCTGTGTGAATACATTGGGCTGGGTTCTAGCTCGTCTTTGAAAAAAGTGGTCTCGGAGTCAATTAATTAAAGAAAGTACTGAGTACTTGTACTCAGTGTATAGTGTATAGTGCCTTATATGTCAAAGAGTCTGAAAGTGCTTTACAGTAATTATCTTAATGTTATTGGTACTGTTTTTGGTAGACAAATCCATCAGTCACTTTATTTGAAAGGGTAATCTATGTTGGTCAGGATTAATGTCATAGGATCTTTATTGTCCACCAGAGGACAGGCAGACAGAGACTTGATTAATGCATCATCCAAAGGATGGCACCTCTAACAAAGCAACGCTCCCCAAGTGCTGGAGTAAACAGCATATTCCAAGTCCTAAATGGAGCTTAAACCTACAACCTTGACCTTCAGGCAAGAAGGCTACCAAATTGAGCCAAGCTGAAACCTCGACTTCCATCCATTCCACAAGTGAATGTGAATCGCCCTACATCACTCTTAAGCACGTTTTAGTGACCAATTACATAAATCTTGGTCAAATCAAAGTTCTCTTGCTGCACTGCTGAACTGTAGCCCCTAGCAGATCAATGAAGAAGGGACACAGATGATGTCAGTTAGAACAACAGACAAGACTGTCTTATCCCCCATAGCAAGGAAACTAAATGAATGCTTAGAAAAATAAGAGGAAGGTGAAATTAAGTAAGAACTGTTGGTCAGTGGATATATGTAATAACATTACATACTGCTTGTGTAGAAAATTTTTGACAGAGTCATCTCTAGTATAGCTCCACGGCTTCCTTCACCGAGCATATGCAACTAAGACGAAAAGGAACAAAAATAGCATTAATATATTTAACATTAGATACTGTGGAATAATCAACCCTTGAATTCATATTGATATTCGTTTGTGACTGTTTTTTTCAAAAAGAAATTATGAACACGGAACATTAATTCATACACAGAGGAAATTTAACTGAAATATGCTGTTTGGGTTAAAAATGTTACCCTCTTTTATGATTTATTGGATACTCGCTCCATTACACTTTATAGCATAACATTCCATGTAAGGCATCAGTAAACAAGATAAACGTAATGCTGAACCATCTTGCCAAATCAGTTAAACTCAGTTGAAAATAGCAATGGCAATAATTTATAAGATGGGCTTTGGTCACCCTTAAACACATAGATCATCTGATCATCACTCATGTGAATTCAAACTGAAAGCGTATGTATCTAGCTCACTTGTTTCCACACGAGAGCACTGACTTGAACAGAACGACTTGAAATTAGCTTTTTTCCCCCACTGACAAATTGTTAGGAGATAGAATATTCTGGACTTGATTTTCCCCATCTAAGAGCCTATAAAATTGACTGCGAAAAAAAAATCAGTAAAAGAACCAATTTTTAAAATAATTCAAAACACTTTTTCCTGACAATTATATAACATAATAATTCTTGCATTTGATATAACCCCTTATCATGTCATTGAGGCGTTTCAAAGCGCTTCACAGAATATACTGTAAAGTAAATTTACCGTATATTTTATGGGCAAACCATGCCAGCCAATTGCAGACAGCAGTGTCCCACAAACAGTCATGGATTGAGTGACCCAATTATTATTATTTATTTATTTTTCAAGGGATTATTACATCTGGAAAGTGAGCCACTAATCAACTAACTTCCTACTTACTGCAAGATAAACAGAGGCATGTGGAGTAAGGAAACTTCCCTAAAATTTTGCCCTGCCAGCAAATCAAATTTGGGTCCTCTTGCTCGCGAGGCGAGTGCTCTAACCAATATACTACAAGACTCCATAAATCATAAATTTAGATTTATAGTCTTCCTGTCATAACATAATCATAACAAAGGTATGATATAAGAAAAAATGCAAAAGAGACATTTTGAAAATAGTGCCAAATTTTAATGTTATTTAACTAAAGAAGACTAATGGGATGTTCCAGGCTGCAACATATTTTCAGATGAGTATAAATTATTTAAGCTTCATTATTTATGTCATTATCCAAACTCGAGTGGATTAATGACTTGTTGTATACTTCTAGACAAATTTTATCCTTGATGCAATTATTTTAAATAGTTGATTGAAATGATACTGTTAATTTATGCGAACTTAATAGTTCCACAAAATAGCAAACATCTTTAAGCTAAGTACAGGCCACATGACAGACATTTTCCAGTATTCACAATTTAATTATAATAATAATACTTGCATTTGATATAGCACTTTATCACATCTTTGAGACGTCGCACAGCATTTCACGGAATATACTATAAAGTGAATTGACTGTATAGTTTGTGGAAAAATATACTGATTATTATAAAAGTATCTATATAAAAGTATAAATTAGAATGTTTCAGTCCAGTGAAGTGAGAGATGCCAAGGAACTCTCTTCCTCAAAAGGCTGTGGATGTCAGATCCATTCAAATTTTCAAGACTGAGGTGGATAGATTTTTCTTAATGTAGGGTAAAAAGGAATATGGAGCAAAGGCGGGTATTTGAATTGATGTACAGATCAGCCATGATCTAATAGAATGACGGAACGGGCTTGAGGGGCTGAATGGCCAACTCCTGTTCCTATGTTCTTATTTATATTTTTACATTTACTGTTAAACACTTTGTTTCAGGTGTGAGACCAGAATTTTGTGTAAAACGTCAAACACTGGAATCTATTATTTCTAATAGAATCATATCCTCAAAAAACAAAGATACTTTCTAAATCTATTTATTCCCCTTTTCTCTCCTCTCTTTAAAAAAAAAGGCATTTCCACTTTTTACAGTCATTCCAGCTGACTATTTTACTAATACAAGTATGACAAATTGATTCCCTAACAATAAATGGGGTTAGAATTGGAAAATCAAAATTCTGTATCTGTGCAATCCAATTTAAGTGTCAAAACAGCCTCTGTCAATAAACTTACCTCATCTATTACAACAAGTCCCAAACTATTAATTCTTTCGGTTTCTATTAGGGAGTTCACCAAACTGTGAGCCTTCTCAATGGTGGCAATATACAGGGAATTCTTCTCTCTACGTTTGATTGGAGGAAACTTCCCTTTGCTCCCGGCATATTCTTCCACCAAGAAATTAAATTCTACTCCAAAACCTGAGAGACCTCGGACCTAACGGAAAGCAATCAGAAATTAAATAGAAGGCTACATCCTATTGGTTTGACATCAACAGGAAATAAAATACCAGAGATGAGGAACTCCAGTTATGTGGAGAGACTCGAGAAGGTGGGATTGTTTTTCTTAGAGCAGATAAGGTTAAGGGGTTATTTAATAGAGGTGTTCAAGATTATGAGGAGCTTTGATAAGAGTAAATAAGGAGAAACCGTTTCCTCTGGCGGATGGAACAGAAATCAGAAGAAACATTTACCAAAAGAACGAGAGAGGAGATGCGGATAATTTGTTTTATCCAGCGAGTTGTTATGATCTGGAATGCACTACCTGAAAGGTTGGTGGATGAAGAGTTGAGAATTGCTTTCAAAAGGTAATTGAAAAGAAAAAAATTGTAGGGCTATGGGGTAACAGAGGGAGACTGGGACTAGTTGGATAATAATAATCATCCTTGCATTTGATATAGCGCCTTATCACATCTTTGAGACGTCTCAAAGTGCTTCACAGAATATACTGAAAAGTGAATTGGCTGTATATTTTGTGGGCGTAACGCCTACTATATATTTTGTGGGATAGCCCTTTCAAAGAGCCAGCCCAGGCATGATGGGATGAACGGCTTCCTACTGTACTGTAAGATTCTATGAAAATACAACATTTCTTCCTCCAATTGATTCATAGCCACATTACCTGGGCCAATGTAAACGTCCGGCAGCTATTTTTCCCGCGGAATCCGCTATAATTAGCACTCTCTGCTATAAACCCATTGAAAATGTAGTTTCTGACCCTGGGCCTCTTGCGCTATTTATCTGCCGTTACAGTGGATGGTGCAGCTTCAGCCAGACATGCGCGGTACGGTGCAAGAGGGAAATGGGCTTCCCTACACTCAGAGGCCCCACTGTTGGGATTGTCTGTGTGTGTCTCTCTTTCTATGTGTTTGTAAGTGTCTGTGTGAATACTTTCTCTCTATGTGTGAGTTTCTCCATGTGAGTGTGTCTGTGTCTCTCTCTCTCTCCTCTGTATGTATGTGTTTGTGAGTGTGTCTGTGTGTATCTCTTCTATATGTGTGTTTATGAGTGTCTCTGTGTGAATGTGTGCATCCTCTCGACGTGAAAGGCTGTATACAAATGTAATTGTGTTGTTGTTGTATGTGTGTCTCTCTCTCTTCTGTCTGTGTATGTATATCTCTTTGTGTGTGTCTCTCTCTGAGAATGCATGTCTCTCTGTGTCTGTTAAGAAAGAGTGTGTGTGTCTGTGTGTGTGTGTCTCCCTCTCTGTGTCTCTGTGTGCAGTGCTGGGCCCTGGAAATTCTAACTCCTTTAGAATGTCCCATATCTGATCTGATAACTTGGCTGACTTGCCAACAACAATTTATATAACACCTTTCAAGTCAGAAAGATGTCTCAAAGTGCATTATACAACTGGCTGGGAGCTTGAGCTGTGGAGCCAGGGGTGGAGGTGGTGACTATAAGCTGTTGAAGAGATGTCTTAAGGTCCCATTTTGAAGGCAGGGAGGGAAGGGACAAGGGGTAGGGATTTCAGGAGTTCCAGAGAGCAGGGGTACAAATGTCTCAAAGCTTGCCCACTGATGCTAAGTACAGCAGGTAAGGAATATGAAGCAGACTACCGTTTGCTAAGCACAGGGAGCAGGCAAGGCTATGGAGGTATTTGAAAGCGGGACCAAGAATCTTGAACTTGATCCACAGAGGAGTCAGCATTACGGTGGAGAATACTTACAGAACGACAATTTGTGCATGTAAACCTAAATTTAGAAATCAAAGATAGCATAAAATAATGTAAGATGACATCTTAATGAAGTAGGAATATAAATTCCCAACTAAATTATAACACACTGCTTTCCTTGAAGGAAAAACAAATCTACAGTTCTGTTATTCTTAATTACTTATTTTAACTACAGAATATAACCCTTAATATATACTCCATTAAAGCTCACTAAATCCCTTAAAATTGCAGTAAGAAACTTTGGCAACAAAAAGTATCCCAGAAGATATTGTTGTAATTTTCTACTTTCAAATTGTACCAAAATGTGAATATTACATCCTATTAGTCAGTCACTTGCCATGTGACTGACTAAATAGGTTGTAATATTCATAGATCATATAGTTGTGACTAAGTATTTACGATTTCTTTTTAATATGCAGTACCATAATAATTCATCAATGCTATTTAAGTGCAGCAAGCAAAAACAAATTAAGTTGTAGGTTTCACTCTGCTTTCCTTACCTTTTCTTGGACAATAGCCACATACGGTAAAACAAACAGTACATCTCTCTTCCTGCACAGTAGCTCCTGCATGATCAAAATCTCAGCAACCAGTGTCTTCCCACCGCTCGTCGGCAGTGAATAAATTAGATTCTTTCTTTGCTGCAAGGATTCCAAAGTCAAACAAGTGTGTTGCCATTCTGTGGAGTTTATCAAAAGAGCATTAGATTTTTGATTAGAAAATGTTAAATATTTCAGGAAATAAAAAATGTTTCATGTAAAAATAACAATGAATAGCAGTTTTTTTTGGACTAATTATAACGATTTGCAGGTCTCGTTGCAACCTGCATAATTTGTCAATATTCTCCTTTTTCTCCTCTCCTTAAAGCACTTCTACTCCAGCAGGCAGGCTGGCCCACCTGATTATCCTCTTTATGTGTCAAGATGGAGATTCGAGCATCAGCAGTCGAAGCCATCACATGAAGACCATCCGTTCTCAACCTGACACATGCTGATTTTTCAGCTCCCCAAATAGCTTTAAAAATCTTTTATAATAATAATCCTTGCATTTGATATAGCGCTTTTCACGTCTTCTAGATGTCTCAAAGCGCTTCACAGAATATACTGTAAAGTGAATTGACCGCATACTTTGTGGGCGAAACACAGCAGCCATTTGCGCACAGCAGTGTCCCACAAACAGTCATGGATTGAAGTGACCAATCTATTATTTATTTATTTATTTTTCCTAGAGGGATTATCATCAGGTGTGTGGAGTAAGGAAACTTGCCAAGGTTTCACCTTGCCAGGAATCGAACCCAGGTCTCTCGCTTGCAAAGTGAGTGCTCTAACCACTGAGCTACAGGACTCCACTGTAATACCCATTGTGGTCCCCTACTGTGACGCTGGTTGAGATAACTTCATTCAGACTGAGAGTGAATCTGCTACTTTCTGGTCTGTACGGCCTTAGTACTACATGAGATGCCTTTAACCAACAACAACAACTTGAATTTATATAACGCCCTTCACGCGGGGTAGCATCCCGTTGCGCTTGTGTATTATAACCAATCACAATACACACACACACCATTGGCCATTGTAATGGTTGCAAAGTTTTGGAACAGTTGTTACAAAAGATCTGGAAAAGGTACATTACATGCGTCCAACATCCTAGTTAAAAACAGATATAATATATCCTCAAATAATGGAGACAAATGACAATGATAGTCCTGAGAGCACAGAGGCATATTCTTAGTAATCAGCTTTTTACCACTAGCTGTCTTTAAGAATTGCAATCATTTGTATAGCGCCTTTCACGTCGGAGGACGTCCCAAGGCTCTGGACAATCAGTGTTTCGGACCCGAGCTGGGGGTCAGGATTGGGGAGGATGAAGGGCATGGTTGGGAAAGGAGGGTGATCGGTCGAAGAGAAAGGTCTTGAGATGGGTCTTGAAGGAGGCAAGGGAGGGGGCTAGGTGGAAGGACTGCGGGATGAAGTTATAGAGGTTGAGGGCAGAGTGGCTGAATGGTGGTGTGGACGAGGCGGGGGACTTGAAGCAGGATGGAGCCCGCTGAGCAGAGGAAGCGGGCAATTTGGTAGGGGTAGCAAAGCCATGGAAGACTTTGAAGGTGAGGACCAGGATCTTGAACTGTATCCTCTGCGTAATGGGAAGCCAGCAGAGTCAGACGAGGATGGGTGATAAGGTCAGAGCTTGGTGGTGAGAGGACACAGGCTGCAGAGTTCTAGATGATCTGCAGCCTATGGAGAGAGGAGTTGGGGAGGCCGACAAGCAGGAATTTTGTATAGTCAAGCCAGGATGTTATGATTGTGTGTATGAGGGTTTCGGCGGGATCCCATCAGGAGAGCCTTGGTCTTGTTGATGTTCAAGTAGAAAGTTAGCTCTCATGCAAGGCTTGATTTCTGACAGACATTCTGTCAGGACAGTAGTGATCCCAGAGTCAAGGGTGGAGGAAGAGATAGACTTGCATGTTATCCGCATACGTGTGGAAGCTGATCCCATGTCTGTGGAGGGAGTATATAGATATTGAAGAGGAAGGGACCAAGGAGAGAGCCCTGTGGAATGCCGCACGAGACGGTGCAAGGGTTAGAGGAGAAACTGTTCGCGGAGGTGAAGTAGAGGCGGTGTGAGAGGTACGATCTGAACCATTCAAGAACAGAACCATGAAAGTTGAGGTGAGAGGAGAGCCGGTGGATGAGGATACAGTGGTCAATGGTGTCAAAGGCAGCAGAGAGGTCAAGGAGGCTGAGGAGGCAGAGGGAGCCCTGGTCGCAGATGGACAGAATATAATTTGTCACTTTGACCAGAGTTGCTTCTGTGCTGTGGGCAGCACGGCAACCCAACGGAAGGGTTCATGAAGGGAGTGGCAGGAGAGGAAGGAGCAAAGCTGGGAAGCAACAACTCGTTCTAGGACCTTGGAAAGGAAAGGGAGGTTGGAGATGGGGTGGTAGTTTGAGAGCAGGGATGGGTCCAGGGAGAGTTTTTTAAGGATAGGAGTAATGATGGACGTTTTTAAAGCGTTGGGAACTTTCCCAGTGGACATGGAAAGGTTTATGATGTCTGTGAGTAGGAAAGCAAAGAAATGGAGCTGGGAGGTAAGGAGAGGGGTAGGGATGGGGTAGAGGGAGCAGGTAGTTGGTTTCATGCGGGTTAGAGTGGTAGTGAGAGAGGAGTGTGACAGGTTTGAAGGTGTGGAGGGAGGGATGGGTAAGGGCCAGGGTGTAAGGGGGAGATGGGGAGAGGGTAGAAGACAGAAAGGCAGAGGCAGCTGAGCAGATCCACTCGACTTTGGTTTCAAAGAAATCCAGCATCGCCTCGCAGTTGGCTTTGGAGGAAAGGATGGACAAGGCGTGAGGGTGAGCGGAGGAGCCGGTTGGTGATGGAGGAGCCTGGGATTGTCCTTGGCATCCATGATTGTCTTGAGGTAGAACGACAATTTAGCGGAGGCGAGGGTGGAGTGGTAAGATTTGATAAGATCCAGCCAGACCTGCTGATAGTGTTTTCTTCCAGTTTGTTTATATAATCCTTGTTTTTTGATACATTCCTCACTACCTAGATTGGCCTCCAAACCTTTTAGAAGCTGTCCTCCTCATGGGACACACCTGAATTCAAGAACAACAACTTGCATTTATATAGTGCCCTTCACGTGGGACAGTTTCGGAGCGCTTAACAGTGGCAGAGCACAACCCTGAGTCGCGGAGAGGGAGGAGGTGACCGCAAGCACAGTCGAAGAGGACGATCTTCTTTTATGATCTAAAAGAAGGGAAGAAAGAGGAAAGGCGAAGGGATTGGGGAAAGAGTTCCAAAGCTTCGGGGGGTTGTGGTTGAAAGGCGGAGGAGGGTATGAGGGACAATCAGCAGGCCAGAGCCTGCCAAGCAGAAGCAGCAGATAGTGTTGTAGGGAGATAGGTCAGAAAGGTAGAGAGATGCCAGGGCATGAAGGGATTTGTAGACGAGAGGATCTTGAAATCAATATCCTGAGGAACTATTTTCCTTCAAGTGTGCTGTACATCAATAAGATTGCAGAATAGTTTCAATATACAATATTAAATTAATACAATATTAAATATTCTTTCCCCCATTCTATTTACCATAAAGATCTTTGATGCCTTTGAACTGGAAAATCAAATCCCGAATTTTGCTTGGAAGTCCATAGAAAGGGCCCATGTCAACATCGGAAGTAGCTTCAATCGTTCTCATAGCAACATTTATCTCTTCAGTAACTGCAGCATCTTTCAGTTGTTTACTTTTTGACATCTGTGGTACTGGAGCAGAAGCATTTCCAGCCATTGCGCTTTTCATCTGATCTGTCAGACTTCTCCGGGCACTGGTCCCAGAATTTGTAGTTCCTGATTGCTTAGTTATTTTGCCAGTATTTGCCATTTTAGCCTCCGAAACTGAAGGCATTTCAAAATTATTATCATGACAATAGTTCAAACAGCTATTGTCTTCTGCTACTAAATCTACATTTTCATGCTCGATCAGGAATGAGTTCACCCCATCCTTTACTTCAAGTTGTGAGCTAGGTAATTCATCAAGTACATTTGTATTTTCAACTTGTGGCACATGCCAACCTTCTGCCATGGTTATGTTTCTCTTCTTTACAACACAGTCTTTATCTGCTTTGACATCAGTAAGGTTTGTACATTTAGAAGGATACTGCTCATCTGATTCATTTTTGTCATTTTGTGAACAATTAAGTAACTCAGGATTGTTAAATGTTGGCTGATATTCGTGGTTATGGAGTTTCTTGTCATCTTCCACAGGGCTAGAAGTCAGAACTTTGGTACAGTTAGAAATTCCTCTCTCTGCTTCATCAAGCTGCACCAAAAAGCCACTGTCATTTGCAAAGCTGTCGTAGTCTCCAAAGAGGTCCTCATCACTGTTGCAATTCATCTGAAAAAAGTACAGTATAATATATATTTTTTAAAATGTTGCTCATCATTCTTGAAGGAGTGACTAATTTGGGTGTGGAGGGTTACTCTCACTTTATATTCCTCATGTGTTAACCTGCAATACAAAATTATATTTGTAAAGCGCTTTTCACAGGTTTTCTGTCCATTCAATGATCAACAACAGCAAGATTACATTTATATAGCGCGTTTCACGTCGGGAGGAGTCCCAAGGCGCTGGACAGAGTACAGCATTTCATACCCGAGCTGGGGTTGGGGGGGGAGGGGGGAGGGGAAGGGGGGTGGCCGATGGCATGGTCGAATAGGATGGTCTTGAGGCGGGACTTGAAGGAGGCTGAGGGGACGAGGCGGAGTGATTAGGGGATGGAATTCCAGAGGTTGGGGGCAGAGTGGCTGAAGGTTCTCTCGCCAATGGTGGGTCGGGTGGGTCGGGGCATGTGGAGCAGGCCGGAGCCGGCTGAGCGGAGGGAACGGGCGGGTTGGTGGGGGCTTAGGAGGTCACAGAGGTAGGGAAGGTGAGACCAGGGAAGGCTTTGTAGGTGAGGACCAGGATCTTGAACTGGATCCTCTGAAGGATAGGGAGCCAATGGAGTCGGGGGAGAGTGGGGCAGATGGGGTCACAGAGTTTGGTGCGGGAGAGGACACGGGCTGCAGAGTTCTGGATTATCTGCAGCCTGTGGAGGGAGGAGTTGGGAAGGCCAACAAGCAGGGGGTTTGCATAGTTGAGCCTGGAGGTGATGAAGGCATGAACAAGAGTTTCAGTGGCCTGAGGGGTAGAGATAGTGGCGGAGTCGGGTGATGTTACAGAGGTGAGGGAAGGCAGAGCGGATCATGGCTTGGATGTGGGGAAGAAAAGACAGTTGAGGGTCGAACAAGACACCGAGGTTCCTGACTGGCTGGTGAGTTGAAGTGTGCAACCATGGAGGTTGATCAGTGTGATGTATACAATCTGAAGGTGGTCAGGTAGTGTGCATATTTACAGGGCTGTGTTACGAGTATTTTTTAATCAGCATTGTGTATATTTATTTTATTATTATATATACTTACAAGGCAGTGTTGTGTATATTTATTAACCGTTATTTTGTATATTTACAGGGCTATGTTGGGCATATTAAATTATCAGGTTGTTTTTACATTTATTGTCCTGTTTTGTGTGCACTTATCGGTTGGTGACCGTTCATTGATCATTGTTGTGACGATTCACTGATCAGTATTCTGTTCACTAACTGCTCAATGTTGTGTCCATTCATTGATCAGTGTGGCATACATTCAATGATCAGTGTTGTGTGCAGCCATTGATCAGCGTGGTGACCATTCAAAGATTAGTGTTATGTGCAGTCATTGATCAATGTGGTGACCAGTCATTGATCAATGTGGTGACCAGTCATTGATCAGTGTGGTGGCCAGTCATTGATCAGTGTGGTGACCAGTCACTGATCAGCGTTGTGCATATTGACTGATCAGTGTGGTGGACAGTCACTGATCAGTGTGGTGACCAGTCATTGATCAGTGTTGTGTATATTGACTGATCAGTGTGGTGACCAGTCATTGATCAGTGTTGTGTATATTGACTGATCAGTGTGGTGACCAGTTATTGATCAGTGTTGTGTATATTGACTGATCAGTGTGGTGGCCAGTCATTGATCAGTGTTGTGTATATTGACTGATCAGTGTGGTGACCAGTTATTGATCAGTGTTGTGTATATTGACTGATCGGTGTGGTGACCAGTCATTGATCAGTGTGGTGACCAGTCATTGATCAGCGTTGTGCATATTGACTGATCAGTGTGGTGGACAGTCACTGATCAGTGTGGTGACCAGTCATTAATCAGTGTTGTGTATATTGACTGATTGGTGTGGTGACCAGTCATTGGTCAGTGTTGTGTATATTGACTGATCAGTGTGGTGGTCAGTCACTGATCAGTGTGGTGACCAGTCATTGATCAGTGTGGTGTATATTGACTGATCAGTGTGGTGGCCAGACATTGATCAGTGTGGTGACCAGTCATTGATCAGTGTTGTGTATATTGACTGATCAGTGTGGTGGTCAGTCACTGATCAGTGTGGTGACCAGCCATTGATCAGTGTTGTGTATATTGACTGATCAGTGTTGTGTATTTTGACTGATCAGTGTGGTGACCAGTCATTGATCAGTGTTGTGTATATTGACTGATCAGTGTGGTGACCAGTCATTGATCAGTGTTGTGTATATTGACTGATCAGTGTGGTGACCAGTCATTGATCAGTATTGTGTATATTGAGTGATCAGTGTGGTGACCAGTCATTGATCAGTGTTGTGTATATTGACTGATCAGTGTGGTGACCAGTTATTGATCAGTGTTGTGTATATTGACTGATCGGTGTGGTGACCAGTCATTGATCAGTGTTGTGTATATTGACTGATCGGTGTGGTGACCAGTCATTGATCAGTGTTGGGTATTTTGACTGATCAGTCTGGTGACCAGTCATTGATCGGTGTTGTGTATATTGACTGATCAGTGTGGTGACCAGTCACTGATCAGTGTGGTGACCAGTCATTGATCAGTGTTGTGTATATTGACTGATCAGTGTGGTGACCAGTCATTGATCAGTGTTGTGTATATTGACTGATCAGTGTGGTGGCCAGTCATTGATCAGTGTGGTGACAAGTCATTGATCGGTGTGGTGACCAGTCATTGATCGGTGTGGTGACCAGTCATTGATCGGTGTGGTGACAAGTCACTGATCGGTGTGGTGACCAGTCACTGATCGGTGTGGTGACCAGTCACTGATCGGTGTGATGACCAGTCACTGATCGGTGTGGTGACCAGTCACTGATCGGTGTGGTGCATATTGACTGATCGGTGTGGTGACCAGTCACTGATCGGTGTGGTGCATATTGACTGATCGGTGTGGTGTAATTTATACGCCTGTCTGCAACTGGTGTAGCGCCAGTCACCCCCGAGTGTGTGTGTGTGTCAGTTACTGCCCCACAACTCTGCCCTTGTGTACCTCCTCCACCGCCGCCGCCGCCGTGGTCGGGGGCTGCCAGGCCGGGGGGCTCGGCTGTTCCCGGGGCGGCGGCCTCTGCCGGTGGCTGCGTCTCTTGACGGGCGCGGGCCCAGTGCTGGAGGCGGCTCCTCTCTCACGGCCCCTCTTGCGGCCTTTGACCCGCCGGTTGATCTCGGAGGCCGGGCTCCCGTCCATGGAATGGCCTCAACGGTGCGCACGGCTCAGCGCCGCCGCCGCCGCCGCTCCCTCCCCCGGCGGCCTCATCCGGTGCTGTATTCCCACCGGCGGGGAGTGCAAAGAGGCTGCGGCCGGTGCCGGGCTCTAGGCCCGGGCTGAAGGCCCGCGGGCCGCACTCGCACGCGGCGTCGCCATGACGCCGGCCCCGCCCCTGGTGACGCTAATTTATGGTAATGAGGTCACTCGGGGACGGACTGACGGACCGCCGCCGGTCACGTGATTGTGATGCGGGATGAGCTGCGATGACGCCCCGTTCCCGCTGTGTCGGTTCATTTATGATCGACATTTATTATCGACCGTTATTATGGTGTGGAATCGGCTTTACTGTCCGGGGTTTAACATCGATGGGCTTCACCGTTCAGGCCCCGCCCCCTCCCCTAGTACGGCCCCGCCCCCTGACCCGGCCCCGCCCCCTGGCCCAGCCCCGCCTTGGCCCCTGGCCCCGCCCCTGCCCCCTCCCGCGGGCTTGACAAGGGCGGAAGTGACGCAAGAGTGCTGACTTCCGGCCTAGTCTTAACTGCTTCGGGGTAATGTGGCGAGCGACGGCAGCGCTGAGAGCAGCTCAACACCAGCCAGGTAACCCCCCCCCCCCCCAGCCAGGTAACCCCCCCCCACACCAGCCAGGTAACCCCCCCCCCCCCCACACCAGCCAGGTAACCCCCCCCCCAACACCAGCCAGGTAACCCCCCCCCCACACCAGCCAGGTAACGCCCCCCCCCACACCAGCCAGGTAACCCCCCCAACACCAGCCAGGTAACCCCCCCCCCCAACACCAGCCAGGTAACCCCCCCCCCCCACACCAGCCAGGTAACCCCCCCCCCCCCCCACACACCAGCCAGGTAACCCCCCCCCCAACACCAGCCAGGTAACCCCCCCAACACCAGCCAGGTAACCCCCCCCCCCCACACCAGCCAGGTAACCCCCCCCCCCCCCACACCAGCCAGGTAACCCCCCCCCCCCACCACCAGCCCCCCCCCCCCACACCAGCCAGGTAACCCCCCCCCACACCAGCCAGGTAACCCCCCCCAACACCAGCCAGGTAACCCCCCCCCAACACCAGCCAGGTAACCCCCCCCCCCAACACCAGCCAGGTAACCCCCCCCCCACACCCACCAGGTAACCCCCCCCCCCCACACCAGCCAGGTAACCCCCCCCCCCCACACCAGCCAGGTAACCCCCCCCCCCCCAACACCAGCCAGGTAACCCCCCCCACACCAGCCAGGTAACCCCCCCCCCCACACCAGCCAGGTAACCCCCCCCCCCCACCCCCCCCCAACACCAGCCAGGTAACCCCCCCCCCCCCCCCCCCCCACACCAGCCAGGTAACCCCCCCCCCCCCCCACACCAGCCAGGTACCCCCCCCCCCCCCCACACCAGCCAGGTAACCCCCCCCCACCCCCAACACCAGCCAGGTAACCCCCCCCCCCCAACACCAGCCAGGTACCCCCCCCAACACCAGCCAGGTAACCCCCCCCCAACACCAGCCAGGTAACCCCCCCCCAACACCAGCCAGGTAACCCCCCCCCCCCAACACCAGCCAGGTAACCCCCCCCAACACCAGCCAGGTAACCCCCCCCACACCAGCCAGGTAACCCCCCCCCCAACACCAGCCAGGTAACCCCCCCCCACCCAACACCAGCCAGGTAACCCCCCCCAACACCAGCCAGGTAACCCCCCCCCAACACCAGCCAGGTAACCCCCCCCCCCAACACCAGCCAGGTAACCCCCCCCCCCCCAACAACAGCCAGGTAAACCCCCCCCCAACAACAGCCAGGTAACCCCCCCCCAACACCAGTCAGGTAACCCCCCCCCCCCAACACCAGCCAGGTGACCCCCCCCCCAACACCAGCCAGGTAACCCCCCCCACCCCCCAACACCAGCCAGGTAACCCCCCCCAACACCAGCCAGGTAACCCCCCCCACCCCCCAACACCAGCCAGGTAACCCCCACCCCCCAACACCAGCCAGGTAACCCCCCCCCAACACCAGTCAGGTAACCCCCCCCCCCCTAACACCGGCCAGGTAACCCCCCCCCCCAACACCAGCCAGGTAACCCCCCCCCCCCCCAACACCGGCCAGGTAACCTAATAAACTCAGTGCGAAAGGGCTTACCCTGAATTGTAAGACTGTGACCCCTGGTTATAGTTTCTCCAACCAGGGGAAAAAGTCTCCCACTATCTATTCTGTTGTGCCCCTTAATAATCTTATAGGTTTCTATAAGATCACCTCTCATTCTTCTATATTCAAGAGAATATAGGCCTAAATTGCTCAACCTATCCTTGTAACTCATCCTTGGTACCAACCTAGTGAATCTATGCTGTACTCTCGCCAAAGGCAAGTATGTCCTTTCTTAAATAAGGAGACCAAAACTGCACACAATATTCCAGGTATGGTCTCACCAGGGCCCTATACAGTTGCAGCAAGACTTCCCTATTCTTATATTTTAACCCTTTTGTAACAAATGCCAACATGCCGTTAGCCTTCCTAGTTGCTTGCTGTACCTGCAAACTAACTTTTTGTGACTGGTGTACAAGGACACCCAAATCCCTCTGAACGCTAACACTATCTAGTTTCTCCCCTTCTAACAAATAATCTGCTGTACTGTTTTTGCCACTGAGGTGGATGACCTCACACTTCCCTACATTATACTTCATCTGCCACCTATTGGCCCACTCACCTAACCTATCTATACATTTTTTTTAATGTCATCCTCGGTGTTTATTCTCTCTCCTAGTTTAGTGTCATCTGTGAATTTGGATATATTAAGTTTGATGCCCTCATCTAGATCGTTGATGTAGATTGTAAATAGTTGAGGCCCAAGCACTGACCCTTGTGGCACTCCACTTGTCACATTCCGCCAATCTGAGAAGGACCCGTTTATCCCTACTCTTTGTTTTCTTCCCGTTAGCCATTCTTCAATCCATGATAATATATTCCCCTTAATTCCATGGGTCCTAATCTTGTGGATCAACCTTTTATGTGGCACCTTATCGAATGCCTTTTGGAAATCTAAATACACTAACTACATCCACTGATTCCCTCCTATCTAATCTACTTGATATGTCCTCAAAAAAATCTAAAAAATTTGTTAAGCATGACTTCCCTTTTGTAAAGCCATGTTCACTCTGTCTCATCATATTGTGATACTCTAAGTATCCCACGATGACATCCTTAATTAAGTATTCTAGAATTTTTCCTACCACCGATGTCAGACTAACTGGTCTATAGTTCTCCATCTTTTCTCTCCCACCCTTCTTAAATAGTGGTGTGACGTTTGCGATCTTCCAATCAATGGGAACTGTTCCAGAATCCAAAGAATTTTGGAAGATCAGACACAAGGCCTCCACTATCTCATGAGCTACCTCTTTTAAAACCCTAGGATGCAGACCATCAGGTCCAGGGAACTTGTCACTTTTTAATGCCAACAATTTCCCTAGCCCTAATTCTTTGCTAATGTAAATTTCCCTAAGTTGCTCCCTATCAGGTAACACTCGTGCACACACACCAGCCAGGTAACACTTGCACACACACCAGCCAGGTAACACGCACAAACAGACAGGTGATACTCACACATGCAGATAGCACTAGACAGGTAACGAACAGAGAGACTGCATCAGGCAGGCCTAACCATTCAACATGATGCACAAAGAGATAGCACCAGACAGGTAACGGGAGAGAGGCAGAGTGTGAGCAATGCTGAGAGCAGGACAGCACCCGCAGCAAAGCAACAGGCGAGAGTGTGGGAGAATAGTACTGAGACCAGGACAAAACCTGCAGCCAGGTAACCGGGTAGAGAGAGTAAATGAAATAAAAAGTGAGTGAGAGAAAGTCTGGGTGAGGGATTAAGTGATGAGAGAAAATACAGTGCTAGGGGTGTGCTGCACTGTTGGAGGTGCTGTCCTTCAGGTGAGGTCCCGTCTGCCTGTGCAAGGTAAGGTTAGTGATCCGATGGCATTATTTTAAAGGGGAAGGGAGTTTCTCTCGGTGTCATGGCCAACAATCCCTCAAATAAAATTGTTCATTTAGTTCATGACTGTTTGTGGGACATTGCTGTGTGCAGATTGACTGCTCTGTTAGCCTATACAATATACAGTCAATACATTTAACATTAACAGTAATTACTGTAATCTGCTTGGAGGTGTTTTGATGTTGTAGGTGCTATGTCAAATGCAAGGGTTATTGTTAGCCTGTTGATGCCTGGTTTAGATTTTATTAATTTCACAATGAATTAATCAAACTTCTGACTGTTTGGTCTAAATGCATCCAATGGCAGTGCAACAAAGTGCATTTTAAAAAAATCTGCAAAGAGTACTCGCCTCACAGAGAGACCCAGGTTTGATTCCTGGCAGGGCGAAACGTTGGGCACGTTTCCTTACTCTACAGCCTCTGTTTACCTAGCTAGTAAGTAGGAACCTGGTTGTTATTCAATTGGCGGATCACTTTTCCGGAGGTAATAATTCCTTAAAAAAAATTGTTCACTCAATCTACGACTGTTTGTGGGATATCCACAATTGGCTATCATATTTCACTCACAAAATATTACAGTCAATTTACTCTACCGTATATTCTGTGAAGCGTTTTGAGACATCTCAAAGGTATGATAATTAAATGTATTAAATGGAAGGATTATTATTATCTGTACATTTCTGGTACAATTGACCATTGTCAAGGTACAGTTGACCACTGCAAATGAATATAAATGTTATTTTGGGAGAGTAGGGGGGGGACTCTTAAATTTACTGCGATACTATAATCCAAGTCAAAATTATTTTGGACATTTTTAGTTTTGCTATATGTAAAAGTTAGTACACAGCAGAAAAACAGTTTACAATTGGCAATGCTTTTCTTTTTCAGGCATATGGCAACGGAGCCTAAACATTCAACATAATGCACCCACGAGTGGCATATCTGATATGGTAAGAAAGTATTATCTGGCTTGCACACTGTGCATCTTTACATCCCAAATGACTAGTTTAGAGTGGATTCTCATAGTGATATCTGGTTTGTTAGGTAAATTGGATGTGTAAACTGAACAAACACCCGGAAAGCTTTCCAGGCAGCGTTATCAATGGTGGTTTTAGTTGGTTGAACTCCAGTAGTACACCAATGCACATTCTGGGGTCCCCCAAGCCTTGACCTTTGCTAACCTGCTCCAAGTACTTTCCAAAATTAGGCAAGCAGGGAAAGAGTGCACATTCCATTCCAATAAACATCTCTGGATTTTCCACATGTAGGTGGGATGCATAGAACTCTGTTTGGTTTGGATACTCTTCCCTAACCAAGCATGATGATGGGTGTCTGGATGTGTCACATCCAGCTGACAAAAAAAAGTTCTATGAATTCTTCAAAGCCACAGTATTTTTATCCCTTGACAGTGTAACCAACACATGGGTATCTGACATTAGATGGGCGTTTCAGAATCTTTTATCCACGCCAACAACTTAATCTGCAGGCATTTTTGGGCTCATCAATATTTTTTGTTTTCACAAATTATTTTTTCATATCTTAGTTCCTAACACACCCTAAGAGATTTGGTTTCCTTCCTCTCGACAACTTAATTTCATACAATGCCAATGTTTGTCCACTATCTGAATACTACTCTCATACCTTGAGATGGTTCCAACAGGACTTTTGGACACTTGTAAAGTATTAGAAAAATGCTTATTTCCCTCTTTTCATCTCTTTGACCATGCTTATAGTCACCTCCTCCCTCAACCCTGACTGAGCATCAGGCTCTGCCATTGTAAAGCACTCTAAGATGCTATCTCGCATGAAGGGCACAATATAAATCAAAGTTGTTGTTGTATCTGGATATGGAAAACATTGAGCGATTCCTTTTTTAATGTATATTTTGCCAAGGCAGATTATATAATTATTTTTATATTTTATTTGTGATTGCAGATCATTTTTTAAAATAAAATTCCTTGGTAAATTGTTGCAGGAATAGCACTCAAATAGTTTCCTCTTTATTTCAGCCAACCAAGTTAGAAAATCCCTATAAAGAATCTCCCAAGAGGTGCACTTTGTGCGGTATAGAAGTGAACTACAAGAATGTGCAGGTTTGTTCTTGATATTGTGTTGGGGAAAGGAAACGTGCTATAAGTGAGGTTAGATGAGCAATTATGAGTAATATGTGTTCTGCCAACGAAACTATAACAATCAATTTGGCATGTATAATATGAGTATTTGGAGAGGGATGTAAATCTGTTCTAAAATATGCCATTTTCTCTCCCCTGAATATCTTCTACCTCTTCGGCTTGCTTTCCCCTGGGCTGCCAAAAGCCTCATTCACACTGACATCATGTTCAGGCTTGATCATTCCAACTGTTGCTCGCCGGTCTCTCTAGCTCTTCGCTACGCAAGCTGCAGACCATCCAGAACTCTGCAGCGCAAATCCACTCCCACACCAGGCTCTGTGACCTTATCACTCCCATCTTTGCTTGACGCCACTGTCTCCCTATCCCCCAGAGGATCAATTTCAAGATCCACATCCTCACATTCAAATCCCTCCATGGTCTCGCCACATCCTACCTCTGCCTTCCTCCTGCCATTGTCTCCGCTTCTCTAAAAATGATCTGCTTCATGTCCCCCACCCTCTCTGCCCCAATATTGGTGGGAGAGCTTTCAGTCATACTACACCTGATCTCTCCTGGAGTCTCACCTCCTCCTTCACTTTTAAAGCCTGCTTTAAGATCTGTCTCTTCCACTACCCTGAAGCTCTGGTTAGTTGTGTCTGAATTTTGAGATGTCCTCCTGACATGGCAGGTGCTGTATAAATGTAAACTGTTGTTGCATTCCAATACTGTGCTGACATCTATTTCTGTTTCTCTTTATTCTGAAAAAGCTCTTGTCCCAGTTTGTATCTCCATATACAGGCCACATCTTTGGGAGACATATAACAGGTAAGACAAAATACATGTTTGAAATGTGTTTTATTCCTTAAAAGTTGTAGTAAAAGAAATTCTTAGGTATAATTACTTATACTTTAGGGTGGCAAAAGTGTGTTTTTTGAGGCAGGGACTGTGAAAGATACTGTACTGTGTTTCAAGATAAAAATAATTTCTGTTACTGTATTACAGAATGATTTATCTCCCTCTATATTTGTCTGTGTTTTTCCTGCAGTTATTTTTGTATCAAGAAAATAAAGATGTTTTGTGTGTTAAGGCGCCTGTATTGGATTGATAGTAAATTTGCCATCAATTGAAACAGTCTTTAAGACTTGATTCAATTAATTCAGCAGTGGGAAAACTGAAGTTTGTGTAATTTACTTTAAATATTTACCTTATTTTTCTCCTGTTTAGGCCTGTGTGGAAATAAGCAAAAACAAGTTGCTAAGGCCATCAAAAGAGCCCAGCATATGGGTATGTAGTGATTTTAAAGGTTTCATTCTACAGCTGATATTATCATGTAACTCATCGTGGTCCATTCTTGTGTACCTTTGAATAAATGCAAGAGACGTTGCCCTTAGCTATGTTGAAGCTCTTCCACTAGGCTTTCCACCTCGGACACTGACAGCATTAATTGACGCTAATACAGACTCCACCTAACTGAACCAGTGCAAAACCTCAATGTCTTGTTCGACTCTCAACTGTCCTTTAAAGACGACGGCCATGTCTTGACCCGTTCACCTCCACAACATTGCCCGCCTTTGCCACTACCTCTTCCCTGGGCTGCCAGGACCCTTATCCATGCTTTTACCAAGTCCAGGCTAGACTACGCCAACTCTTCCCTCCACAAGTCACGCACCATTCACAACTTGCTTGGTTCCATTGGCTCCCCATTCCCCAGAGGATCAAGATCCTCATCCTCACTTTTAAATCCCTCTGTGGTCTTTCTCCACCCTATCTCTATGGTCTTCCAAAACCTGCCCACTCCTTCTGCTTCGCTGACACTCGCCTGCTTCACGTTCCCTGCCCTACCCACCTAGCCATCGGTGGTTGGGCCTTCAGTCTTTCTGCCCCCACTCTCTGGAATTCTTTCCGGGAGTCCCTTCACTCATCGTTTCCCTTGCCTTCTCCCATCTGAGATTAATTGGAATTCAATTTTTAAAAAAACAAAGTAGAGAGTATCTCAAGATCTTTCACCATGCCTTTGGTCTCGCCCAATCCTCCCCACCTCTTTGCCCCCCACTACTCCTGAATCTCTCCCCATTGGCTCCCACCCCTCCCAAACCCCCACCTCAGGTACAAACCCTTGACTCCCAGCACCTTGTGTTCTCCTAATGTGAAAAATATTATATAAATGTGATTTGTTGTGAGTACAGGATGTTTTGCCAGCTTTTTTCATCCTGTACTCTTCATACATCAGCCTAGGCTCTGAGTCACTGCCCTCACGGGGGGAGCTATATAAATGCAAGTTGCTGTTGTAGAATCAGGAGGGCATCATATGTAAAACCAATCCTGTTTTCGCACTGCATCAACATACCAGCAGAAGTCATGAGATAGTGATTGAGAATTGAAACCTTGGCTTATTTTTTTAAATATTCCACTTCTAGCCCATTGGCCTAAAGCAATTACAGCTCAAAGTTGACATGGCTGAGATCACTATAGACAACAACAACAGCAGGGTAGCGTCTCAGGGCGCTTAACAGTGGCGGAGCCTGACTCAAGAACTGGTGGTGGGAGAGGTGGCCGTAAGCACGGTCAAAGAGGAAGACTGGAAAGTGAACCTAGAAGCTTCTAGTGTCTTTATCCACTAGACGTGGGAGGTGTCACTAGAGTGTAAGTCCACAGTGAAGGATGGAATTTGCAACAGTTGGAATTAAACCTCGGCATCAGACGAGAATTAATAATAAACAAAGTCACAATTGATTGAATGGCTTTTTGAGCAGAATTTCAGAAAATTTCTACTTCTGTCTCTCCTTTCTCCCTCGAACAATTATTCAGCTATCTTGTTTTAGTACATTTACTACTATATACAATATGTAGGTAGAATCTGATGAAAATGTTAAATGTTTGGTAAGTACTTACATTTTGTTTTATCTGCAGGATTTATGCCAGTGACCCAGAAGGACCCAACTTTCATAAAGGATCCAAACATTTGTGATATTAAACTTCTAGAATAACTAGATACTCAGACTCCCTATTATCTGCAACAATATTGTGAAGCTTTCCCATAAATTATATTCTACAGAATAATAAATTATTTAGTTATTCATGTGCATCCGTGTACCATTTCTTTTGTGTATTTCTGTCCCATTGCAGGACCTGGAAGGGCAGACCAGACACAGGGGCTGGGAGTCATCCCACTCAGCTCATTAATCCTGCAAGTCAAAGGTCTAACAGGTCCGTGCTGGACAAGCTTGCCAGACAGCAATATCAATGGCAAGCTAAGTGGTTTTAGCTGGTTAGACTCTAGCAGTATCCCAGCACACACTCTGGGGTCCCGAAGCCTTGGATCTTGCCAACCTGCACCTAATACTTTCTGGAATTAGGTAAGCAGGATGCATCCCTTCAGGGAAAGAGTGTACATTCAATTCCAACAATCTATGTGGGATTTTCATGTGTTGGTGGGATGCTTGGAAATCTCAGTTTGGTTTGGATACTCTTTGGTGATGGGTTTCCGCATGTGTCAGACACCTGGCTGACCCCCCAAAAATATAGCACTTCGAAGTGGAGTGCCATTTCTAGTTTGAGAAAGAAAAACTCAATTCATTACAGTGCAGCATTTAACCTTTACTGCTTCATTGTGAGAGTGGAATCAGAAATGGTCATGGCATCTGCAAAGTGTGGATGAATGGTATTTTGTGTTGAAAGAAATATTTGAAAACAATGCAGCTACAAATAAGGTCTGTCAATGCTGCAGATAAATGTTCCCATATTGTTCTGGGAGAAAAAGTCAAGATTTCTGCAGGAATATTGTGCTGACCAAAGTTAATCACCCACTTTGTAGTCAGATGTTTTTTCTTCAAAACTACATACCTGCTTCGTACTATACAATTATCCCCTTGACTGTTAGCAGATCACCAGAAACCAGTCTCAAGGTTGAATTTTTTTGTTTTATGCACTGATAAAAAAAAGTGATGTTACAGCAATAGAACTACTCGTATCTCAAACATGTTGCTTTAAATATTTACCCTATCCCATTAAAAACAAAATAATTTTAAAAACATTGTGCACCTTCAGACTTTGTAGAGAAACCTATTTCAATAGGAAAGTAAGTTTCATTATTTATTGGAAAAGGGATTTTGCTCAAAATATCCTAAACATTTTAGAATGGAAGCTCAACTGAAAAATACTTTGCTTAATCAAGCTGAATATATATATATATATTTTAAAAACTGAGCCCTCTAATGTAATTAGTCTTGAAGATGCTATTTAAGTTTAAACTTTACGGGTTCATGTAGTTTCACATCTAATGAAGCTTCAAGATCCACATCAAGATTCGAGATCCTGACATGAACATTACTACTTTCTAACAACATCACAATGACAGAAAGTAGACACTGTATGAGAAAGTGGGAAGAACCATTGTTTGCTCATAACATTATACAAACCTTTAATGGCAAGATTTTAAAAAAAGCAATGTTCCAATCCTTGGACTGTACATTATTTTAGAAAAACTTCTCAAACTATGCGAGTTGCTGTTGTACTGACTTCTGGTAAGTTTAAGCCTTTATGCAGTTTGCAATGGCCAAGATCTCAGCATTTTTAGTTTGGAGAAGCACTGGATAAAATATATCATTTTGGAATTATTACAATCTTAAAACCCTAATATGTTTCAGACTGTCCACATCATTTGGAAAAACATTTGGTTTTGTGTTTTTCTGAGGGGAACAGTGAATAAATCAGTTTGATTCTCACCTTAAATATTATAACAGAACAGGTAGATTGTTTCCATATTTAAAGTTAATAGATAAAGGCATCACTGTAAATTGTTTATCAGAGTTATTTCCTAACAAAGCTGAATTGTACAAAGTTTTAAAAAAATGAATTGTCCCTTCATTCACACATTACATATAAGCATTGGGAAGGTAGACAATCTAATAAGAGTGGAGAGAAACAGAAACCTGACCATAATTTGCAACTGAATTTCATGCATCAGAACCAATTTCTTTTTCAGAATCACATATAAGATACTCAAGTCAACTTGTGCTCTTTCTTATTTTCAATTCCCTCTGATCACAATTGTGGCTTCTAACTGCACCAGGAAACACTGTTTGCCTGGCCTCCCTGCCCTCTGGAAGCAATTCTCTCCAATTTGTCTGGTCTCTGGGCAGATGGGATTTCCTTATAAGATCATGTGACTACTGCAATAGGTAAAAAACATTCCTGACCTACATATCATTTCAAAAGATAATCAGCATGATAAAAGTGATGTTTGATGATTGCATAGTTTCTTTGTTGAAAGTTTATGTACTCTCAATCCAGTTTCTGGTGGGTGTAGATGTCAAAGAACTTCCTACAATATCTGAGATATCTAGTGTAGGGAACAAGAAAAATGATGGAAAGAGGCTTATAAATTTTGGTCCATTAAGGCAGAGATGCACAAGGTTGACTGGAGGTGGTGTGTTTGATAGCATTTGATGTTAAAATAAGTTGCAGGGGTGGGAAGATTTGATAGCCCTCTGGCATGTTTCACTTTCAGTAGACGAAAGGAGAAAGGATTTCATAGCAATAGACTGATCTAGATTGGAGCCCCGGCCCCACAGGTGAAATTATTCTAACTCACCACTCAGCTTCTGCCCTACTATACTATATTAGTCCTGCAATAATGAAAAATATTTATGCTTCCACTAATTAGATAAAGCAGGATTGTTGTCTGAAATCTCTTAAAGGATAAGTTTTTTTTAAATCAAAGCAGGTTTCCTTTTGCTGCTAGCTTTAGCTATGCCATTCTTTAAATGAGATGTCACAAAATATAGAATATGACAAATAATAATCCTTGTATTTGATATAGTGCCTTATCACATTGTTGAGACGTCTCAAATCGCTTCACAGAATATAATGTAAAGTGAATTGACTGTATATTTTGTAGGTGAAAGCAGCAGCCAATTGCACCCAGCAGTGTCCCACACACTTGTGGATTGATTGACCAAATTATTATTTTTAAAAATGTTTTTTTTGAGGGATTATTATCCCTCAAATTGACTAACAACTGGGTTCCTACTTACTACTAGGTAAACAGAGGTATGTGGATCAAGGAAATATGCCTAAGGTTTCAGCCAGCCCAGAAATCAAACCCGGGTCATCTTGCTGGCTAGATGACACATTTCTCATTTAAAAAATAGAATAGCTAAAAGCTAGCATACTGACTTTTTCAAAAGATTTAGCACTTTGCATGTCTCCAGTTTGGATTGTATTTCAGTTCTGAGCGTTTGGAATGGTCAGAAAGTTGGTGATGCTGAAGAGTGTGGATCCTTGGTGTATTGGCCTAACGCATCTCCTTCACTCTCTGAGCCAGTCAGTCTTATCAATGATTCAGTTTCACTGCCATCGTTTTCTATGTTTGTGGCTGCTTTTCTGGTCTTTGGTCGAAGTGGTTTTTGTTTTTTCTGTAAGCGACCATGGCAGTTTTTGGCCTTCCGCTTGCATGAAATCTTGGTGCTCTCTGATGCTGAAATATGGAAGCTCTTGGCTGATACCTGAGTCAACGCGTCCTTTTCGTGAATCCCATTGTCTTCACTGCAGCACTGAACTGGCACGATTTCACTTTCTCTAGTCACGGACACAGACTGTAAAAGTTTTGAGTTTGGGAAAGCCTTTTGCAAAGCCTGGCACAAGTCAAAATTTGTTTCCATGAGGTTGGATTTTTTCTCGTCTGCATTTAAAAAAAGACTGAAAGTTAAACATGTGAAAAAGTTTGACATTTATACTAGTGAGAGACTGGGGAGAAATATTTTAATAAGTTCCATAGTGTGAGATTTATGAATACAAAATGTGTGAAAATGAAAAATGTTGAAAATATGCCTCCGTCCTCATACAAACTGCAACGTGGGAATGGGCGGATGATGTCACCAAGAGGGAGCATGTTCAAGTTGAAGAGGAGAGGACTAAGGACAGAGCCCTGAGGAAAGCCGCACGAGACTGTGCGGGAACTGGAGGAGAAGCTGTTTGTGGAGATAAGCTGGAAATGGTGTAAGAGGTAGGATCTGAACCACTCAAAGACAGAACCATGAAGGTGAGAGGAGAGGAGGCAGTGGAGGATAAAGTGGTCAATGGTATCAAAGGCAGCAGGAAGGTCGAGGAGTACGAGAAGACAGAGGGAGCCCTGGTCACAGATGGACAGAATTCCAGAACTGCAACAAGGCAACTGCACAGAAGTCACAGAACCAGTTATCCCTTCACTGATTTGGACTGGTTAACAAGATAGAAACAGCGTGCATTGAGAAATGTATGAATAATATGAAGCAATCTACTCTATAGTTATTTTTCATTAAATAGAATAAAATTTATGTTCAATTCAAAATTAGTTGACTTAATTTTTCCAATTCAGCAAATTGCCAGTTTTTTAGTGAACACCCCGATATAACAATATTTTCTGCCAGTCCCGAGGGAATTTGTTATAGTGAAGTTCGACTGTATTAGAATCCAAAATGAGCAAAAAACATTTTCAACCATTAAAAAAAGCAGCAGCTCATAAAGACAATGTTTCCATGAGATGCTTCCCACTTTTTCTACCACGCATTTGTTTTCTTCTCAGCACCTCCCAAAGGGACTAAATCATAGCATGTTTACTGTTACTCAGGTGGCAGCCTTCTCTGAGTGGCCAGTCTTCATACACAAGTATCAGCAATTTATTTGAACATGGGAGTGCCAGAACAACCGATTCTCATTTGATTTTGCCCAGAGTGCACACACAAGCACATCCAGGAGTTTATGGATGATAGAGATTCCAGTCTGATTTTTTTCCCTCTAATCTGTATGCTGAAGCCAATTGTAGAAATCCCATTGCTATTCTAGCTAGCCCCCAAAACATAGCATATGAAATATTAATCCTCTACTCTTCATTTCCTTGAAATTTGCCATTCACAAATGTATATTCTTTTTTAAACCATATCAACAAAGATAGCCATCGCAAATGAACATTTCTGCTTTTAAAGGGGATATAATATACTGGAATAAATGGATTTTATTATAGTCTCTTACCTGGTATCTGTGTGAGCTCTTTTTTCTTCTCAGATAGTGTCTTCCTGAGTTTTTGTACATCAGCTAGTAAATATTGCACGGATCGTTCACTCTCTTCTACCTTTAAGCAAGTTGTCTGTGTTGAAGGAAACAAACATTTACATAGCACCTTTCACGTCGTGGGGGCAGCCTAACATTAAATTACTTGTTAAAGTACTTGTTACTTGTTGCAGCCTAACATTAAATTCAATCTTTATCTTTCACCATGTTTCGTTTCTAAGACTATAATAGTATAATTTGCAGTAATTGATTTAAATTAATTTCATTATTTAAATTACACTACTTTCAATTAATTAGCTTTAGGTTAGGGTGAAGTTCTTGAACTGGATCCACTAGGGGATGGGGAGCCAATGGAGCTGGGCAAGGATGGCCGTGATAGGCTCACACAACTGGTGTGGGAGAGGACATGAGCTACTGATTCAAGAAAAGCGAAATTGAAATGTATGGGGTGTATCTATTTGGAACCCTGGCAACTCATAAGGGCTGTATCATTTTATAATTTAAGAGTTTACGAAAGCCTCCTTCAATTCTAAAGGTATATAATGCGAAAAACAATAACTTGAATCAGTTGCAAGTGCTACAGCTCTGAGTCAGTATCTGAGAACTGTTACCTTCAGTTCCTCCTGCAGTGAGGCATAGATTCCTTTAATTCGCTGAACTTCTTTTAAGGACCCATCTTGATCAAAAAACTCAAGGCTGAGGAAAGGACACAAGAGAAATGGTGAGCCAGGACTTTTTTTTCTATTATCTACATTTAATCATGTATTTAGCACGCAAAGTCCATGTCTGGATATACTGTTGACATTGCTATCCCACAAAATTGGTACCTTATTAATATATCAAATAAATAAACAGCAAAACTTCTTTTTGCTTTTAAAGAAGTCAGTAGGCTATTTGGTTACCCCTACCCTCCAAGACATGAGTTTGAAGCCAAGCCAGAAGTCAGAATATATGTTCAAGAGCAAAATCAAATCAGCATCAAATCAAAAGTTAATATCATTGCTTAGTACTGCTAGAATACACTTTTCCCACCACACACGCTGTTGCTAAACAAAGGCAGTATTTGGGATTTATTTGACCCAAGAAGCCTCCAATTTCTCGTACCTCACTTGAAACCTCTTTAGCTGTGGTACTCCCTCAACCACACATCAACACAAGCTGAATGACAATAACATAGACCTTTTCTCTCCTCACATTGGAAAGGTTCCAGGGAACACTATTGAGGGAACGGCTTAGTGCAGCCTGCTTTGGGTTTCTGAAACCAGGATTATCTACAGTTATAAAAGAATGGTTTCAGACTGCAAGGCAGGTTTTGATAGTTCAGTCTCTCAATAACTTATCTTTCCCCAAATGTCTCCGCAGAGCAGCGATATTTTAATGACAAGAGCAGACACAATCTATCCGATTTCAATGACTTCATGTGCCCTACCTAAGCATCACAGTTAAACAGATTCCCTCATGATATACTTGTGAAACAAGCAGCAGTGTTCTACAGTTAATCATCACATTAATCAATGGAACTATGAATTTAATGATCAATTGCAGTCACTACAGTTTTCTACCAAATTTAATCTCAATCCTACAAAACGCAGTGGACGTCTGGATATCCAAAATACCCAGGACCAGTGGTACTTTGAATATGCGGGGAATTGTTTTTATGTATAGGAGTTTGTAAAATGTATATCTAACTGACCACCAGTCGAATACTGAAATTTCTTTCCAACCTGTTTATTTACTAATTTGAGCAACTCTTGTTGGTGACGAGATCCACAAGACGGTGGCATAAAAGATGGAAAGTTGTTCCCGTGGAGATAAGACGGAGGCGTGTTGACTCCTGCTCTGCTGAGCCACAAGTAAGGGTTGGTAGGTGTGGGATAATCCCCTAATAAATGGCTGGCTGGCCTTTGGGAAGTGTGACGGTTCTGTTGATGGTACAGATCACCAAAGAGGTGCCAGGGAGAAACAGATTAAACTAATTGTTTAAACATATGTGTGTGAAGAGTAGGTGAGTGGGACACCACAGTGAGGGCACACGGTGGATGCTGAGAGGATCTTTGAGATTGGCACTGCAGCTTTCCTCACACTGCTTGCGAGTTAGTGAGAGGCTGCAGCAGGAGGTATGGAAGGAAGCCTTTAAAGCAAATTCATGAAAATGAACAATGTGCAAAGACGGTTTGAACCATGAAAGCAAATTGGTGGATAACAAGAGTGCAGGGTCCAGCAGAGAGTGAAAGCAGTGGCTTGCTTGGGTAAGTGTTTCAGTTATGTTCAGTTCGGCGCTGTTTCAGGTAATGCAGAGTTTTTCAGAAATAATAATTCTTGCATTTGATATAGCCCCTTATCACGTTGTTGAGACATCTCAAAACTCTTGACTGAATATATTGTAAAGTGGATTGACTGTGTATTTTGTGGGCAAAATGCAGCAGCCAATTGCGCAACCAGGTTTCTACTTACTGCCAGGTAAACAGAGGCGTGTGGAGTAAGGAAACTTAATAATAATAATCCTTACATTTGGTATAGCACTTTTCACATCTTCTAGACGTCTCAAAGCACTTCACAGAATATGCTGTAAAGTGAATTGACTGTATATTTGTGGGGGAAATGTGGAAGTCAATTGCGCACAGCAGTGTCCCACAAATAGTTGTGGATTGAAAATGACCAATTTATTATTGTTTTGGAGGGATTATTATTAGGCATGTGGAAGGGAACTTGCACAAGGTGTCGCCCTGCCTGGAATTGAACTCAGGTGTCTTACTTGCAAGGCAAGTGCTGTAACCACTGAGCTACAGAACTCCAAACTTGCTTAAGGTTTCGCCCCTGCCGGGATTCGATCCCGGATCCTCTTGCTTGCGATATGCAGAAATCTACTGTATCGAGAATTAAATTCTTAATTTAGTCCTGTAGCTCAGTGGTTAGAGCACTCGCTTTGCAAACGAGAGACCTGAGTTCAATTCCAGGCAGAGGGCGAAACCTTGGGCAAGTTTCCTTACTCCACACGCCTAATAATAATCCCTCCAAAAAAACAAAACAATAATAAAATTGGTCATTTTCAATCTACAACTGTTTGTGGGACACTGCTGTGCGCAATTGGCTGCCGCGTTCGCCCACAAACATACAGTCAATTCACTTTACAGTATATTCTGTGAAGTGCTTTAGGACGTCTAGAAGACGCGAAAAGCGCTATGTCAAATGCAAGGATTATTATTATTATTAAATGCAACCAGCAGATTAAAATAGTTATAAGTGGGTAAAATAATTGGGAGATAAAGGTTTGATTGAAAGGCCACAATTTAAACTTGGGGTTCCCACAAATTCCACAGAACAACATGCGAGGTATTATTTCGGGGTCATGAAGCTTGTTTACAACCACCCTGACATAGGTATATAAAAGACATAATTTCAGACTACAGTAGTGTTGGATATCTTACAACCCTCTCTCCAGGAACACCCATATCTGGAAGAAAGAGCAATATCGCTAATGGTACTCACTGGGCGTATTTTCATAATTCATGTGGATATACAGTAGTTTGAAATACCACAAGCTTTGCCTGTATAATTTCTAAACTCCCAGTGACAATAAGTTTGGCATCACCCACATTTTTTGAAAAAAATACCATTTGATGTTATCAATTTACAGTTTTACAACAGTTGAATAGAGTTACCCATGTAGGTCATCCTAAAGTGCAGACATACACAATCATTTTTTACACTGTAATAGTCATACATGCAGTCCATTACATTATAGCACAAGCCTATTTATAGAGAACCACAGATAGACTGCGGATCTGCACTCTACCACAAGTGTGGTACATGACCTCTGGTGCTGTCTGGCTATCTTCCTGCCACTCAGTGATGGAAGGCACTGTCAGAGAAGTGGCACAATGGGCCACGTGTTTTGCAGATTCTTTGTAACATAATTTTATGGACACAAAACGCCATGTTATAACAGTGTTGGACTGTATATTTACATATACAGTGTGAAACAAATAGATTGAGAACTAGGTTTTAATCGTGTTCATTTAATTACATTTGTAAACCATATGAGAAAGTCTGCCATTCCCAAATGCTTGCAGGGTGATCCAGTTTATTTTTCAGCCTGATCCAGTTCATATGATCTGGCATAGCAAAGATCTCCAATCAATTTATTCTTCTGAGAATTTGAGCTGTGCTTAATTATCTTCAAATATCTCCTCCCGCTCTCACCCGGTCACCTGCGGGGTACCCAAGGATTCATCCTTGGCCCCCTCCTCTTTCTGATCTACATGCTCCCTCTTGGGGATGTCATCCGCAGACATGGGGTACACTTCCACATGTATGCAGATGACACTCAACTCTATTTTTCCACCTCTCTTTGCGACCCCCAGTTCCCTGAGGTTCTGTCAGCCTGGCTGTCAGATCTCAGGGGCTGGATGAGCACAAATTTCCTTCAGCTGAACGTTGACAAGACGGAAGCCATACTCTTTAGCTCTCGTCAACGTCTCTCACCTCCTCCAACTACCCGACCTCCCCCTAAAACTCTCCGAACCCGTACGCAACCTAGGCGTCAGGTTCAACCCCCAATTATCCTTCCTCCCCCACATCCGGTCCCTCACCAGCACCGCTTTCTTCCACCTCCGACGCATCGCACGTCTCCGCCAATACCTCACTCAAAAAGCCGCTGAAACCCTGGTCCGTGCCTTTGTCACCTCTCGGCTGGACTATTCTAACGCCCTCCTCGCCGGTCTCCCATCCACTACCATCCATAAAATCCAGATCATTCAAAACTCTGCCGCCCACATTCTCACCCGCACCAAACTCCGCTCCCCGATCACCCCAGTCCTTGCCAGACTGCACTGGCTGCCTGTCCCAGAGAGGGTCGACTTCAAAATCCTCACCCTTGTCTTCAAACCCCTCCTCTCCTCTGCACCCCCCTACCTCTCTGACCTCATCTCTCCTCAAAACAGTACCTATTGCCTTTGTTTCTCCGAGTCTGGCCTCCTCCTCGTCCCCCGAGACCTCCGCTCCACCCTCGGCGGCCGTGCCTCCAGCCACTATGCCCAGAGGCTCTGAAACTCCCTTCCTCACTCTCTTCGCCTCGCTCCCTCCCTTCCTACTTTCAGGTCTCTGCTGAAGACCTTTCTTTTCAACTGCGCCTTTGGTCACCTCTCCTTGGCTCGGTGCCGGGATCCGTTACTGTAAAGCGCTCTGAGATGCCGTCCGGCGTGGACCAAGTTGTTGTTCAAAATATTCCTTTCAAATTACACATTCAAGGAATTGCACACCACAGGAAGCAGATATTCGACCCACCTGGTCTGTGCCAGCTTTCCAAAAGAGTCACACTCCCCCGTTCTTTCCCCATATCCTTTTAGATTTTTCTTTTCAAATATTTATCCAATTAAGTTTTAAAAGCTCTTATAGATTTTCCTTTACCCACTGATTTGATACTTCATTGTGATTTATTGGACACATTCTGATTCAGGGTCATCACTACCAGAGAACAGGTTTGCTTGCTTCAGTATACCCAACTCCATACAAACGATCTTGGGTTTATTGAAGTTTCACAGCAAACAACAAACTAACAAGAAATCAATGAGGCACGAGGAACATTTGGTGAATGTGCAACAGTATGGTAGAAAGCTCTTCCACTTCAAATCAATAGAAAAGTTCTTAGAGGACCAGTTAGATGAAAAGAGAGCAGTTCCTATGTTTCACCAATTATTTAATCTCATTTCTCAGGACTTGACCAAGTTTTCCATCATCCTACAATCAATATTCCTTTTAACTCAAGTTTACCACCGACTAACAAGGGTCCCAATTTTGTCTTCTTTCCAGTGTGGTGGTGCTTCTACTGTCCTTCAACCTTCACCTTGGTTTCTCAATTTAGGAAAAATATATAAACCGCTTAAAAAAGTAAAGATGGCAAAGTTCCCATATCAGTTATTAACCAAAGTTCTCATGATAGCTAGACAATGGACAACTATATAGGTGCCATTAGTATCACGTTACACTTATTTTGTCGGTCCTTCTCAGTGCTTCTTTGCAATCTCCGTGGCACTTTACCCAGTGACCTGGATTTGAACCGATTCATCTTACGTAACAAAAGCAATCAGGTGAGAAGTGAAAGCCTATTATTTCTGAGCAATTCACAATTAAATTTTATTTTGTACCGCTCTAGTCAACGCCAAAGTTCCATGTTTTGTTTATCAAAATATTTTCTGTCAGGCATTTAATTTTATTTGAAGCTGTAGTTTTCACAATGTTTTCAACTTGATGAAAGCATTTAGCTATGAGTGCATTTTTTTGGTGCAGAGTGCATTGGGATATTTGCGTGGCTATTCATACATCTGAAGCAATGAGAATTGAAGTGTCGAAGCATTTTATTTACTCTTGGTGTCTGAGGTTCGGTTGAATCGAGGGGTTAGCCTTTTTGCATTTATCAGAATACTATTATTAATAATTTGTAAATCACAAATCTTTGCAATTTGCACTGTTGTCATATGTTAAAACAAATCTATTTTAAAATGCAGTGGATGGAAAAATTAAGCACAAACACGTCAAAACTGTTCTAAGAACCACAATAAAAAAAAATTCCAACAAGTCAACTTCTGTTCAACAGTGACAAGTCACTCTGGATGCTGCAATATCTACTCAGAATTGAATGTCCGGAATCAAAAATGCAACTTGACAAATGTATGCTACCCTATAGGTTGTAGTCATCAGCAGAGCCAAATAAATCAAATTAGATTGTGCATTATAAAGGTCCACAAGAAAAGGCTACCATTCCAACTTACAATAATAATCTTTGTATTTGGTAGACCACCACATCACGTTGCTGAGACATCTCTAAGTGATTTAAAGAATATATTGTAAAGTGGATTGATTGTGCATTTTATGGGCGAAATGCGGCAGCCAATTGCACACAGCTGTGTCCCACAAACAATCGTGGATTGTATAACCAAAATTTTTTTGAGGGATTATTACCCTAGAAAGCGATCCACCAATTGACTAACAACCGGGTTCCTCAAACAGAGGCGTGTGGAGTAAGGAAACATGCCTAAGGTTTCACCCCACCTGGAACTCGAATGCAGATAACATCCCCAGTACCGATTGTATCGACTGAGTGGAGACAAAACTTCAGCCCAGTACCAACCAGAACAGCTATTAAAAATGTGAATACCTTTCTTTTCTCCTCCGTTTGAAGACACTGGACACCTGCAGTGTACACACCCCACAACAGTTATAAAGTTCCTGTGGTGTAACATAATAAAAATGTGCTTCTTACCTATGTTTCTGCACTGTTCGACTGTAGCCTGTTGAAGTACAGGACCCTGAAAATGTTATGTAGTCCTGTTGTTCGGACATTCCCAGATTGGTCACAGATACAGGAATTTGCTGAACAAAACTAGATTTTTTTTGAAAGAAGCACACAAAAATAAATATTACCTCTATATTATTGAAAGTGGACTTGAGAAATTTTCAAATAGGTCTGTGTGCACAGTGCCACATTATTGTAAGCAGAGCAATTCAAGGCAAGGTAACCCACACAGTTCTTTGAGCAACCCAATTGGCAACTGGCACAAACAAAGCTGGAACAAGTTGGAATCGGTTCTGATGTTTCCCTTTGTGCATATGGAAAGGATCGTTTACATTTCCCAAATCTGCATACTTTTGAGGTGGTTTTCTTTTTTTTTAAATACATAGAAAAATCACTCGACAGTGCTCACCTTTCCTGAGGTTTACTGAGAGTGTATTCCAGGCTGTGTGTGGAACCATTCTCTCTGCACAATTTGGTAGTAAAGAGAAAGAACACCAGCTGCTGGTTTTTTAGTTGAATCTGAAGGTTCTTGTGAAGAAGGCGCTCTCGGAATGTCATCGCCTGACTCGTGTTGCGTCTGAACTTATACCAACCAATAACATTCTGGAGAGAAGAGTATACAGTATAATCAGATCTAGTCTAGACCAAAAACACTGAAAATGAACTACTTTTCCAATTACTAATACTCCTCAACTCTAGATATTTAACAGCACATAAACAACAACTTGTATTCATGCAGCGCCCTTCATGTGGAGTCGCATTTTGGGAGTGCGTAGTCTAATGCTGAGCCAGGGAGGACGGACAGGTGACCTTTTGTGATCACACGTGATCTGAAAACGGGCAAAGAGGTGGGATAGAGGCAGGGAGTTCAGGAGGTTCAGGGTGCAGTGGCTGAAAGCACAGCTACCACAGTAGAGCAGGTGGGTTGAGGAACATGCAGAAGGTTCAAGCCTCAGGATCGAAGGGGGTAGATAGAGGAGTGAGGTGCGAGCAGGTTGGAAGGTAAGGAGGTGCTGGGGCGTGAAGTCATTTGTAGGTGAGTGTAAGCGTCTTGAAATCGATCCGTTCTGCAACAGGGAGGAACATCCTATTTACTGGGCTGGATTCAAACTCACAAAAGATCAATGTTTCAACCCAATGGGCACCCCAACCATTTAAAACTAGTTTTCGTTTCTGTGTAATTTTCTTTCCCTTTTATTCAGAGTTTCCAGTCCAACAATTTCAGCAGCACAGTCAATGTAAGAGTCATAAGCGCTCCGAGACACTAACCGCATGAAGGGGTATCAATGCAAGTTGTTGTTGTTTTCAGCCATTCTCTTGCAACTACTAAACCCAAATTACATGCAAGGATTATTATCAGTATTTGGCTGCACATTATTACTTGAGATAAGGAATGCTATGACCATTTTTTTTTGAAAGCAAAGGGAAAGCATTTTTTTTTAAATTGTTCCTTGCTGACAGTTAAATTATTTATCTGACAAAATTACAGTTTTAAAATTGATGCAATCAATCATGCAATTCAGGATACTTATATTTTCAAATGCTTTGACCAGGTGTTGTCTTAGCAATGTACCTTTTTGTGATCTTGCAATATTTTCTTCAGTGCTTTTTCATCCACTTCACCAGCAAAATTATAAAAACTGTAAGACAGACAGATATTGGAAATAATTTTATTTCAACAAGGTTAGCACACAGACTTCCTGAGCTAGTCACTAAGGTTATTCATGACAAGCAATCATTCATTGACTACTGAGGTACAGTGCACATATTACCTTTCACCCACAAAATATACAGTCAATTCACTTTACAATATATTCTGTAAAGTGCTTTGAGACATCACGATATAATAAAGCGCTATAAAAATTCAATTATTATTATTATATACATTGCAATAATGCATATGGCAGAATAAAGTGCATAATTTCTGCTGAAATGCAGTAGTCATTAAGATCGGAACAGAAATTGTTAACTGGATGTTGGTTAAATGACTAAATACCCTGTGTATACAAATTGAATAAGGACTAATAGAATTCATGAGCTGTGTTTCCCTTAGACACATGCAGACCCTTCAGAACATTTTCAGTTATAAAAATATACATTTTTTAATAATTCATTCTCTCTTTGCTTGGAGAGGGGAGTGTCTAATTCCACATCACGCTGTCTCTAGTCATTAGAAAGTGGACATTATTTATTCTCTAATATTCACTCCTATTGAAGAAATCTCTGGCTGCTGCTTGGTATATAAATTTGGCAGCAGAACAGAGTCTGGACTTACAATGTGGAGAAAGCAGAGGTGCAAATTCTAAACCTGGTACGTGTAAATTCTGGTATTTTCATATCAAGTTGCTACATCATCATTTGAACAAGGAAACATATTCCCATTTTATATTCAATCTCCGTGGGTTTACACTTGCTTTGGCAATACCAGAGACCCAGTCCTGTGTTCCTTTCTATCTATTAATAATATACAATCCGCCAGCAGGCAATGCCAGTGTACAAACCACGCACAGTATCTGCGCAAGTTGTGCTCAGGATGTGCTCAGTTACAGGGAACCATAGGGATCACACTGAAGTGAAATATTAAAGAGGCATTTATTTTCACTGAAGTGCAGCACCACTTGTCGATTCAATGTAATTAGTTTATGTGCATTCCAAAGAAATAGTCCGCACTTTAGAGCAAATTCAAACATGGGATCTTCTGGGAATATTGTTCCCTTTAACCTTTTCCTCATGAATCAGGTTGCAAGCGATGGAACAAGTCCCACTGGAAATAACAAAAGTCCTGAAATTCTTAGACTTGAAAATGGTTATCAATTGAGCTCACGTACCTGAACAGCCAGTAACATGGAATATGTTTTTGTATATCTAGTGGGGGGAAAACAACACACGTCAGAGTGAACAACATTTCAAGATCAAGATTGGTGGGGAAACAACAATTTTTCATATAGAAAGCTAGTTTCTCTGATGGATAATAAACATTAAACACAAAGGGGAATAGCTTTTAATACAAAATAATAAGTGTTATATATATGTATATATATAAAAAAGACTGTTCAGTTACCTTGTGTGGGAGTTCAATTAATATCAGAAGATGCATCTTTCAACTCAAGGTTCTTTATATCATGTGAATTAAAAGTCCTCCAAGTGAGTTCACCTGGTGAGGACTTCAGCAAATTGCTACATAAACATGTCCAAACCAACAAAATGTATGGTGAAGTTCTAGGTAACTTCTGTATGTGCTTTATGAAAAAAAATACACACAGCGAAATTCACTCTTTGGCCTTTACACACTGGTGCAAGCCAAAGCAACCGGAACTATTACTCGAGGATCACAAGGGAGAAAAAAAATTAGAAGTTCCACAAACGGGAAATTAATCTACATGAACCCGATCACTGAATCTGATTGTATACTGGATTCCTAAAAGGGATTATGAAATGCATTTATGCCACCTGTGAGATGCACCCGATATGTTTTCTCATCAATCTACTCTGTTGATGCTGCATTTTTGTGTTGTTACAATTCAAATTTAGAAAAAAATGTGCAATTAAAGTAACTGGACTTACATGCCCTGTGCGTACACTCACCTGGTTCTTGACCACGAGTTTCAGTGCGAAACACAATTTGTTATAATATAAATCTAAACTAGAAAGACCATCAAAGCTATAGCAGAGCACATACAAGGAAGCCGCCCGGAAATTAGAAATGAAGAGTTATGATGAAAGGTTACAATAGAGAACGTTAAGAGTTTTTCAAAATTCTAAAAGGTTTTGGAAGGACAAATAGTGAAAGGTTATTCCTGGTGGTTAGTATATCAATAACCAGAGGTAACAAGAGCTCAAGACCACAAATATACGGCCAATTCACTTTGCAAGATATTCTGTGAAGCGCTTTGAGACATCTAGAAGATGTGAAAATGCTATATCAAATGCAAAGATTATTATTAGTTATTATAAGACTGGCCCTGATAGCAGTAATGGCAAGGTTAGAATAATCTTTTCTCACTCAATGGATTGTTATAGCATCAAATTCTTTGCTAAAGTTTTCCGCTGGACCAGATCTATTTGTTTATTTTGTTCTCCGATCACCACTTGGTGATCAATGTTACAGATAGAGCAAAGGAAATTATATTAAAAGGGATGAACAGAAATATAGATCTCTGCCAGACTAGATTCTTTTGTTTGAACCAAGATATCCATTCCTAATTGATTAAAAGCTATTATATTAACTACTGGTACTGCCACATAAGGTCATCTTAAGAATTTTACCCTCTCCGCACCCTCCTCATCGATGTGTAACCTGGCTTCTATTAAACAGCTATCTAGTGCAGCATAACTGATTGACTGCCAGTTTCGATGACTTCTAAAAACTTTTTTGCTAAATTTCTTAAGGATTGAGGTTAATTCACATGAATAATTCAAGAAGCAATTTGTTGTTATTAAGCTATAAAAGGTTTACATAGTATATTCCCGGTCTGCAAGACTGATGTTGACTTTCACCACAGTGATGAGAAAATGCACTTAATAGTTACAATAAACTCACCTATTGTATAAACCACCTCAATGTCATCCAGCTGAGAGTCAGTAATGCTATTTTTTGCTTCTGCTTTAATTTCCCCAAGTAGAAATCCTTCCTGAAAAGTGAAATAAATGAGGTTATTTGTCTTTTACTGAGTTAGGTCAGGATTCTACTCAAAACATGTTGTTAAGAATATGACCAGAAAATAGACTGTCAAGGGAATAATATATGTAATGAAACTGAGGATTATGCACATGGACTGTAAATTTACAGCACATTTTACAAATCTTTTCACAAGCCCGTTATCTCTCACTGGTGGTCTATAACCTGGCAATCCTAACATGCAGTAACCAGCCGCCCATGACTCACTTCACAGAACAAATATTATGCATAAAGATACATCCATCTCTTGTCACAATCTCTGCATAGCAAAGAATGGAGCAGAGCTCCCCTACATAAACAATCTCACTGAGAGCAGATTTATAATCAAATATTTTCAAGTCCATTGAATAGACGTTCTTCCAAAACTGTCAAGTGCTTTCCCACTTACCAGTCAGACACCACTAACAGAATGTAAAGTATCCAACACTAAATGCATCAGTCACACTTCTGTAAGTTCTTTGAGTAAGTTGCTGGGAGCCATTATTTTAGAGACAGTTAGTGTGAGAGCATTTACTGTAAGAATCAAATAGTTTTTGTGTAGAACAGGGGAAGCGGCAGCAGGGAGGGAAGGAGAGTTTCAGCCGAGACTGACCAGATGCTGAGCATCCTGGAGGCGGCTTCACAGCGGGCACGTCTATTTGCCAAGATCCCTCGTATGAGGACCCGGATCAAGCAGCTGGTGCTGAGTGAGCCAAGTGAGTGATATCTGTCTTGGATCTCAAGAACATCAAGGTAGTTGGCACATCACAAGCTGTCCTGTAAAGGTCCTCCCACCACAGTGAAGGCAGACGTCCGTCAGATAGCTGATGAAGAAACGCTTGAGAATTGGGACCCCAGTTGAACACACTCATATACCCAACGCTTGGAATCACCTCGATTGGTTTGCAGAGAGGTAAGCACCAGTTGTTCAAGCTCCGTATCTCCAACTGCCGGACCCCCCAATCAAAGCGTAAGAATATGTTTCCGAGCTGTGGGCAGGAGGATGGTGGCAATGCACTCAGGCTTTTCATCCTGAGGTGTGCTGCTCACCAGAGAGCTTGCATGAAGTTCCTGGTCACTGCCACCCACTTAGTGAGGGCTCAGACTGCGCTCGTCAATGTTAAATGACTGACTAGTGACTATCCTCGGGGGGGGGGGGGGGGGGGGGGGGGGGGTGGAGAGGAAATTAGGTAAAAGTTAAACTGTTGCAAACCTGCACCTAATACTCTCTGGAATTACATAAGAAAGGTACGTCCCTCCAGGGAGAGAATGCACATTCCTTTACAGACATGGAAATCTTCATGTGTAAGTGGTATACATAAGTAGAAGCAAATACTATTTCATGATGACACGATAAACTACAAAGCACCAGCTGGTATGGCTGTCCACCATTTGTTTTTAGCATCTAAATCAGCTTTCTTTGAGGTCTTCAAAGCAATACAAAGCACCAATGTCTGACACTGATCAAGCCAACTGGAAAGGACGGTCTTGAGCAGGAAGCTTCTGCTTCCAGGTCAGCCTGGTTTTTCATTTACTAATCAAATCACACAGGCTAATCTGGATTGAAATAGATCAATTTGAGTGCTGCACTGCAAAGCACCATATTAAACCTAAGTAGCTAAACACCGGCACCAGCTCACAATTCTAAGTCAATGAAAAAGCGCCTTCAGCAAAACAAAGACCAAAAAAAAGTTCCTGTCACATTATAAAAAGACCAGCTAGTCATCAGCTCAGCCAACATGCAGAGTCTGTCATCAATCAGCAAAGAGAATAAGGCCACTCTGGATGATACCCAACAACAACAATTTGCATTTATATAGCGTCCTTCATGCGGGGCAGCAGCTCGGAGTGCTTAACAGTGGCGGAGCCTGATGCCAAGCCGCGGAGAGGGAGTGCTTATTGTACCAGTTTGTGGGGCATGGAGCTGGGGAGACCGGTGAGGAGGGTATTGGAACAGTCGAGGGGGAGGTGACGATTTTGGCTGCGTTGGCTGTGAGGTCACCGGGTTGCAGATGAAGACGAGAAACTTTGAGGCAAAGTCTATTTCACACAGAGATACTTGCATAAGCACTGTGAGAAATCAGCATTGATCAATGCTGTGATTAACTCCGAGGAAATGGGTGAAGATGGCTGAACAGTTGGAATTCATTCCAGCTAACCAAGGCCGATGTGACCACTCTTGGCAACGTCAATGTCCCAATTCAAATGAATTGGCTTCACTTCTCGTTGTTCTTTGTAGGATGTTGCAAATTAGCTGCTGCTTTTGCCCACATAATCCTCACAGGCAGTTTGCACACAGCAATGTCCCACAAACAGCCATGGAGTAAATGAACGATTGTATTTGGGGGATTTGTTGGCTCAGACTCTGGTAGAGAGAAACTCCCTTCTCATTTTGAATAATGATATGTTTAATGTCCGCCTGAACTGGTAGACAGAACCTCAGTTTAATGTCTCGAGCGAAGGACGGCACCTCCAAAAATGCAACACTCCCCCAGTACTCTATTGGAGTGTCAGCTTAGACCGTGTGATTTCATGTCCTGACGTGGGGCTTGAACCCACAACTTTTTGACTCAGATGTAAGAGTGCTACCAAATGAGCCATGTTCACACTATTGAATGGTATATGATAATCTGTATATGACAGAATGATTCACATATGGACTACCCTGGGAGGGTGCTTAATGCATCACAAAAAAAGAGGTTTTGGGGAGATTCACTGGAATCTATGATTCACTGGTAGTACGCTCTCCTCTGAGTCAGAAGGTTTGGGTTCAAGCCCCACGTCGGTACTTTGAACTTACAGTCTATCCTGATGTTCCAGTGCATTGCTGGGAACGTTGCATTGTTGGAAGTGCCATCCTTCGGATGAAACATTAAACTGAGGTACCGTCTCCTGTTCAGGTGGATATTAAAGATCTCTACAGTTTTCTGTAGTTCTTTTAAAGTTAGTCAAAATTATTCAAATTAAGACCAATTTAAATATTGCCCTAAATTAGCACATTCTTAAATGCTAAGAAAGAATTCTTAAGTCTAGACTCAGGTGGAATTACTTTCCCCTGAATCATTAGATTTATAAGTGGAGTCACAGATGACATCAAGTTTGGAACCACAAATATTTTCAAGCCGAGCACCAAATTAAGGAGGAAACAAAAATTAAAATGCATTACAGAAGTTTTTTGCTGTGACACATTGCCTGCTCGCTAACTTTTCACCATCTCCCAGATCGGCAGCGGTTTAGCAGCTGGCTGGTCCAGGAATTTACTGACAAAATAAGCTCCAATGCACTCCTCAATTAGCTGCGGAGCTCTTTCAGAGAAATTTATTGTGCCTCAGTCATCACCAAACATTTATTTTTTTTAAAAAATCGTTTACTGAAATCAGATTGCAAGAAAGAACGTTAATCAATATAAGAAAGATAGGAATCTGACTATAATTGGACTATATTCAATGAGAAGATTTAACTCATTAATAATAATAATAATCCTTGCATTTGATATAGTGCTTTTCACGTCTTTGAGACGTCTCAAAGTGCTTCACAGAATATACTGTAAAGTGAATTGACTGTAGATTTTGTGGGTGAAACAGCCAATTGCGCACGGCAGTGTCTCACAAATAGTCGTGGATTGAGTGACCGAATTATTAGTGTTTTTTTTTCTTGAGGGAATATTATCAGGCATGTGGCGTAAGGAAACTGCCCAAGGTTTCGTCCTGTTGGGAATCAAACCCAGATCTCTCGCTTGTAAAGCGAGTGCTCTAGTCACTGAGCTACAGATTCCACAAATCTTGTCCCTCCAGAGCAACCCTGTTACAGCAAGATGCTTCGTGACGGGGTTCCTGCTTCTTAATGCTGTACGATGGCATTGATTGTTACTTCGATAGTAAACATTTTATATTAACCCACTGGTTTGATTAAAGGAGGGTAATCTGTCAGACAATTGTATCAATGTGAAACATGAAAGTCTCTGAAAACGGTCTCTGAAAACCCTAACTGAAAACAATCTAATTTGATGTGTTTAACAGGATATAAGTAATAAAGAATCCTGTTAGATTTCCCATTGTCTGATATAAATTGCGGTAAAACTATACTTTTCACCAAAACTTTCCTAGATCTTCCAGGAAACAAAATAGTTTCCATAGTTTCCCAACATGTTGTCAAAAGAAGAGACTTACGTTATTTTACATTCCAGTACCTTATCATGTTGCAATGCCCCAAAGTGCTTTACAGGTAATTAGTGTCATATTTTGTGACTTTTTATGCACAAAAGGTTGAGCAAAAAAAAAACATTACTTTTGCTGTTACCGAATGCTAAGTATTCCATATGAATTTTGTTTACATTGCCAAAAATTAAAACCGCATTGAAATGTAGAGTGGATGGAGTACAAAAGGCCTGAAAATGAATGAAATTGTTTAAATTTTGAAGTCAGTCAAATACATTAGAAATAAAACGTCGTTTCCCATCCTGCTTGAATGTTAGTTTACCATCCAATACGGGAATCCCTGTCAACAGAGTGATCTTTCAGAAAGTAGTCAAACCAAATGCTATGATTTTGCTCGTGGCTATCCGGGAAAGTAAAGCTCTTGTGAGTATGCTGGATGTGTTTTGAATGTTAACTTGGGATTTGAAATGGCAGTTCTTCGAGTTAAAAGTCTGCCGTATAATACTATTAGTGAACCGACTGCATACCTCACCTGAGCACGTAGGCTTGAGTGCCGATGTTCTTTTTCAGCAGTAGGATTTATCTTAAGAACGGTATTTATTTCAATAGTGTCGCTTCAACAAACTCAGCAGTAAAGCGGATTAAACAAAGGAGGAAGTAACAAAAATATGTTAACCGTTTTACTTTTAAAAGATTACAGTACATATAATGCTAACATGATAAGACTCCCGAGATTTTCGATCACGTAGTCTTAGACGAAATTCTCAAATTCTTTACACACATTGTGTCTGGATGCAGTGTTATTTTTAGAGCAGGAGAAAAGCTTTGGTTGACATTCTTCCACGTTTTATCTACATAGTATCTCCTTAGCATTGGCCAATGTAACTAGTTGCAATGCCTGTTATAAGGATAAAACAGACTGGGGATTATGGGGGGAAGTTTCCTGGGTTTTTTTGTATGGCTCTCTCTGTCGGTGCAAAATGATACAAACCGAGAGCAGAACCAGCACATCATTGTGAGTTTACGGTTGGTTCTGTCTCACCAAAAATCTGTGAAACCAGGTCGGGGAAGTTGATACATTTTCTTTGATGCTATGCGGAGAAGGGCTTTGAGGTAGTGAGTTGGCCTGTTTCCTGAAGTTCCCAGTTCTGGGTGCCTTTAAGCGACCAAGTCTGAAAACAAGAGCTGCATTTTTTTTTCCTGCAAATTGCTATGGTAATCCTTCACTGGAGATTATGGATCAACTCACATTTATTTATATACTGTAGTTCAGTTCACATGAAAGAGAATGTTTCAAAAGAGGGATTGCTTGGAAATTAAGT